CAATTATTTACATACAAAAATAAATAATTTATTCAATAATTGAATATTTCTTAAAATTGAATTAAAATTTAATTTATTTTAAAATAATTGAAATTCTGCGATAAGTTTTGTTATTTATGAAAATAATTGAATTCTCGAAACGAATTTTATTAAAAATTTATTTTAAAGAATTCAATTCCCGTAAAGAATCTTATTTGTAAAAATAATTGAATTTCGGAGAAAAATATTATTATTCATGAAAATAATTAATTTCTTATGAAGAATTTTATTCAAATTTTTTTAAATAATTGAATTTCTCAGAATTTTTAAAAACTTTTGAAAATAATTAAATTCTATAGAGAAATTTCATTAAAAAATTGCAAATAATTGAAAGCTGACAAAGAATTTAAAAAAATTATTTTTTAAATAATTGAATTCCTGTGAAAATGTTTATTTTTGAAAAGAATTGAATTCTTGGGAAGAATTTTATTAAAATTTCTTAAATAATTAAATTTCTTTTGAAGAATTTTATTTTTTACGAAAATAATTGAATTCTTTCGAAGATTCTTACAAACATTTTTGCCAATAATTGTTTTTCTAGGAAGAATATTATATTTTACAAAAATATTTTTATTCTACGACCAATTTTATTATTTTTCAAATTTATAAAGTATTTTATCAAAATTCTTTTAAATAATTTATTCTTAAGAAAAATTTTATTATTTACAAAAATAATTGATTTCTAGCGAAGAATTTTATTCAACTTTTTTCTAAATAATTGAATTCGCATAAAAAATTGAATTCTCAAGAAGAAGAATTGTATTAAAAATAATTGAATTGTATAGGAAAATTTTATTAAAATTTCAAGTTTATTAACTAAATCTTGTAAAGAATTTTGTTAAATTTTTTTGTTAATAATAGAATTTTTAAAAGAATTTTATTTAAATTTTTCGAAATAATTGAATTTCTCAGAACTATTTTTTTTGCAATTCTCTGAATATATTTGAATTCCTTGGAGAAACTGCATTACAAAATTAAAAATTATTGAATTGGTGCGAAGAAATATATAAAAAAAATTGGTATGTATTTGAATTCCTGTGAAATTTTTATTAAAATTTTTTTTAAATAATAGAATATTATTATTTTCTAAATTTTAATTGAATCAAAAATAATTTTTATTTCAATCAATTAAATTTTAATTATTCTAAATCTCTGAACGTTCAATGGAACAAAATTTATTTACTTCTTCTTCAAATTAAATTTTTATTGTAATAATTTTGCGTCACTGTCAAAGAAATTTATTTTTAAAGTTTTGTAAATACAAAATTTAAGTTTTTAATTTTTATTGCAATCAGTAATTTATGAAAGTACTTTAATAAAAAATATTTCGTTCACTTGAACGTTCAAACGAACAAAATGTTTTTTCTGTATAAATATTTTTAAAAATTACTATACAAAAAACTAAAATAAAATTAAACGTTTACATATTCGAGAATCAATTTTCCTAATAAATATAAATAAATAAATAATTAAATTTGAAATTTAATTAATATTTGATTTGAAAATACAATTAATACAAGTTTATTGATATTTTAGAAACTTTTAATAGTCTTGAAAACTGTAAATTATGGAAATCACTTTTATTAATTAATTAGAGCAATTAGTAAAGGAAGATATCAAGAAGATTGAAACTAATCAAAATCAAAATAATTATTAATTAATAAAGCGAACGAAAATTGAAATAAAATTAATATTAAAATTATGCATTAATTAAATAGTAAATTAATTAAAATAGTAAATAGTTGTAAATTAGTAAATTAGTAAGTAGTAAATAAGTAAAATTAATTGTATTGAACAAGTAATTTTTTTTAATTTAATATTTTTTTAGTGTAAATATTAAAAACGATATAAATATAAGTCTTTGAAATTTCCTTCTCCTTCTTGACAAAGTATATCTTCATTTCTCATGAGACAAATTTTCAATTCCCACGCACCTTTGCAAAGAGTGTAAATAATATGCACACACGCTCACTTATTCTATGCGTTTATAAAAGTTAATGAGCGTGTATGTTACATAAAATACCGGTCAAACCGTTATTCAATGAGTTATTGCTTTAATTTATACATTCGATAATGAAGGTTAAGTTGGCAATGAAATTTAATTTGTTGCTAAATTTAGAATTGAACTTTTACTTTTTCCATATTATTTTTTTTTGTTTGTATTTTGAGATTTAAGAATTGATAATTATAATGTATAAAATTAGAAAAGAATATTTAAATTTTCCCGGAATAGAATAATTTAATTAAAAAAAATACTTCATTTAAATTACGTAAAAGTAAAATAATTTAATGTTTATACTGCGTATAATAGTTATATTGTTCTTTTAATTTAAATTATTCTGTATAATGAATCTGGTAATTGTCTGGAGGATTATTTGAAACTATGTTACGAATGTTTGAAATCATTAAACTTTTTATTTCTATTTACTTTTTTTTATAGTGAAAAAACCTATTATTGCTTCAGGTTCACAAATAAGGTGAATGCACTTTCATAGAGCAAATTCATCGGATGTAATTACAAGAGAAGATGTAACCTGTATTCTATTTTTTTTAATTTTTGTTTTTTTACTTTTAATTAACATAAATAATAATCCTACTGTTTTAAATTGAATTTAATTAAAAATTTCAAAAAAAACTTTTTTCTTTTAAATTTACAATTAATTAATACACTCAGAAAAAATTTTATTTAATGACTAAAACTTTTATTTGAACCAAATTAAATTTTATTTATTTTTTTTTATTTAAATCAAATATTTTTTTGAAACAAATAAATAGTCTATATAGTTGGCTCTGAGTCAGATATATTTTTTCTCCAGATGTCATTTGGTAATTTAAATTAATAATTAATCACACTGAAAAAAAATTATTAGATTAAAATAAAAGATTATTTGTCTATTATCAAAATAAATATTTACTCGAATCAAATAATTTTTACTTAATTAGCGGCTCTCTTTTTTTAAATTAGAAAGAAATCGTTTGAAATATTAATTTAAATTCATCATTAAGAAAAAAAATTCGATTCAATTACCGATCACTTGACTATTATCAAATAATTATTTACTTGAATCAAACTATTTTTATTTAAATAAAATTCTAAATTGTTTCTGAACCAATAAATTCAGATGAATTGTTTCTTTTGAAGCAAATACTATTTGATTGATTTTAGTAAAAATATTGTTATTTAAATATTATGATTATAATAATATAAATACTTATAATAATTACAGTAATAATAAATAATAAATATTGTACTAATAGTAGTCTTAATAAATTATTTATTTATATTACTTATTTATTATTTACGTAAACAATTAAACTATCTATTGTTATTTTACGATTTGATAAAGAAAGGTAATTATCGTGTTTGATCAATTTTCTTCATAAGTTGGTGATAGTGATCAATAAGTAATCTCAAGAAGTTATAATAAACAGAGCTTCTTATATTCTTCTCCGTTTTTTTTTTTGCCGTAAAAAAGACAATTCTTGTATTTTTTTTACATTATTTATTTTTTTAAATTCGACTCTAAATTTGAATTATTGAAATTGAGAGACTAACTCAAATAAATGGTAGCCTCCTTCAAATACTAAAATTATTGGTTCAAATATAACTTGTCTCGATTTAAATAAAATTCGAGATGAAATTTAACTAATAAATTTTATTTCGTTTAAATAAAATTTTATTTGCTTTATTTATATCGAATAAAATTTTTGTTTAAAACAAATAAATAATCTAGTTGCTTCTGAGACAAATAAATATTTAATTGATAATAGTCAAATAATCGATTATTTGTATCAAATAATTTTTTTTAGTGTAATAATTCTAATAATAATTGTGATAATAATTCTAATAATAAAAAAAATTACAATTTGTTATTATTAATGAATAATAACAAATTATAAATTTTTTTTCCAATTCTGCAAAAGGATTCGAAGCATCCCTTTAAAGTTAGATATCTTCTCTTCGCGTGTATATGTGGAGAAAGTTAGAGTACTTTATGCGCAGCTACTGAACTACATCACGAACAAAACCTTCATCAACATTGATTTCACATGAAAACAAATAACAACATCTAATCCCTTTAAAATTATTTCCATCATAATGAAAAAAATCCACTGTCAAGTTACAATAAACTTTTCCCACAATGACTTTTTGTCCTAAGCAATATTTAGAAATATTTGAAATTGAAGATGAGACAAATATTTTCAAAATGTATTGAGGTTCACCTGCTTTTCCTCCCACAATATTGATCTCGAGTTTTTTTTAAAGCACACGGATCCTTGCTTGCTCCAGATACGAGCTTTCACCCCTTTAATCTTAACTCAACTGGGAAAAATTTCGGAACGATTAAATGTCATCTGGGGTTAATTTTTTCGATTGTTGAAAATTTACTCCAAAAGTGAGTAGATTCAGTTTTTGAATTAATTCATTTTTGGAGTTAATTCGAGTTAATTTTGAGTTTATTCTCTTTTCGAGTTGATTTCCTTTTCGAGTTGACTGACTTTTCGATTTAATTCCCTTTTTGATTTTATTCCCTTTTCGAGTTGATTACTTTTTCGAGTTAATTCCTTTTCCGAGTTGATTCCCTTTTCGAACTGACTCTCTTTTCGAGTTGACTCCCTTTTCGAACTGACTCTCTTCTCGAGTTAACTCCCTTTTCGAGTCGTTAAGTGAAACAAAAGTTAAGAACGTGCCAAAGTCAATGCGATTTTTCCATTTCCCTTGGGAATTATTTCGCAGTTACATTTAGCAAAAAAATTAACAAAGCGAAGTAAAAATTCAATTTTGTAAATACTCCGTTTGCTTCAACTGAAAATTTTTCTCTTTAAATTCTCATCACTAAAAATTGCGAATTGCCAGAGTCAAAATTTAACTCTCTTCTTTCTTACAGTGTAAGAAAAGAATAACAATACTTATTTTCTATTTTTTCTTTCGCTATTTTCTAGCAAAAAAAAAAATTTACCTTTACGTAAAGCTCTCTTGTTGTCATTTCCTTATGTTTCCGTAGTCGTCACTCTTTTTGATGATGATGATAATGATGATGATGATGCGTATGTGTAAAAAATCTTACACACCGCGTGTATTCTCACTGATAAGCCGTAACATTTGCCCGTTAATTATTAACTGATAAGAATAACCACTCCGTTTGAACATCGCGGTCACGTGGTACAATTTCAGGACATTTCTTCCTTCTCTTCTTCTTTTTGGTTTCTTCTTTTCGTTGAGCTTTAAGGGAAAAAAACACACACATACACTTTTTTTTCAATTTTCACTTAAAAAAAAATATTAGAAGATAAAATTGAAATTTTTTCAGAACGTGAATAACATGGATGAAGGAGGCACCTTAAACACGTTTTTACCTGGTCTTTGAAACTGTACAAAACAGGGAAGACACGTTCACTAAACCACACAGCTGGCAAAGTGAACTGCTGCGGTGTGGGTTCCACTATCGGTTTGGATTGTGCGCCCCTTGCCCCACTCCTACACATTCGACAGGATCGTTGATAGCTGAAACAGAACCCGAGTTCTCGTTATTTTACCTTTGCTGTTTAGCATTTTAATTAATTTATTAAATAGGTAATCGATAATTAATAATTTGGCAATGCTACTATCGAATTAATAAATGTATTTCATTTCAAGATATTTAATATTTACTAATTGAAGTATTTATTAATTATATTATATTTATTAATCATTAATAACTAATAATATTAATAATAAAAATAATGATAATAATAATAAAAATAATAATAATAGTATTAATAATAATTATTTAATGTCATATATTTTCGAAAATCCTTCACTGGAAAAAAAATGTATTTGATTCAAATAACCGATTACTTGTCTATTATCAATTAAATATAATTACTTGAATCAAATAATTTTTATTTTTATCAATTAAATTGTATTTGAACCAATAATTTTAATGTTTGAAGCGAATACCATTCAATTGACTCAAAAATGAAAATTATTTGATTCAAGTAAATATTTAATTGATAATAGTCAAGTAATCGGTTATTTGAATCGAATAAATTTTTTTCAGTATTTCTCTCCACGCAACTAGGGAAAATTCTATTTAAACAAAATAAAAGTATATTTGTCTCTGAATCTACGAAATTATTTATTTGTTTTAAATAGAAATTTTATTTGGCAAAAATAAATAAAACAAAAAATAAATTTGAAACAAATAAAAAGTCGAATTGACTCTAAGTCAAATATATCCTTTTTCTGGGTGTAATTTGGTAATTTAAACTAATAATTAATTACTGACAAAAAAATTATTCGATTCAAATAACCGATTACTTGTCTATTATCAAAAAAAATATTCACTTGAAACAAATAATTTTTATTTAAATCAATGAAACATTATTTGCGTCAAATGAAGCAATTCAAATGAAAGTATTTAGTTCAAAAATAATTTATATGATGGAAATAAAAATTATTTGATTCAAGTAAATATTTATTTGATAATAGTCAAGTGGTCGGTTTTTAATAACCATTATTATAATTAAATATATTTTATTTATTTATTTATTGTAGGTATTTGGACCTTTTTTACCAGAAATTTAACTAAAATTATATTTGGGTTCAAATAAAATTTCCCTCTGGGTGTTCTTAATTAAAATTTAAAAAATCGTTTCATTTACAGTCTAATAAACAATTTAAAAGTTACTAAATCGAAATTTATAAGATTACAATAAACGAAAAGCATTAAAAATGACCTCCCAAACTGAAAATATTGATAAGTCTTATCGGCATATTGTATATTGAATAACGGTCTCAGAAAATTCTATTTTGCAGAATACGAAAAAAAACTATTTCTTTTTTTGCATTTCATTAAATCTTTTTTTTTCGTGAAATTTAAAAAAAATTTTATGATTATAGTTACATTTAAATACGTTTAGAATTAATTCTAATTTTTATTCAGTTAGTTTAAAAAAAAATTTTGTAATATTTATTCATATTCTCAACTGTGATCCATTTAAAATATAAATGTTCTACTTCGTATATTTTTTTGCTTGTGAGATAACAAAAAAAAATTGAATAAACAGACACGTTAATGTAATTCACATGATAACGATGATATTTAAATTAATATTTGTCAATTTAATTTCAAACACAGTTCGAAAATGAAACTCTTAGCGCCATCGATGGACGATTCAATGTAATGTTGAGCGGTTTAAAATTTCAACTCTGCAGATCAATTACTTCTTCTTATTATTCATCTCTGTAACAATAAATTTCTACTTTACCAAATTTTTATTTAACGCAATTTTAAATTTTTTAATGTAACTCAATTTAAAAAAAAATCTTTTTTATTTTAATTATTTTTTCTTATTTTAAATTAATTAAATTAATTAAAAATCTTATTTTATTTCTTATTTATCAAATGAAAAAAGTATCTAGCTATTTTTTATTTTTTATATATTTAATATCCATTAATAATAACTAGCCAAACTATCCGCGCGCAAGCGCGCGGGAATGTTGTATGGGGCTGCTTATTTTAAACAATTTAAAAAATTTTAAAGAAATAATTATTATAACCTAACAAAGAGATTTAACTAACTAAAATACAAATAATTTCACTCAATGGTCTCAATTTAAATAGAATTTACATTACTAGACTTAAACTATGGCTAGAACAATTACAATTAGTATCTGGGTCATCTTTTGCATTGCTTATTTTATAAAGCCATTTTAAATTAAATACGTTTTAAAGAAATAATAATTATTACACACTGAAAAAAGTTTTACTTGAAATAGCGATAAGTTTCTCTAGAATAACGAAAGTATTAATTGAAGCACTGAAAAATTTCGCTACTAAAGTGAAATCTGTAGTTCATCCAGCTAAATATTTTTTGCCGTGCATAACGAAAAAAGAATTAAATTAACATCAGATTTTCTACATTCAAAAAAAACGAATTCAAATAGAAATTAATCATTTTACAACTTAACCAAATTCACCCCAGAAATCACTGAATTCGATAATTTAGAAGAAAGTCAGACAAAAGCAGGGTTCCTACAGAATCTGGAAATCATGGAAATGGTATGGAATTTTTAAAAGGCTTCTGGAAATCAGGGAAATCATGGAAAAGGCCTGTAATTTTTAAAAAATTCTAAATTTTTTCAGTTTTCCATTTTTTCTCTTGAATAAAAATTCAAATAATAATAAAGCTAAATGGTATAAAAGAGAAAAAAAATGTTGAAATTTAAGAAATTCAATTTTTCGGATTTTTGATAATTTTTAATCATTTTTTATTTTTTTCCAAAGAGTCGAGACAATTTAATAGGTAAAGTATTTTCCAAAAGCACAAAAACAATGAAGCAAAATCCCATAAAAGAGAAGAAAAAATGTTGAATTTTAAGAAAATCGGATTTTTGAATTTTTTCGAATTTTTGATAATTTTAGATTTTTTACCAAAGAGTCGAGACAATTTAATAAGAAAAGTATTTTCCAAAAGCACAAAAATAATGAAGCTAAATCCCATTAAGGAGAGGAAAAAATGTTGAATTTTAAGAAATTCGGATTTTTGAATTTTTGATAATTTTCGATAATTTTAGATTTTTTACCAAAGAGTCGAGAGTATTTAATAAGTAAAGTATTTTCTAAAAGCACAAAAATAATAGAGCTAAATCCCATAAAAGAGATGAAAAAATGTTGAATTTTAAGAAAAACGGATTTTTGAAATTTTTCGAATTTTTGATAATTTTAGATTTTTTACTAAAGAGTCGAACTATTAAATAAGTAAAGTATTTTCCAAAAGCACAAAAATAATAAAGCTAAATCGTATAAAAGAGAAGAAAAAATGTTGAATTTTAAGAAAATCGGATTTTTGAATTTTTGATAATTTTCGATAATTTTACATTTTTTACCAAAGAATCAAGACAATTTAATAAGTAAAGTATTTTCCAAAAGCACAAAAATAATGAAGCTAAATCCCATAAAAGAGATGAAAAAATGTTGAATTTTAAGAAAAACGGATTTTTGAAATTTTTCGAATTTTTGATAATTTTAGATTTTTTACTAAAGAGTCGAACTATTAAATAAGTAAAGTATTTTCCAAAAGCACAAAAATAATAAAGCTAAATCGTATAAAAGAGAAGAAAAAATGTTGAATTTTAAGAAAATCGGATTTTTGAATTTTTGATAATTTTCGATAATTTTACATTTTTTACCAAAGAATCAAGACAATTTAATAAGTAAAGTATTTTCCAAAAGCACAAAAATAATGAAGCTAAATCCCATAAAAGAGAGGAAAAAATGTTGAATTTTAAGAAATTCGGATTTTTGAATTTTTGATAATTTTCGATAATTTTAGATTTTTTACCAAAGAGTCGAGAGTATTAAATAAGTAAAGTATTTTCCAAAAGCACAAAAATAATAAAGCTAAATCCCATAAAAGAGAGGAAAAAATGTTGAATTTTAAGAAATTCGGATTTTTGAATTTTTTATAATTTTCGATAATTTTAGATTTTTTACCAAAGAGTCGAGACAATTTAATAAGTAAAGTATTTTCCAAAAGCACAAAAATAATGAAGCTAAATCCCATAAAAGAGAGGAAAGAATGTTAAATTTTAAGAAATTCGGATTTTTGAATTTTTGATAATTTTCGATAATTTTAGATTTTTTACCAAAGAGTCAAGAGTATTTAATAAGTAAAGTATTTTCTAAAAGCACAAAAATAATAAAGCTAAATCCCATTAAGGAGATGAAAAAATGTTGAATTTTAAGAAAAACGGATTTTTGAAATTTTTCGAATTTTTGATAATTTTAGATTTTTTACTAAAGAGTCGAACTATTAAATAAGTAAAGTATTTTCCAAAAGCACAAAAATAATAAAGCTAAATTCTATAAAAGAGAAGAAAAAATGTTGAATTTTAAGAAAATCGGATTTTTGAATTTTTGATAATTTTCGATAATTTTACATTTTTTACCAAAGAGTCGAGACAATTTAATAAGTAAAGTATTTTCCACATTTAAAAGTTTGACATTAAAAAATATATATAAAATGCCAATACTTAACCCACAAAATTAAATTTTCAAAACAAACAAATGAATGCAGATAATTTGCTAACGGAAAGGAAACTTACGATTATTATAATGTATTAATATTTTTATAACAATATAATAAAAAATACAATAAAAATAAATAAACAAAACTCAAAAATGGTACAATCGAACTTTCGTTGTATAAATAGGTGATAAATGTATATATAAATAAAAATGAAGTGTAATTCGGATTCTACTAATAAAAATACTAAAAACTTTTTCAAACAAAACAAAATCGTTTTTTGCAGTGTCATTAATTTTTATGTCATATAAGTAGAATATTTATAACCTTAACAATTAATTATTATCTAAAACCAAAAAAAGTAAATTATTAAAAAATACGAGATGTTTTAGTAAAAGTGAAAGAAATATTTAATAATTAAATATTAATATAGCATAGCAATTAATAAATAAGTGGTAAAAAATGGCATTTTTCCAACAAGTTGTAAAAGCAGCACGGCTAAGAAATGCACGTCTCAATTATCATGATGAAAAATTAAAATCAATTGCAGTTTCAAGAGGGGCAAAAATACATTATAATATTTTTCAAAAAATTCGTTACGCTAAATTACTGTAAGACAGCAAAAATTATTATTAATTATTATTTATTTACGTATTTAAATAATTTAAAAATAGTAAACAAATAATAGGAATTAAAAAAACAAAGTTAAATAAAATAATAATAATAATAATAATAATAATAATAATAATAAATAATTAAGTTGTACTTAATAAGAATTAATTTAATTGGGAAAATTGTCTCAAAAAGTTTACTTTTGTCAAAAAAAAGATAGAAAGAAGGAATAATTTTATTCATTAAAAATATGAACGATTTTAATCAATTTTATTTTTTTTCTTGCAAGACAGTGTTAAGAAGAGGATAAAGGATTTTTTGAAAAAACTTGTCTCCTGTCCGGAGGATACGTGGTTTCACAAAAAAGCACTACTTTTAAAAACCAATGGAACATTTGAGAATTATGTATTAAAAAGTGTTTTTGGATTTTTTGGTGGAATTTTTCTCACGTATCTATTTTTTATTTTTTTCGTCTTTCAACTACAATTTTCATTATCATCTGCAACATTGTGGTGTTCATTGCTCGGTATTGCTTTAACACTTGGTTTGGCTTTTTCCAAGTATGTCAGGTATTATTATTATTGCTGTTAATATTTCTATTCACAATTTTATTCTATTTTGACTTCAATATTTATTCTTACTTTTATTTTTACATTATTTTACTTTTTATTTTTATTTTTATTCTTATTTTTATTATCAAAAATATTCTAAATTTTTTTATTTTTAATTGCTTTGTTATTATAATTTTTTTTATTTTGTTACTTTATTATTTTATTCATTTTTCTATTTTATTATTTTACTTATTTTGTTCTTTTATTGTTTTATTTATTTTTCTATTCTTTATTATTTTTCCATTTATTTTGGTATTTTATTATTTTACTTATTTTGTTTTTTTATTGTTGTATTTATTTTGTTATTTTATTATTTTTTATGTAAGTATTTTATTTTTCTATTTATCTAGATATTTTATTTTTTTCCTAACAAAATACAGATTTGTTTAATATTCAACTTTTTTCGCATTAAAAAATTAAAGGCAAATTATTTATTTGAATTTAAAAATAAATTTTTCTCCCACAGGTGTCTTGTTTTTTTGATAATGCCACAATTTTTGTCAAAGCGCGGTCGACAGGCTCTTATGGCTTATGCTTTTATACTTGCACTCACAGGACCAGCCAAAAATACTTTAAACAATATTGGCGTTTTATCGCAATCACTTTCTTGTGGCGAAGTAAGATTGAATTAACAATAATTAAAAAATAAGACAGTGAAAAAAAATTTGGTACTCACAAAAATGTTTGTTTAATTCCTTGTAAATATTTTCTACCGAAAAAATACTCAAAAAAAAAATTAAAACAAACATTTTTGATTGATAAGTATATGTAAAAAAATAATTTGTATACGTACAAATTTTTTATCTACAAAAATTATTGTATGATGCGAGAAAATTCCTTTTTCTTTACTATTTTAGGAACATTTGAAAGAAGCAGTAAAATCAATTCTCGATTTAATTCGAGAGCCATTCAATGCTCTTAAAGATGCAATAACGAAAGTTTTAAAAACAGTAAAAACTGTTGTGAAAAAAATCAAAATGACCCTAATAGCCATTAAGAGGCTCGTACTCAGTATTTGTAAGTTACTTTCATAATTTTTTCATAGTCATCAAAATAAAAATTTTTGTTTAATAATTTAAAATTTTTATTGTTTTACTAATTTCAAATATTTCTACTTTATTAATTTCAAAATTAATTAGTTTTTTTTAATTGTGTTATAAATTTGAAAAAAATTATATGTATTTCATTTTCAGTAAAAGTAATTCAATCAGTTTACGAGTGGTTGGGCTCAATTGTAAATATGTGTAATAAAAAATTGGGCACACCTTTCGAAAGATGTAATAGAGCCTTCGAAGAGGCTGTGGATGATTGTAAAGCAAAATTAGGATCAATTTTCGGCGGTGTTTGTAATGTGACTTATGTGGTTGGCGCAATTTGCTACATTGTTAAACCATTTGATTTCATTTGTGAACTTGTGTCATTTTTTTCGGATGCTATTGTTAACGTTGTTCGAAAAAGTAGGTAAAAATTTACTTTATTCAATAAATAAATAAAAATAAAATAAAGGGCTTTTTCCAATTTGTTAATTTAAAAAAAAAAAAATAAAAATAGAATTATAATAAAATAATTGAATTACTATAACTGTAATAGGAAAAATAAATTTCCCAACTCGAATAAATAATTTTCTCTTTCCTTTTTCATTTTTGCAGAGATAAAAAAATTCGCAAAGCACGTGAAGGCTATATTTTATGTAAAAGTAAAATTTTCCCACTCATTTCATTTTGAGAGTAATCGAAGTCGAACGAATACTGATATTGCAAAGGGAATTAGCACAGAAATAAAGCAAAGAACTGAAAAATACTTTTTGTTCTTCGATATGTTGAGCTGCTTGACCAGCGTCTTTATTTTACTCATATTTGTCAGGTTGTCAATTTTTTATTATTTATTATTTATTTTATTATTATTAATAATTAATTAAAATTAAAAAAATATATATTTTCCTTTTTTTAATTTTTTTGAAGTTTATTAATTTAATTTCCCTTTTACTGCTTAACTAAATAAATTTTCATTAACGTCTTATTTTTTTAATAAATAAATAAAAATTTTTCTTTTCTATTAAAATTTGTTCTGTTTTTTAGAGTAATTTTCTATCGATATAAATGGCTGACGAATCTACGATTTGATAATCGTTATTTAACGGATTATTTACGTGAAATTGATCTCCGAAGAGCGCGATTGGACAAGGAAACTGTTCTCCCATTAAATCCGCGTGAGAGAAATAAATATATTCCATTGTCGTCGATTCGATTAATTAAAGCCGAAAAAATGAAACTTACGAAATCTGCCGTTTTTATGAGTTTAATTTCATTTAAACTTCTCTTTCAAATGGCTATTGATTACAGTCTCTTTTGGATTCTCGACGTTATTAGGTAATAAAAAAAGGAGAAAAAAATATTTCTAAAGATACTTTACTCAAATAAGTAGTGAAATAAATTTTCAAACAAATGCGAACAAATGCTCGAATAAATTAACGAATTAATAAATTAACAAACTAACAAATATGAATAATTTAAAACTGTTTTTACTTTTTTTCTTCATTTTTCCACATTTTAATTATCAATTCGTTCGAATTTTATATTTTCAAGTTAATAGTGCAAATATAATTTATTTGAGGCAAATAAAAGTATATTTGTCAAATTTTAATTTAATTTCATTAAAATAATTAAATAATTAAATTTAATAATGCTATTTAGCACAAATAAAAGTTTTATTTCAACAAAAATAAAATTTTTATTTGAAATAAATAAAATTTTTATTTGATTTGATTTTATTAATCATTTATTTGAAACTTAATTTAATTTGATTTAATTTAAAAAAAAATTTATCTGAAACGAATAAAAATTATTTGATCCAAACAAAATTTATTCGGTTCAAATAATTTTTGTTTGGTTTGATTTCATTTATTATTTCTTTAAAATTTAATTCAATTTAATGTAAAAAAAATTATTCGAAACAAATAATAACTCTCTGAACCAAATAAAATTTCTTGGAAACAAAAAAAATTTATTCGATGCAAAGAAAAAATTATTTCAACCAAATAAAATTTATTTGAATCAAATAAAAATTCTAAGATCCAAACTAAATTTATTCGGTTCAAATAATTTTTGTTTGGTTTATTATTTTAATTAATTATTAATAAATTTATTATTTATTTGACATTTAATTCAATTTTAATGTAAAAAAAATTATTTGAAACAAATAATAACTCTTTGAATCAAATAAAATTTCTTGGGATCAAAATAAATTTATTCTATCCAAAGAGAAATTATTTTAACCAAATAAAATTTATTTGATCCAAATAAATAATTTAATATAGGCTCTGAGTTAAATGTTTTTTTTTCTGGGTGTAAAGTGTAATATTTTCCTTTTAGATATCACGGAAGATTCGAGACAAAAATACCGGAAAATTCGGTTCAAGTACACGTGTCAGGAACTGGATTTTTAGCGGAACTTTATCGAAGTATCGTGAAAGCTTTCTCGTTAAAATCCGAAGAGGAGGAAATTAATATGGTCCCATGCTTACCGGATCCAATACCACCAAATTACGATAGATATTTACAAATTCTCACCCTCATGTTCTTCTGTTGGTTAATTATTATCTTCGAACCCTACGGTTTGCGTATGCGACAATGTGTCATGATTTCCTATCATCCAGAAAGGGCCAAGGAGCGCGCTGTTTGGCTCTATAATCACATCCTGAGGTTCATTCTCCTTTAGCCTGTAAAAAGAAATTCCAAATCAGAACAAAAAAATTTGTCACATTCTTAATTTAATTAATTTAATAATTTAATAATTTAGTTTTTCAATTTTCATTTTTTTTATTTTGAATTTAAAGATCAAGAGGCAATTTCCTGAAATTCGCGAGACGACAACTAAGAAGAAAATTTGGTATGCAGGGTGCACATCAGACTACGGAAAAAGTGACACTAAAGGAGAGATTAACGGCAATTTGTCCCCTTTTGAGAAAATGCTTCTCTTCTGAAGAAAGAATTTGCCTTTTGTGTGGCGCTATCGAGAGGGACAAGGAAATTCCTCACATTAAATGTCCAACGCCAAATTGCGTTGGTCTATTTTGTCCGCAATGTTTCAAGGATTTGGAGAATATGTGCACCGTTTGTAAAACACCAATGGATTATGGCGATTTTTCCGATATCAGTGAAGAAAAGTAAATCAATTTTTTATTTTATCTAATCGAAAATCTTTTTTTTCTTTCCTTTTTTATTATTAATATTATTATCGAAAGAGATTCCTCGGAAGAAGAGGCTAAGAGAAGAAAATCTAAAATATCGGATGCAAAAGAGAAATTAGAAGACTCAAAGTACTCGAAGGGTAAAATAGAAGAGGGAGTGGATCTCGTAGAGGAAGATATCAGCTCTGTTTCTTCTTCCACTGAATACAGTTACAGTAGGAAATAGTAAAATTCTATAAACTGATCAAATTTTATTAAATAATATAGAAAAAAAAGAAAACAGTATAGAAAAATAAAAAACAGAAATAAAAAAAGTAGAAATAAAAAAAATAGAAATAAACAAGTAGAAATAAAAAAGTAGAAATAAAAAAAGTAGAAATAAAAAAATAAAAGAATTAAAAATACAAAAAAATTACTATATTGAAGTTATTTATCTTCAATAGCGTATCAAGATGATGAATCTCAAATTGACAAAAGTCTTCCTCAAAAAACTCCATTTAAAGACGTTGAAGCTCAAACATTACGCGACGATGTTTCTACTCAGGTATTAAAAATTGCAATTAGAATAATAATTCAATTAAAAATAATACCAAAAAAAGTAATATTATTTATTACTATTTTTTTTATCATTGAACAAAAAAAAATAAATTGACTCTAAATAAATAAATTATTATAATTTATCTATTTGCACTTTTTTTTTAGTAAAAATTCCCTTTCGTACAACTTCTTAAGTTTCTGAAAAAAAATTTATTTGATTCAAATAACCGATTACTTGCAAACATTATCAAATAAATATTTTTTTAAAATAATTTTTTGAATCAAATAATTCTATTCAAATCAAATTGTATTTGAAAGACAATTGTATTTGAACCAATAATTTCTTAATTATTTTTAATTTAAAGAGTAATTTAATTTGATTGAAATAAAAATTATTTGATTGAAGTTTAATTCAATTTAATTTTTAAAAAAATTAATTTAATTCAAGTTAATATTTATTTGATAATAGACAAGTTCATTTGATTCGAATAAATTTTTCTTCAATATAGTTTACAGAAAAAAAAATTAGACTTAAAAGAAAAAATTTCAATTAATTATTCTAAAGATATTTAGCACTCAAACAGAAGATATAGAAACAGATAGTGAAAGTCCCACTTGTTTTGGGCTTCGTTTACGTAAAAAGGAAAAATTAAATCTCGACAATTTATCGAAAGCTTCTTCTCTTTCTTCCTCAGAAGAATTTCAAGAGGAGGGCATTGATGTGCAATCAGATGAGGAATCCAAAAATTTATTGAGAAAATTTGAGAAAGAGAAGAAAGAAAAAAAACGTCTTGGTTTCAGGAAATTTTTTGACAATTTGTTGAAATTTTTTTGGCTTGGAAAAAAGAGAGTAATTGAAAATATAATAGTTAAATAATAATAAATACTAAAATAATTAAATAATAAATGCTAAAATAATTAAATACTAAAATGATTAAATAAAAATACTAAAATAATTGAATAATAATAATTATTAAAATAATAATTATAAAATGAAGAAAAAAACAGTTTCGAAGGATTACAAAAAAATTGAAATTGAAGATCAAGAAACAATGAAATTATATTCGTCATCTGTCTCGACATCATCTTCATCGTACAGTATTGATTATCGAGAAAAATCAACATCATACGATTCATTGCAAGGGCCAGAATTTAATAAAAATGAACGAATTTTGCAATATCCATACGAAAAAAAATTTTGCATAAAACAATTACCGAGGTGAAGAAAATTTTCAATAACTGTTTTTTCCAATTTAATTTTTTTAATATTTTTTTTTTTTACATTTTTATAGAATTTAATTTTTTATCAACTAATTTAGTAAATTTATTTAATTTAATTGAATTAATTTAAGTTAATTTTATCAATTAACATATTCTTCTATATTTATTTATGTTTTCATTTATATTTTGTTTAGATATTTATATTTTTTATACATTTTTTATATTTTCTTTATACTTTTTGTCAAAGTAATTTCAAATTTTTTAAATTTTAATTATAAATGAGAGGAAAATTAATTAAATTTAATTAATTATAAAAGTCATTTAATGCCAATTACCGAGAGGATGAAATATTTCCAAGTCGACGAAAAATTAGACTATCACTGTCGATGCTCTAATGAGAAAAATTTAAATTATTTATCTGGCTCAAAAACGTCAGACGAAAGTGAAATCACAGAAATTTGGAAACGCAGTGACGAAGAATATCAAGTAATTTTTATTTAATTCTAATGTCAATTATTACTATTGTTTTGAAACAAAAAATTATTCATTTCACTTAATTTAATTCAACAATAATAAATTTTTTTTGTTGAAAAAAAGAAGAATAAAAATTAAAATGAATTTAATTTAATTGCAATTAAAATCAACAATTAATTTACTTTATTGAAAAAAGAGAAGAACAAATATTGAATATATTAATTAATGTAATTATTTACAACAATAATTAATTTCTTCTCGTTTTTGAAAAAAGAAAAGAACAAATATTGAATAAATTAATCAATTGAATTAAATTCTGCAAAAAAATTTATTTCTTTTCTATTTTTGCGCAAAAAGAGAAGAAAATATTTTTGTTAAATATTGACAATGATTGAATTAATTATATACGTGTATAAATATTTATTTTGCTAGAATTATCAATCGGGTAGTTTTGAAGAGAGTGATAAATCAAAGTATTCAACATCGTCTTCAGTAACGTCAGCAAATGAAGATATCACAGAATTGTCGAGGTCAATAAAAACTCAACGTGATTCCAGTGAATCCCAAGAAGATACGAAAAATTATATCGATGTCACTGGTGTATCTAGTAATTCTTCAGTTGACAAATTTCACGATTGTCAGTATTATGCAAATAAACTTTCTTTCTTTTTTTTGGATAATTATTTTCATATATCATTCTATATAGACAATAATTAAATTCAACTTCTTACACATCTGTTTGACCGGCTATCAAGAGCTCAGGAGCATTATATTATTATCACTTTTTCTTTACTCTGATAATTTTCAATGAGTATTTTTTGTTTACTCAAATTTATATTTTCCACTTTCTTTTGACCTGATTTCATTTTAATGTTTATATTTAATTAATTAATTAATCAACTAATTAATTAACGACAATAACACATTTTTTTTATTTTTGTATTTTTTAAATTTGTCGCTTTTTATTTATTAGATTTTTTTCATTTGGTTTATTTTTTATAGAAGTAATGACGATTTATTGTCATCACTATTATTTATTGTTTTAATTATTTTTTTAAGTATTATATTAATTTATTTATTGTTGTTTACTTGTTTGATTTTTTCATCTGGTTTATCGTTTGTTCGACAATTTATTTTTATTATTATTTATTCTTAGTATTATGTTATAATTAAAATAATAATTTACAAAATACTATATAAAACAATATAAAAAATAACAGAAATTTCTAAACTGTTTTTCTATTCTTTAAGCAGCAAATATTGGCGCAAGAGAAAAATACAATAATGAAGAAATAAAATCGAGAGATAAACGTGAAAAAATAAAAAATGAGTCATTTTTTGATGATGAAGAAAAAGTGAAACAAGGGGAAAAAAATATTTCTTTGGAAATTCCCAATGAGAGAAGAAATTATCAAAAATTATCAACAGAAAAACGTCTCTTTCGTAGAAGGTTTTTTTTGAGAGAAAATTTATTTCTTTTTTTTTTGAAAATTAATTAATTATATTAACCAGAGATTTTTTTTCAAGATACAATGAAAATTACTATACAAGTTCGGAAAATGAGAAGAAATCATTGGAAAGCGAAAGAAGAGATGAAGATAGTCAAGTCGATGAAGTTTACAAAGAAGCACCAAATAAATTCAAGAGGTATCTCTCCTTTTTAATAAAAAAAAAATCAATTTGTAAATTTTTTTCATTTAAGGGCATTTGAACCATGATGACGTCACAGATTTAAAACTAATGCTTTGCACAAACTGTGACGTCATCAAGGTTCAAATCCCCTTAAATAAAAAAAAAAATTAACTTGTAAATTAATTTTCTTACTTAATTATTTAATTAAATGAAAAAATTAATTTCTAATTTACTTTGTTTTATTGAATTTATTTTTATTTGTATATTATTTTGTAAAATAATACACAAAACGATAATAATAAAAATGAAAATAATTTTCTAAATAAATTTCTCTTTATTATTTCAAGTTGTAAATATTGTTGCAAGAGAAAAATATTAACTCGAGAAAATTGCCAAGAAGATTCTAATTATTCGCGAAGAAATTGCCGACAACTTATTCCGGAAAGGAAAATAATTTCACATTCAAAATTTTATGGAAGCTCTTATGAAAGTATATTAGATAAAAATGAAAAATTAATTCGCGATTTAGAAGAGAATGAGAGAATGAAATCTATACGTAAACGAGAAGACGAAAGACAAAAGAGATATGATATTGTGAGATACATTAGAGAGCATGGATCAACGCAAAGAGATTCAAAAATTTGTCAAACGTCACCTCACACAATAAACGAGCGAGTACGTATCAATTTTCTCTCTTTCTAAATATTCAGAAACTTTTTTTTTCTTATTAAACGTAAAATTTATTTCCTATTCTTTATTTTAATTTATTCTTTACTAAGAAAAAGGAAAATTGATTTAATTCAAATAACCGATTACTGGTCAATTATTTATCAAGCAATAATTTTTGATCAAATAAATTTTGAATGAAATAAGTAATTTTTATTTAAATCAATTGCATTTGATTGAATTGTATTTTAAATTAAATTTTATTTGAAACAATAATTTCTTGAAGCAAATACCATTTAATTAATTTAAATAAAATTTAAATTTATAAAATAAATTTAAATTATAAATTTAATTATAAATTTAAATTATAAATTTAATTATAAATTTAAATTTAAATTATAAAATAAATTTAAATTTCAATCAAATAAATTTTTTTTCAGAGTTTTTTTTTTGCTACATTTATATAAATAAATAATTATAACAAATGTAGAGCAAGTCTTTAGAAGCAAATAATATTAATTAATAATAATAAAAATACAATAATAATAATTATACCTAATAAATAATTAACTATTTAAAAAAATAGAAAAAAAGGAACACTCTGCCATATCAAGAAACGGAAGCTTTTAAAAGTCTTTTAAAAGAATATAAAGAGAAAGCAAAACGAGATGAAGAATTAACACCTGAAGGGTTTTCCGAAAAATCTTTATCTAAAGAGGAATTACGCAGTGACTCAACGAATGATACATTTTATATTTTCCAAAAAAACTTTCATCCTAACGAGTCCACTGATAATGATGATGATGAAACAACTAATTAATAGCTATACGTAAATTATTATCAATATATTACGCTAATAATTATTAGTATTTATTATACTATTATATGTAATTATTATACAATTAATTAAGGCAGTAATTAATTAAATATTAATTAATTAATAAGTAATAAATAATAATATTTATAATATATATTATTAATTATTATATTATATTATATTATATAATAATAACTATAAAAAATTATGATTATTTATGTCGAAGAAATTGTTTTAATAAATTTTATAATTTTATAAATTTAGTAAATTAATAAAATAATTTCAAATTATTATATATTGTAGATTATAGATTATAGATCATTTAATTAATAAAATACTAATTAATGCAATTTTCCGACTAATTAGTCTTCTATTAATGAAAATGAAAAATTTACTCTAATTACATCAGGAAGTTAAAACGTTTAGACTGTTTATTTAAAAAAAAAGGAAAACAAAAATCTATATTGTATTTTCCACTTGTACATTTATCGGTTTATAAATATTGACCTATGCCACTAATATGCAGATAATATAATCCTTCACTTTTGAACTTCTTTTATTTAATAGAGATTGAATTAAAAAATTGTATAGATTTTGAAATTTGATGAAAACAGAATTAGTGACATTTTGTTAATAATAAAAATATCGTTGATAAAAAATACATGCTATTAATATAAAATATATATTTAGAGGGAAATTTGTCACGAATTCCAATAATTAAGATTTGAGAAAGAGAAAAAAAAAATAGATGCTGCGTTTGATAAAAAAAGAGTTGATTTCATTATTAACAAAGTTTGCTGACCCCGAGGAGTTTTTCTTGTTAAAACCTTAAGTAGAATCACATGAAGTTATTTGTGTCACGTTTAAATTATCAGACGATAATAAATAATAAAAAAATGCCAGAAATTTTTGCAAAAAGGTGGAATGCAAAAATAGTTGAAAATGAATAAATTATTAAGAATGGAGAAAAGTAAATACATTTTTATTTAATTATTGTTGTTCTATTCTATTTGCATGTTTTTTTTTATTTCTTTATAATGTCAACCAAAGAAAGAAAAAAATATTTCCATATAAAATTTAAAAATTAATAATAATAATTCCTTCTATACAAAATTTTCTATGAAATATTTGTGATCTACAAAAGTATTTTGTTAAACAAATCATTCTATTGCGTTATTGTAAAATATCAGCTGTACTAACAATATACGATATTTTCTTTTTTTTCTCTTTTTTTGAAAAAAACTGTATTTTCATAATTTTAATTGTATATTAATTTCGTTATCATCTGTTTTTCAGATGTTATACATTCATAGTTTATGCGACAATAATGTAAACACGCGTCATTTTGTTTGAACGAATTTCAAAATTTTTCAAATAGAATAAGCAAATTTATTAAAAACATTTAAATAAGAGAAGAAAAATAAAATTTTTTTTATCATGACGAAATAAATTTTTAAAAAAAGAAATTTTTCGTTAAGAAAATACAAGCCAAAAAGAAAAGGTACAAAGAAAATTAAATTAAATAATTAAAAAATATACATAAAAAACAAGAAAAGAAGAAAATATTTTTTTTGAAATTTTTCATTTCTTCTTGAATTAAAGAAAACAAAAGAAAATTTCGTTGAATAAAATTCAATAAGATTCAATTTTTATTCAAATTCAATTAAGTAAAAGAAATTAAATTTTTACTCAAATTCCATTGAATTCAATTTTTATTCAATTTTAATTCAATAAAAATAATTAAATTTTTACTTAAATTCAATTCAATAAAAGAAATTTAATTTTTATTCAGATTCTATTAATTAAAAAAAATTCAGTTTTTATTCAAATTCCATTCAATACAATACAAACAAATTCAATAAGAATTCAATTTTTACTCGAATTCGATTCAATTAAATTCAATAAACGGAATTAAATTTTTATTCAAATTTCAATAAATACCATTCATTTTTAATGTAATAAAAAGAATTCGATTTTTACTCAAATTTAATTATTTAAAAGAATTCAATTTTTACTCAAAATCAATTAATTAAATTAAATTCAATTTTTCATCAAATTCCATTCAATCAGTTAAATAAAAATAATTCAATTTTTACTCAAATTCCATTCAATTAATTCAATAAAAATAATTCAATTAATTAAAAGAAGTTCAATTTTTATTCGAATTCCATTCAACACAATTTATTTAAATTCAATAATCGAACTCAATTTTTTCTCAAATACGATTCAATAAAAGAAATTTAGTTTTTTCTTAAATTCGATTCAATAAAAAAAATTAAATTTTTCATCAAATTCCATCCAATCAATTCAATAAAAATAATTCAATTTTTCATTAAATTCCATTAATTAAAAGAAATTAAATTTTTCATCAAATTGCATTTAATCAATTCAATAAAAATAATTCAATATTTTTATCAAATTCCATTTAATCAATTCAATAAAAATAATTCAATTTTTACTCAAATTCAACTAATTAAAAGAAATTCAATTCTTCATCAAATTCCATTCAATCAATTTAATAAAAATAATTCAATTTTTCATCTAATTCCATTGAATCAATTCAATAAAAATAATTTAATTTTTACTCAAATTCAACTAATTAAAAGAAATTCAATTCTTCATCAAATTCCATTTAATCAATTGAATAAAAATAATTCAATTTTCACTCAAATTCAATTAATTAAAAGAAATTCAATTTTTATGTAAATTCCATTCAATACAAAACAATTAAATTCAATAAAAAGATTTCAATTTTTACTCAAATTCGATTCATTAAAAGAAATTCAATTTTTACTCAAATTCGGTTCAATAAAAAAAAAAAGGTGAATCAATAAACGATTAAAAATTATTATTAAAAAATATAAATCAATAAGAAAAACAGGAAAAAGAGCAAATAAAGGAAAGAACAAAAATATCAAAAAGAGTAAGAAAAAAACGGAACAGAACACTATTTCAAAGGACAAAGTATATTATAAAAATTGATTGGCAACCAAATGTCTTATATGGCACGTTGATTATATTCAGTACTTGTGTACCCCTTAGACTTGGAAGCGATAACAGTTGTTTAGTGATTCATATGGAGTAGGGATTAACTTCTCGGTAAATCAAGTTCGTGGATGTTGAGAGCGCGAATTCATTGGTTTCTTCAGTCTTTCATAAACTATTCATCAATATTGACTTTGAAAAATCTATACATTCAATTATAAATTTTTCCCCTCTCCCCCCAAAAATAAAATCCCATTCAAAACCAAAAAAACAAAAAAATCCCCCAAAAAAATATTTTCTTTGTAACATGATATTTTATTGTATTTAAACGATTTGACACAACCTGTTCTGTTTCATTTCTCGCGCGATCTCCGTACCGTCATAAACTTTTACACGCGGGAGAGAGAAAGAGTTCAGGTGGGACGTAAACTTTACCAAGTTGAGTGTGTGTGCAATATATATTTTTTTTAATTATTAAATAATAAAAAAAAACTTAAGCGGGTTTTTTTTTATCAGAACTAGTGATTATTTATATTTTTTATCTCTAATATAACTGATAAATTTTTAAGAATTTATTCTACAAAGTAATTTTTTTGTTTGAAAATTTTTTGTTTTCATTTTGTTTTCAATTAATCGCGGTGAAAGGAGAAAATATGGAAGTGTTTAGCAACAACAACAAGTGCCAATCGTTAATGAACGATTATCCTTGCGATAAAGACATGAATGAAACGCCAATTACTAAAGGATTAAATTTACAGGAACTTATTCATCATTTATACGATGCTTTTGAAACTGATAATGTTAATATTGATAGGGTTCAGGATATTATGTTGGCGTACAGAAGCAATCCTCAAGATTGGAAGAAATACGCCAAATTTGACAGATACAGGTGACGAAACATTTGTTTTTTGTTTTTATAGTTCATTTATTTTTACTCTCTTTTCCTTTTTTTACTTTCCATTTTTTCACTCTCTTTCCAATTTTTCTTTTTCTATTTTTTTCTTTACATTTTTTATTCTCTTTCCATGTTTTTTAAATTATTCTTTTCTTTTTATGTTAAATAATATTAATATTAATTAAAATTATTTATTTTTAATTTTATTATGAAAATAATATTATTATTATTTATTTACAAAAATAAGTACGTTTATTATTATTATTATTATTACACAAATTATTATTTGACGCTTATCGACAAAAAGCATATATTGATTATTATTATTTTTATGATTGACGCAATTTTTTTCTTAAAAAATAGTAAAAATTATACTATATTATTATTACACAAATTATTATTTGACGATTATCAACAAAAAGCATGTTGATTATAATAATTATTAATTATTAATATTTTTATTATTATTCACTATTTTTAATTATTGTTTGATAGTGACAATAATAGATTGTATACAGTAATATTTTTTCAATTCTCAAAATTTTGTTGTGAAATAATTTAAAAAAATAGTGAAATTATAAAAAAATAAAAAAATAGTGAAATAATTAAAAAAAAAAGAAAAAATAGTAAAATAATGAAAACATGAAAAAATAATGAAGAAAATAAAAAAATAGTGAAATAATTAAATAAAGAAAGAAATGGGGAAATAATTTTTCTTTTCGAACCATTTACATAAATTTGGATGACGAAAAAATATTTCAATTTGAAAAAAATCTAATTTGCATCACAGATGATGAAAAAAAAAATATTTACTCCTTTTACTGTTAGATTAGTTTCTCCCGTTATGTTTACAAAAAATTAATTCTTGACCAAACGAGTAATTTTAATCTATAAAGAAGAAATTTCCTTTCACTTAATATATTCTAATATTTCTTAAGAAAAAAATAACTTATGAAATTCATCAAATATTCTGGATTACAAAAAAAAAAAAATGAACAAGAAAAAAATTCTTGTATTTCTATATATATTAGTTATTTGTTTAGCTATAAAATTCACTTTCACTCTTTATATAGACATATTAATTATATGCACATACATTATGCAAAGTCAGACAATAAACTACAAAATATAGTTTATTACTATCTAGGAAAATTTTCCTTTATCTCAAATAACAATGGAAAAAGTTTTTTTTTCGCAGTTTTTGTTTTTTTTCTGTTCAATTTTTCAATACTATATATTACAAGAGTTTCAATCATATCGTATAAAATTTGAATTGTGTGAATAAAAGAGCGCAAGATACACATTATAAATTTTATTATTTATCTTTGGTCCATTCATAACTGACAAAACGAAAATTACACTCTCTCTCCCTGTATAATGCACTCTTAACAATCTATTGTATTTTGTCTTTCATTTGTAATTTTTGTAATATTTACAGACTCGAAATATTTTTTTACTGTAAAATTCTAATGAATAAAATATTTATATTTGTTATTTTTTTTTTAATTAGTCTTTTAATTAAATCAAATTAATTAATAATTAAATTCTAATCAGCGAATTGGGTTTTCTATTGAGAGAATATAGATTTCAAAGTGAAACAGATAAAGTGTCACAAAGTTCAAACTTGATATCAATCCCCTAGACTTTGTGGAATTTTCAACACTACGAAACAAAAGGAGAAAATATTTTTTATTCTCTGTGTTTTTTTTTCTAATACACTACTTATTTGTCTAATGACGTAAATTTAAATTCTAGTGACAGAATCACGAATTTTGTTTAAACAATAACAATTTGTAATAATAATAATAATAATAATTAATTAGTTAATTAATTAATAAAAAATGCTAATTAATTAAAAAATATTTTTAATTATTTTGTTTTTTATTTTAATCGAAAGATAATTATGGAGTTATTAATTTTTATATAATTGTTATAATTTGTATATATTTATTTATATTAATTTATATATAAAATAATAAATTCAAATTCATTATCAAATTGAAGGAATTGCATTTAAACTTTAAGTTTTGTATATTAAATTAAAAATGCGTTTTTCTAAAAATAGTATAATCTCGAAGTTTTAAGCGTTAAAAAATGAGGTCTTGTCAGTCACGTCAATAATATTCATAATTATACTCGATTATATTACGCGTGTATAATTTATAAATTATTACTTGATTTGAAACCAGTAGTAATTGTAATGATTTATTGAATCAAAATCAAACACAATTTACAGTTTCTTTTTATCATAAAGAAGATAAAAGGTGCCTTTAATTTTTTCTTATTTTCTTTTTTTTTTCATGAACCAATTGCACGAAATTAATGAAAATTAAAGAAAATTAGTTAATCAAAGAAACAAAATTAATTAATTATAGAAAAGAAATGAACAATTAATGATAAGCAAAAAATAGTAATAAAAATTAATAAACAAACTTTTTACTTTCATTCATGTTATGAATATTGTTTCTTATCATTAATTGTTTTTCATTCTTTATTTCAATATTCATTTCAATATTCCATTGAATGACGTTTTTCTATTAAGTAATAATTGTTGTTAATTATTGTTAGTCAATTTTCGAAAATATTATTCAGTACTAAAAAATAAGGAATTTTCCAATATTACGTAGAAAAATATTTGTGTCGAATAAAACGGATAAATAGGCAAAAATAGCAAAATCGAAAAATACAAATATAAGAATTTTATTTTTTAAAAAAATGTAAATAAAACGTAAGAAAAAGATAAGAGGCACGTGCTGAATTTTACACGTATTGATCAAGATTAATAACTTCATTTTGAAATAATACAATTTTTTTAAGTCTTTAAAAAAATATCCAATTATTTTTATTCGCTTTTGATTAATTCAATGTTGAAATAGAAGTCAATACCAAATTTTTGAATTTATAAATAAATAATAAAATTCATTTAAATTTAGCAAATAATACTTTTTAAACAAAGTTCATCACAATTTTTCTGGTTCATGTGAAAGATTAGATAAAAAATTATAAATTTTTGGTCAAAAGTTAAATATATAATTGAGTTTAATATAAAAAAACATTCATCAAAATGATATTTGGAATTTAATCAAAATGAAAATGCATTTTTCGAAAAATGTACTTCTTACAATGTCTAGACTGATAAAAATGAGTTAATAATTAAAAAAATGTATGAGAACGAAAAACAATAAACAAATAATAAAAAAACAAAATAGCAAAGGTAACAAAATAATACAATAGTAAAATAACAAAATAACGAAACAATAAAAGAATAAAATAATAAAATAAAATAATAATAAAAAAGAACAAAATTGAAAAGTAATAAAAAAGGAATAATAAAATAATTTTCTTTCAAAAAAATTCCAGATATACGAGAAATTTAGTTGACGAGGGAAATGGCAGGTTTAATCTCATGGTTATTTGTTGGGGAGAAGGACATGGATCAGCAATTCATGATCATGCCAACGCTCATTGTGTTATGAAAATTCTACAAGGACAATTATGTGAAGTAATTTTTATCAAAAATTTCTTTCTCAATTAATTTCTTCAATTTTTTTTAAATGAGTCTCTAAATTGTAAATTAAAAATATTTCAAAATTATTCTCAACTATTGTTAAATTTGATTTTAATTTTTAGACAACGTACGCAATGCCTTCTGATAATGAAGATGAAACCAGTTCTGAAACACAGAAACTTCGTGAAACTGGAATATCTACACTTGATCTTAATGAGATTACATATATTAACGGTAAAGAAAAATTTCAAACTTTCATCTCGATATAGCTAATAAAAAAAAGAAAGAATTATTTTTTGTCTGTGCAAAAAAAATTTAATAATAGAAAAATAAATTCCCTTCAATTCGAAAATAAAATAATTTTGAATTTTTTAAATTCAAGGATCAAATTGAAATTTCTGATTAATTAAATTAATCCCATTAAATTAATAAATTCTGGTTCCAATCGGAAAAATTAATAAACAAACTAAATTTTCAACTCTCGTGAAAAGATTAAAAAGAGAAAAAAAAGAAAAAAATTCATTGTCTAACTTTTCAGATTCCATTGGACTTCATCGTGTGGAAAATCCAAGTACTGTCGACACTGCAATTTCTTTACATCTTTATTCACCACCGTATTCCAAATGTAATATTTTTAATAAAGAAACTGGTCAGAGGTCTCCTATTAAGGTCACATTTTGGTCCAAGTACGGAGAGCACCGTAATCGGGTATGGCATTTGTCCTTTTATAATCAAGATCATTCCCTATTTCGCTTTTTAATTAATTATAATTTTCTTTCAGGAAATTCAAGAAACAAGAACACCCGAAGATAATTAATTGCAAAAAAAAGAAGAAAATTTCCCATTTCTGTATTTTGCAAACAATTATTAATTATCTATACTTTTATACTCATTCGTTAAAAAATCGATCGATTAATCAAAAAGCATATATATTTTAAATCCAAAAAGTACATTTAATTCAAAAAGACAATAAAATGTGTGATAAATGTTTTAGCAAAACGTTCTTTTTGTCAATTTTGTGTACGGATTTCTTTTTTAACGAATATTGTCAAGAATTAATGTGAAAATTATTTCGTATAATTATTTTACCTTAATAATAATTTAGGTAAAATTGATTTAATTTGTAACGTTTTTTTTTTAATTTTGATGAAATTAGAGATATTTTTTTAATTACTTTTCTCTTTAAATTATTATTCTAATAAAAATAGTTTTTATATTTTGCACAAAATGTTTGACGCACATATGTTAATATGTATAAGTTTAAGAAATAATCAATTAGATTTTAGTTAATTTAGTTTTAAATAATCTTATAAAAATTATATTTTTATTATGTTCTTTTATAATCATTGTTTTAAGAAAAATTTAAATTGTGTCAATGTGAAAAAATACGTCAACGTCTATTTTATTTACTTTATATTTCATAAAGATCTTTAATGTATAAGTGAACATTGAATAAAAAATGTATTATTCCCAAAAAAAAGAAAAAGAATCAATTTTTTTTTTCAATTCAATTTTTTATTATTTTGTTTTTCCCTGATTTCAATTCAAATTTTCAAAGATTTTAATTTGAACCCTTTTCAAAATTCAATTATTTCTAAAAATTGACACAATAACTCTTCTAATATTCAATTATTATCTAAAATTTTACCTGAAATTCATTTTTTAATAAATCTTTATTAGAAAATTTTTCGAGAATTCAATTATTTACATACAAAAATAAATAATATATTCAAAAGTTGAATATTTCTTAAAATTGAATTTTCATGAAGAATTTTATCAAAATTTTTAAAAAGAATTGAATTCTTTCGGTGTATTTAAAAACAAATTTAACAATAAATGCAATTTTCTATCATTATATTTAAAATTGAATAAAAAATAATTGAAATTCTGCGATAAGTTTTGTTATTTATGAAAATAATTGAATTCTTGCAACGAATTTTATTAAAAAATTTTATAAAGAATTGAATTCCTCTAAAGGATTTTATTTATAAAAATAATTGAATTCCGGAGAAAAATATTATTATTCATGAAAATAATTAATTTCTTGTGAAGAATTTTATTCAAATTTTTTTAAATAATTGAATTTCTCAGAATTTTTTAAAACTTTTTGAAAATAATTTAATTCCATCCAGAAATTTCATTAAAAAATTGAAAATAATTGAAATCTGACAAATAATTTTAAAAAATTCTTTTTTAAATAATTGCATTCCTGTGAAAATGTTTATTTTTGAAAAGAATTGAATTCTTGGGAAAAATTTTATTAAAATTTCCTAAATAATTGAATTGCTTTAAAGAATTTTATTTTTTACGACAATAATTGAATTCTTTCGAAGATTCTTACAAACATTTTTGACAATAATTGTATTCCTAGGAAGAATGTTATATTTTACAAAAATAATTTTATTCTACGACCAATTTTATTATAATTTTTCAAATTTATAAAGCATTTTATCAAAATTCTTTTAAATAATTGAATTCTCAAGAAAAATTTTATTATTTATAAAAATAATTGATTTCTAGCGAAGAATTTTATTGAAATTTTTTTCAAATAATTTAATTCCCATAACAAAATTTATTATTTTTGAAAATAATTGAATTCTCAAGAAGAATTGTATTGAAAATAATTGAATTATATAAGAAAATTTTATCAAAATTGCAAGTTTATTAACTACCTAAATCTTGTAAAAAATGTTGTAAACATTTTTTTTTAATAATAGAATTTTTAAAAGAACTTTATTTAAATTTTTCGAAATAATTGTATTTCTCTGAACTATTTTTTCAATTCTTTGAATATATTTGAATTCTTTCGAGAAACTTTAATAAAAAATTTAAAAATGATTGAATTAGTGCGAAGAAATATATAAAAAATTGGTTTGTATTTGAATTCCTGTGAAATTTTTATTAAAATTTTGTTTAAATAATAGAATTTTTTTGTAAAATTTTATTAAAATAGTAGAGATTAAAAAAAAATTGAATTGAGGAAAATTTTTGAAATTTTGCCAAGAATTTTATTAAACAAAAAACACCAAAATTCAGAATATTCTTATAAATTCTAAAAATTCAATTTCCTCCAGTACTTTTAATAAAAATTCCTGACTTTTCCCTGACCAATTCTAATTTCCCCGACTTCCCTGACTTGTGGCAACCCTGATTATTGTTCTCTTTTATTTTTAGTTTTGAAACTTTTTTTTTATTTTAATTTTTGATACTAATTTTTTATTTTTTATTCTAATTTTAATTTTTGATATTAATTTTATATTATTGATATTATTTTCTTCTATCTCTATTTATTGTTGATACGTTTTTATACTAGTTTCTATTTCTATATAACTTATTTTTACTGTTTCTTTACCTTATTACTAATTCATATCCCTAATGTCGTGCAGTTAGTCGAAAAATATTTCTATAATTAAAAAAAAAATTGCTAATTTACCTGCGATAAATGTGAATGAGTGCCGACTGTGAAAATTGATCTGTTTTCAAATTAAACAGAAACCGGATCCATTGGGAGGCTGAGCGGGAACACCACGTTTGTTCATTCGGCAAGAATGTTCCTCAAGACGTTTAGAGACGAAATTCATAGGTTGTATGTTAAAACTCCAAAGTCGTTCAGCAGCTGCACTTGCTCTCGGCCAAATTCTTTGATGCAAATTATTCCTAAGAAATCATAACAGAATATTAATAATAAATACTTTTTGCTAATCATTCATTTTTTGAAAGAAAAAAAAAGAAATTTAATATTTGTGAATTTTTATAAGAAAATATTGATACCTATCGACATATTCCCCCCACATACAAGCCTCACCCCCCAACATAAGTTTCTTTTGATCCTTAGAACCGGAAAATAACAGTGGATCACAGTAGTAAAATTTTTTCCAATCTCCTCCACTTAAAAGATCACTGAGGTACCAACAAGCTGAAAGTAACACAGGATTTCCGGCGTTTGTTACTTTACTAATTTCCTTTTTCCAAGCTGGACCAATCCAAACTTGAACGATTGTGTCGTTTTCGATTTTCACTCCATTATCGAATACCTATTTCAAAATTAAATAGCTAATTTCGAGTTTAATAATTTAATATCAATATCAAAATTCGCAAAAAATCTTTTTCTCATTTATTACAGATTTATTTAAGAAATGTATTAAATTATCTAAATTGTGTATTTTTAAAATTACCTCTTGCCAGACGATTGTTTTCGAATTGAGATTATTCGTTATATTGATCAATTTACTGATGTAGAGATTTTCCAGGAGTGTGAAATTTTTCGTCATATTGTGCTCCTTCATGAAATTAATAATTTGAGAATTACTCTCCCAACATTTGAATGGCACTTCATCGCCTCCAAGATGGAGATATTTTTCCGGGAAAACATCAACAATCTCATGAAACAATTTGTCCAAAAATTCGTATACTTTCGGATTTGTCGGATCGAGAGGTCCAACAGTTCCATCTAAATTTCCATTTTTATCTAAAGATTACAAAATATTATTAATTAGACTGAAACAAATTAAATTTCATCAAAAAAGTATTTTTAAGTTAAATTTCGAAATGTAGTTAAAATACAGTTAAAATTTGAACCTTATTTAGTTAAATTTTAACTATATTTATAGTTAAAATTTTAATTATAATTTTTGAACTATGAATACAGTTTAAATTTTAATACAAGTAGAATATATATTAATTTTTTATTTAAAAAAATAGTTGAATTAAAATGCAGGAAGGAAATTAAATCCGACGTACCGTAACATTTAGTGAGTAACTCGGGATATCCTTGGCCCCACGATTCCGTATGCCCAGGTGTATCAAATTCAGGAATGACACGAATTCCACGAAGTCGGGCATAATTTATTATTTCTTCGATATCGTTTCTCTTGTAAATCATCGATGGATGATAAGCGCCTTTTGATGATAATTCTGGAAAAACTGCGCTCTCATATGGAAAACTATTGTCGTCGACAATATGCCAGTGAAATACGTTTAATTTATTGTAGGACATTGCATCTAAAGTGAGAAGAATATCCTTAACGGGTAGAAAATGACGAGACGTATCCAAAAGAAGTCCTCTGTGTGGCAATCGAGGTTTATCTTCAATAATTTGTCTTTTTATTTTCAACTGGAATTACAAATGAAATTTCCTATTAATTCTAATAAATGAACTCCAGGCTTCGTACTCGATAATTAGTTTTAAAAGAGCATCAAAAAGTAGCTTAAAAGACATAAAAAAGTAGTAAAAAAGTAGCTATCGAAAAATTAAACTTGACGGCTCAATTTTTTTTTATAATTTCTTAATTACATTCAAAAATAGAATAATTTTTTAAAATAAATATTTAAATACCTATTTATTTTGTCTGCAGGAATTAAAATATTTCAAATGATTTCAATGTAACGCATTTTTAAAATTTAACTATTTCTAAAAATTACAAAATTAATTCTTTCAAAATTCAATCATTTTTTTCTTGAAATTTATAAATAAAATTATTCAAAACTTTAATAAATTTATTTTATTCAATTCTAAATCAATTCTTATTAGAAAGTTCTACGAGAATGAAATTATTTAAATACAAAAATAAATAATTTATTGAATAATTGAATCTTTCTTAAAATTGAATTCTCATAAAGAATTTTATCAACTAATTTTTAAATAATTGAATTCTTTTGAACAATTTTAATAAAATTTTTAAGAATAATCACATTTTTCGAGGAATTCAATTAAAATTGTATTAAAAATAATTGAACTTCTGCGATGAATTTTATTATTTATAAAATAATTGAAATCCTGTCAAATTTTTATTATTTACGAAAGTAATTAAATGTTTGCGTATAATTTCATTAAAATGTTATTTAATTAATTGAATTATTTTGGAAAATTTTATTAAAATAGTAAATATATTGAAAATCATTAAATTGAGAAAACTTTTTGAAAATATTTGAAATTTTGCCAAGAATTTTATTAAATTTTTTTTAAATAATTGAATTTCGTAGAATTTTTTATTTATAAAGATAATTGAAATTTTTACGAGAATTTTTAAAAATTTTATTGAAAATGATTGAATTCTTGGAAAGTATTTTAAAATAATTGAAATTTTGACAAGAAATTTATCAAAATTTTTAAGAATGATTGCGTTTTTAGCGAAATTAATTTCAAATTATATTAATAAAGTTTTTAAAGTAATTGCATTCTTTAGAAGAATTTAAAAAAAAAACTTTTTAAAGAAATAATTTTTTTCAAAAAATCTAATGAAAATTGTGTTTTAAATAATTGAATTTCTTTGAAAATTGTATATTATTAATGAAAATAATTAGATCTTTTTCAAAAAATGTTATTAAAATTATTTTTTAAAAAATCCAATATTATAAAAAATTTAATTAAAATTTTTTTAAATAATTGAATTCTTTCAAAGAATTTTATTGAAATTTTTAAGAATAGTTGCATTTTTCGCGGAAATCATTTAAAAATTGTATTAAAAATAAATGGAATCCTACGATGAGTATTAATATTTATAAAAATAATTGAATTCCTGAGAAGAATTTTATTATTTATAAAAATAATTGAATTCTTGCGAAGAATTTTATAAAATTCTATCTAAATAATTGATTTTTTCGAAAAATATTAAGAAAATTCTAGTTTAAATAATTGAATTCCTGTGAAAATTCTTTTATTTATAATAATAATTGAATTTTTAAAAATATTTTATTTTAACTGTTAACAAATTAAAAGTAGTGTAAATTCTTAAACATGCAATTTCAATTACACTTGATATTTCTTCTTTGTTAAAATCGTTTTTTAATTACTTTGGTCTTTTATTACGAAATAATTTAATTTTGTCGTTTTCATAAAATACTTACACTATTTCCTTCTCCGGATGCTGACAATAATTGACTGAAAGTTTCGAGACCACGAAGAGCGCCCCACACTGAATTTGCATTTAAATTGGATTCATTTTCCATAATTTCCAAAATATCTGTAATTCGGAGTAATAAGTTCAATGTAATATTCAATTTCAAAATAATATTTTTTTTGCAATTGAATTAAAATTATGATCCATAAGTTCAAATGAACGAAATATTTTTTATTGAAAATATTCTAAATTACTGATTGTAAAAGAAAATTAATTAAAACTTAAATTTTATAATATTTAGAAACATAATTAATTTTTTTTATAGCGACGCAAAATTATAAATTTAATTTGAAGAAGAAATAAATAAATTTCGCTCATTTGAACATTCGGAACTAAAATTTTCTCTAAAATAATTACATGACTCATCCATATGAAAATAGGGCATCTTTTCACAAATTTTCAATTTTTTTACACTAAGACGAGTCAAATTTCCTTTTATTGACGGATCTTGGTTTTCATTTCCTTGAGTGAAGCGTCCAGCCGAATTTGATTCTGCGACAATAATTGCCACGTATCTTCTAACAGCATCTTTCAAAATTTGGCAATTATCATCTTCTGTCTGCAAAAATAAATCGTAAAAATTAATAATATTCATTTACTCTCCCTGCTGTAAAAATTGAAAATATTTTTCATAAATAAAAATTTTGTTTACTTTTATTTAAATAATATTCAACTTACATCAATGATAAAATTTGCTGGTTGCAATAATAATGATTCATCAGCCGTATTTCTGACCCATGGTAAAGGCCATGGTTCGCCCTCGGTTGCCGGAAACCATGATCCGAAATTTAACTTTTCGAATGCAAATAAATCACAAAACAATGACAGTACAAGAAATAAATAGATATATAAATTCATAATTTCAATATTTAGATAAAGTATCTTCACTCTAATATGATTATGTTTTGTTATAAATTAACAATCACTCTTCTTATTTATTGACTAAAGTCAAGTGAACCAAGGAAACTTTTCATCTGAAGATTAAATTTTTGATATCAAATCAGTTTTGCAGATTATAATTTACCGAATATTTGACATAAAATATTAATTTATTATTTATTTATTAATAAATTAGAATCACAACACGAGTGTTTTGATCTATAAAAAATTCTCTCACTAGCCAAAACAAAAGTTCGACAATAATAACCACGTGCGAGTACCCGTAATTATTAAAAATTGCAATAAAAAATTGCAACACTGGTTATAAAAATAGTACCAGGTTATTCAACTCATGTGTTTTTAGGTTTTAATCAAAAAATACACGATAAAATCGGTTCGATATGCATCTATAAATGATAAAAATTTTTTGTTTTCTAATAGTCCCATAATAATTTCGAAAAGTTACAAGATGAAACATAATAAAAAACACTAAAATTCTTAATAGCAATATGCATATTTATCGACTAAAAGACTAATACAATTAGTAATAATAGTTTAAAAGCAATTACCACTCACTTTTCATGCAGAATAATTAATATTTTTCTAATAATTCTCTCGAAATTCTCCAAAAATAGTGCAAAGTAAAAATATTTTGAGGTTATGTACCTTGATTTTTTTCCAGTGTTCCGATCGCCTGACAAAAGTAAAGGTGTTAAGGACAAGTATCGCCACTTCCGTACTTTTACAATTGGTAAACAATTATTCACTTTTTTCACGACAAATATTATAAGCGTAGCATATAAAAGTAACATTAAATATTAAACACCGCAGAAAGAAGAAAACTGTTAGAGCTGTTAGAAAAGCCGCGAATGTCTGTGCGCAGAACAGTTCTATTCTCCATTCGTTCGCGCAGCCGGAAGTAACGTAATGACAATCCTAGTCAAAATAGTAATTTTTAATTGCAACATTCTGTCGTTTTTAAAAAAATATAAAAATAATATTATAATTGTAAGTTATAATTAAGCGTCTTGTAATGTCTGTAATAACACTTGGTACAATATAATTAAAGAATTCTTCGAATAATAGTAAAAGTATTAATATATTTTTAAATTAGTGTTCCGGACTTCCGGTTGAGATGAAAACTTTCCACCAATCAAAATATTGCTTACAAATATCCGACGAATCAGAGAACAGATTATTCAGTAACCGTTTATTTTTGTTCAGTGTTGTTGAAACTGTCGTCAAGTGTTGTTTTCTTTACATTATTTTGAATTTTTTATCAAATTAATATAGTTTTTCTTTATTGTCTATTAAATTTGTGTTCGTTAAGTGTTATTTAAGTGTAGGAAGTGCAATATTTCGTTAAAAAGACATTCAATTAAATATTGATCAATTGTGAAAATGCGGTCAAAATACAACGTTAAATTTTGAGGTTAGTTTTACTCCAATTTCTTGTTTTATTATTTATAAATCTTATAAATTAAAAATATTTATTTATTAGCGTTTTGAAAATAATTGAATTTTGTGAACAATCTTCTAGTTTTTAAAATAATCGTGTTTGTTAATTATTGAAATTAAACATTTAATTATTGAATGTTATTAAAATTTTAGAAAATAATTGCGAATTCTTTTTGAAAAATTTTATGACAAATTAAAAGAAATTGAAATTCTTTCGTGAATTTTTTTGAAAATAATTGAATTTTTGCAAAGAATTTTACTATTTATAAATAAAATTGAATTTTTTCGAAGTTTGCAAAGAATTTTACTATTTATAAATAAAATTGAATTTTTTCGAAGGATTTATAAAAATTTTAGAAAATAATTGATTTTTTGCAAAGAATTTTATAAATTAAATTGAATTCTTTGCAAGGATTTATTAAAATTTTTTAAAATAATTGTATTCGTTCGTGAAATGTTATGAAAATTTTGTTTAAAAATAATTGAACTTTTGCAAAAAATTTTACTATCTATTTATAAAAATAATATTGTATTATTTCGAAGGATTTATAAATTTTTTAAAAATAATTGAATTTTTTCGAAGGATTTATAAAAATTTTAGAAAATAAATTATTTTTTGCAAAGAATTTTGCTATTTATAAATAAAATTAAATTGTTTCGAAGAATTTATAAAAAGTTTAGAAAATAATTGAATTCTTTTGAAATGTTTTAAAACGAATTAAGAAAAAAATTTCAATTCTTTCGTGGATTTTTTTTTTGAAAATAATTGATTTTTTGCAATAGTAAACTATTTATAAATAAAATTTTAATTGTTTCGAAGGATTTATAAAAATTTTTTAAAATAATTGAATTATTTTTAAATATTTTATAACGAATTAAGAAAAAAATTAAATTTTTTTGTGATATTTTTTTGAAAATAATTGAATTTTAGCAAAGATTTTACTATAAAAATTAATTGAATTGTTTTGAAGAAGTTATTAAAATGTTAGAAAATAATTGTATTCGTTCGTGAAATGTTATTAAAATTTTGTTTAAAAATAATTCAATTTTCCAAAAAAATTTACTATTTTATAAAAGTAATTTAATTCTTACGAATATTATTATTTATGAAAAAAATTGAATTCTTGTGAAGAATTTTTGAAATTAATAAACAAGAATAATTAATTAGTAAATTAGTTAATAATTGAATTTTTAAAAGTTTGAATCTGAAATTATTCAAAATTATGGCATACGATTGAAAAATAATGAATTGAAATTAATTACATTTATTTTTTTCCAGTTAATTAATTTGGTGGATTATCTCAATTCCGATTGCTTCTCCGGCTAATCTCTACAAAGGTAAACAATTCTAATTTCTTCTTCCAGAATCCAAGTAAGTCTTAATAATAATTTCTTGAAATTTTTTCGATTTTTCCCTGCGATACAATTTGGAATTTCACAATTTAACGATTCCAAATTGAAACGATTATTCGCGTTTTAAGACCACGTTTATAATCATGAAAAATAATTATTTAGTCAGTCTACATTATACTTATAATTTATTGCGTAGAATAATGAAATATTTACATATAATATTTCTTTTTATTCGCTCTTTTTTTATCATTAACAGTTCTTTCTTAATTAAACCCTTATATAAGTTTATAATGAAAAAGTTATAAAATATAAATCTTTATAATTACACATATACTTCATTTTTTTAAGAAAATAAATTTTTCATTCTCATATATAGAAATATTTCTAAAACTATTCACTATTATTAAAAAGTCGAATAATAATCTTTCGAAATACAGAAAAAAATAAATCGTTAAATTCATTTTCTAGGGAAATATTTTTTCACCTCTAAAATTTTCTTTTTTTATCGAGAAAATCGTTGATTTAAAAATTACAAAATTTACGTCATAAAATACGTAAATTTTAATAGAAAAAAAATGCAATAACTGATATTAAAAGAATAAAATTTTAGAATTCGTATTGCGATACAAATATAAATATCTTAGCAACAGCGCTTCCAACGAACATTGCATCGTGATAAATTTCCATGCTAAGATCAAGTTCTATTTCTTGTGGACCTTGAATAGATTTAACGAGAGCGAGAACAACTTGCGATGGTGCTGGTCTACGCATTGCAAAACATGATTCGGTTGCTCGAATAACTCCCGGTGGTGCTCTAGCTTCAATAAATGACATGCTAAATTGCAATGACGATCCGGGTAAATGTGTTCCTCGCATTGTAAAAAGTTCCAACTGTCCACTTCTTGGCATTGGCAAATTACTCACGAATGTAATGAAATTATAGGAATAATGCGAGGGTTGTCGCAAGCACGCCTGATCCGTTATTTGACAATATCGCGAAGCCTTCACACATCGGCTGCAAAATTTCAAATTAATTAATTAGAATTCGAATTTCGAAAAAAAAGAAACAAAATAAAAATTTCTATCAATTAATTAGAAAAAAAAATTATTGCAATAATTAGAAAAATAGAAAATAAGTACAATAATTAGAAAAATAGGAAATAATTATAATAATTAGAAAAATTGAAAATAAATATAATAATACAAAAAGAAAAAGTAATTATTAATTACTATAATTAGAAAAGAAGAAAATAATTACAATAATTAAATACAAAAATAAAAAATTGCAATAAGTAAAACTATTTTTTTTAATTAGTAATTATTTTTAATTTAATAATATACTCACTTCTTTTTTTCGTTATCTAAATAATAACCCGAAGGACAATCAATTTTATTGCATCGATAACCACCTCTTGTATTTTGGCACATTTCATTCGAATTGCCACAAACTTGTCCCATTGAACATTCATCATTATCTAGAAGAAAAAATTAATAGAAATTAAAATTATTATTTAGTAAATTAAAATATTAGAAGAGAAAAATTAATAGTAATTAAAATTATTAATTTCTAATATGAAATATTGGAAAAACGATTAGTAGAGATTAAAATTTAATTTAATTAAATTATCAATTTACAAATTAAAATATTAGATAAAAGATTAACATTTTTACTGATGAAATTAAAATTATTTATTTATGAATTTATTTTCTATTCAATTTCTAATTAAAATATTTTAATACTAGCAAATATTCAATTTATTATTATTATGCAAATTATACAATGTTTTATTTTCAAATTCAAATTTTTGAATAATTTCATAATCAAAATTTAAAAAATCCACTTACTAAGTACATAATTAATTATTATTGTTTATATTATCAAAAATTGTAATATAATTCTTCGCAAGAATTCAATTATTTTTAATATAGTAAAATTTTTTGCAAAAATTCAATTATTTTCAAAAAGATTTTGATATAATTTCACGAAAGAATAAAAATAGTAGTATTCCTTGGCAAAATTCAATTATTTTTAATTTAATTTAATTAAAATTTCATGAAGAAATTCAATTAAAAACAATTTTTTTAAAATATTTTTCGAAAAAATTCAATTATTTTCTGAAATTTAAATATATATCATGAAAAATAATAAAATTCTAAGCAAAACTGCAATTATTTTCAAAAAGTTTAATAAAATTCTTGCCAAGAATTCAATTATCTTCATAAATAATAAATACAATTTTTCGCAGACATTTAATTTTCAAAAAATTTAACTAAATTCTTGAAAAGAATTCAATTACCTTCAAAAATAATAAAATACTAAGCAAACCTTCAATTGTTTTCAAAAAATTTCATTAAATTCTTGATAAAAATTCAATTATCTTAAAAAATAATAAAACCTTGAATTATTTTCAAAAAATTTAATTAAATTTTTAACAAGAATTCAATTATCATCAAAAATAATAAAATTCTAAACAAAACTTCAATTATTTTTGATTATTTAAATAAAATAAAATTCTTGACAAAAATTCAATTATCTTCAAAAATAATAAAATACTAAGCAAACCTTCAATTATTTTCAAAAAATTTAATTAAATTCTTGAAAAGAATTCAATTATCTTCAAAAATATTAAAATATTAATATTAAGCAAAACTTCAGTTATTTTCAAAAATTTTAATGAAATTCTTGCCAAGAATTCAATTATCTTCAAAAACAATAAAATTCTAAGCAAAACTTTAATTATTTAAAAAAATTTAAATATATTTTCAAAATAATAAAATTTTAAGCAAAACTTCAATTATTTAAAAAAAAAATTTAATTTAATTTTTGCTAAGAATTCAATTATCTTCATAAATAAGATAAGATAAGATCATAAAATAAGATTTTTCGTAGAAATTCAATTATTTTCAAATTTTTTGACAAAATTCTTTGCAAGAATTCACTGAATTTTAATACATTAATTTTAAAATTGAAAATATTTCAAAAGAAAATTTATTAAAAAAGTTAGGAAACAAAAAAGGAAACAACAAATAACTTTAAATTGCGAGCAGATTACCGGAATACACTGATTATTAATATAGAAGAAGACAGAATTTTAATTAGAAATTTTAGAATATTGGAATACTAGAAATTGTAAAAATTGTCTATAATTGTTTACAATTGTTTCTCGCTGATTTTTTTTTATTATACCTTGGCATGTGCGTCCATCTTCTCCAAGTCGGTAGCCTTCTGGACATTGGCACTTGTAGCTACCCGGTGTATTGTCACACATTCCAATACAGAGATTATTTTCTTTAAATTCCATGCATTCGTCAATGTCCGAGCAAGTCTTGTTATCTGAATTCAATCGGTAGCCGGGTTTGCATCCACATCTAAAACTGCCCCACGTATTTGAGCACGTGTGTTGACAAACTCCTTGAATTGTTGCGCATTCATCAATGTCTTGACACGAGCCGCCAGCTCGGGCTGAATTTTCAAAGCCCGTTTCGCATTTACAATGAAATGAGCCCACTGTATTTTCACATCGACCACCTGAACCACATAATTTATCCCCGTAAATACTGCATTCATCAACATCAACGCAATCCCTGTTTGATACCACTGTGTGTCCTGCAAAATTATATGATCAACAATTATTAAATTTTATTTCGTTTATGAGTTTTATGTGGTTATGAATTTTACTTTGTTACCAAGCTTCACACTCATTTACTAAAACTATCTAGTATTTTCATAGAATTTCGCAAAAAATTCTATTATTAAAAAAAAAAGATAAAATTCATCAAAAATTAAATTATTTTCATAAATAATAACATTTCCACAAGAATTCAATTAATTTAGAATAGCATTTTGAAAAAAATTTCAAGAAAATCAATTATTTAACAAAATTGTTATACAATTCTTGACAATAATTCAATTACTTTCACTAATAATAACAATTTTCATGGAAATTCAATTTTTTAAAAAAATTTTTGATAAAATTCTAAGCAGGAATTAAATTATTTTCATAAATAATAAAATTCATAGAAGAATTTCAATTATTTTTAATACTACTTTAAATTAATTAATTGAAAAATTCAATTATTTTCACAAATAAAGTTTTCCACAAGAATTCAATCATTTAAAATAAAATTTTCATAATATTTATTATATTTCCAAAAAATTATTAATTATTTAAAACAATGTCTATAAAATTCTTATAAAAAATTCAATTATTTTAAAAAATAAAAAAATTTTTCACAGAAATTAAATTCTTTTTAAACATTTTAATAAAATTTTTCGCAAAAATTAATTATTTTCATAAATAATAAAATTCGTCTCAGGATTTCAATTATTTTTAATACAATTTTAATTAAATTTGTTCAAATAATTCAATTATTCTTTTAGACTTTAATAAAATTCTTTCCAAGAATTCAATTATTTATACACAAATAATTCTTTGAATGAATTTAATTGTGTCGATAATTAACAAAGTTATTTCCGAAATTTCAATTATTTTGAAGCATTTTAATAAAATTTTTTGCAAAATTCAATTATTATTTTCATAAATAACAATAAACTCGTTTGCAAGAATTCAATTCTTTTCATAAATAATAAATTTTTTTAAAAAAATTTAATAAAATACCACACAGACATTCAATTATTCTCAAAAATTTTAATAGAATTCTTTGTAAAATTGTATTATTTTTAAAAACTTTTCGCTATTCAATGATTTTCAATATCTACTATTTTCATAAAACTTCCAAATAGATTTCAATTATTTAAACATTTTTTTGTAAAAATCTTCCTAAGAATTTAATTCTTTTCAAGAATAATACAAATTTCTCAGAAAATCCAATTATTTAAATTAGGAGTTGCATAAAATTAGGTAGTCGAAAGAAATTAATTATTTAAAAATTTTTATAAAATTCTTTGCAAGAATTAAATTACTTTTATAAATATTTAAATTCTTTCATGAATAATAAAATTTCGTTGATGGAATTTAATTTATTAGCAGGATAAGAAAGAAGTAAATAATTTTTATGAAAATTAGGAAAAAGACAGGAAAATAAAATATGGAATGGAATTTTTGTCAGTTTTGTGAGGTTTCTAAAACGAGTTAATTGGTCGTCAAGTTTAATTTTTCGATAGGTAGCTACTTTTTTTAAATTTGAAAGCTATACTTTTTGCTACTTTTTTAAAATTAATTATCGAGTGTGAAGTCTGCGTTACGAATTTTACTTCGTTATGGATTTTATTTGGTTATGAATTTTATTTCGTCTATGAATTTTATTCGGCTATAAAATTTACTTTGTTTTGAATTTTATTTCATTACGAATTTTTTATTTCATTTACGATTTTTATTTCGTTATGAAATTTAAGTTACACTGATGGAGTAGGAAAAAAATTGAAAATTTACCTGGTGGGCAAATACATGCGTAACCACCTTGTCTATTTTCGCAAGTCTGACCCTTGCTGCATTCGTGAATATTTTCAGCACATTCGTCGACATCGACACAATATCTTCCGGTTTTCGGATCTGGTTGATATCCAGGTCCGCACATTATTCTCGGCTCACATCGATACGATCCCATAGTGTTAATACACATTTGCATACTCCTTTTGCTACAAGGATTCGGAATTAATTTACATTCATCCACATCAATGCACTGTCCACTTTTCCCATTCTCATACCCCTTTGGACATTGTATTTTAGGCCTAAAACAGATTTTAGACACAATCACAAAATGTTGAATTAAAATGTTTTAATCTATTTTGAACAAAAACGTTTTAATCTTTAAATTTTAATTCAACATTTTAATGTTGAATTAAAATTTAAAGATTAAAACCTTTTGGTTCAAAAATAATTTTTCTGAATAAATTATATAACAAATTTTTATTTAAACACACTGACCTTGTTTCAGGATTTTTATTTGTCTGCAAAGGAGATGTACTTTTTGAAATAATCCTCTCAGTGGTTGTCGATTTCATTGCTTGAGTAGTTACAACAGTGATTGGTTTCGTTATCATTGGCGTTGTTTTAGAAGTTATTCTTGGTGTCGTCGTCCTTACAGGATATCGACTTGGCAATCGTCTTATAGTCGTTGGTCTTTGAGTTGTTGTCACGTTTCCTCTAACTTTATAGCATCGAAATGAACCCAATGTGTTTCGACAAAAATAACCATCGACGCAATTATGCGATCCAAGTGCGCATTCATCGTCATCCTCGCAAATCTCCGTCGCTGCATTTAATGTATAACCAGTGCCACATGATAAAAATCTCACACAAGCAAAACTACCGAGTGTATTATCACATCTTTGCGTTGGTAAACAATTGTCTAATTTCAATTGACATTCATTGATATCAACACAAGCCTGTGTTAAATTATCCCTACGATATCCAGTTCTACATTTACAATCAAAACTTCCAATGCTATTCACACAATTCTCATTGCTACTGCATGCGTCCTCTATTTCCTTGCACTCGTTTATGTCCACGCATCCTTGATTTTTTTCATATCTGAAAATTTATGGAAACATTATTTTGTGGAATTAAATTAGAAGTAAATTAGACAGAGTTTTGACACAAATCAGGGAAAAGTCAGGAATTTTAATTAAAAGTATTGGAAAAAATTAAATGCTTAGAATTTATAAGAAAATTCTGAATTTTTGTGTCTTTTTGTTTGCCTCATAAACTATGAAATTACCACGAATTTTAAAAAAACCTTAAATTTTTTCTATTTCAGACAATAATTTATTTCAATAACTTAATTCTATTGAAGAACTGCCATAAAGTTATTACTTATAAATCATTTAATTAAGTTTTTTTTTGGAAAATTTTAATTTCAATTCTGTTAAAATTCGTTTTAATTTTTAAAAAATTTTAACGCAATTCTTCGAAAGAATTCAATTATCTTAATAAATATTAAAATTCTTTACAGAAATTCCATTGTTTTCAAAAATTTTATAAAATTTATTGGAAAATTCAATTCTATTCATAAATAACAATATTCATCACAAGAATTAACTTATTTTCAAAACTAATAAAATTCTTCGCAGAAATTCAATTATTTTCAAAAATTTTTTTAAAAAATTGTCAACATTTCAATTATGTTTGTAAATTAATAGCAAAATTCTTCGACAAAATTCAATTATTTTCAACGAATTTAAATAAAATTCATTGCAAATTTCAATTATTTTTATAAATAATAGTATTCATCACAAGAATTAAAAATTATTTTCAAAAATTTAAATAAAATTCATGGCAAAATTTGAATTATTTTCAAAAATAGTTCAAATATTTTCAAATAGTTCATCACAAGATTTCAATTATTTTTAATACAATTTTGACAGGAATTGCTCAAAAAATGTAATTATTCTTAAAAATTTAATTTCAATTCCTCGAAAAAATCAATTATTTAAAAAAATGTTTTTTTTCAAATTCTTTGGAAGAATTCAATTATATATACAAAACATATATTTAATTATTTAAAAATTTGTTAGTAAAATTATGTATAAGAATTCAATTTTAAGAAACATTCAATTGTTCAATAAATTATCTATGTTTGTATATAAATAATTGAATTCTCGTAGCATTTTTGAATGAAAATTGATTTAAAAATCAATTTCAGTTGAAGTTAATTGAATTTTGGAGAAGTTACTAATAATTGCAATTGTTAGAAATAATTGAATTTTGTAAAGGTTTTAAATTAAAATCTTTGAAAATTTGAATTTTTCATGCTTTTAAATAAAAATTCTAAGGAACTAATCAAAATTTTGTAAAATTGAATTGTAAACAAATAATGAATTTGAAAATTCTTAAAAGAACTTTTTCAAAAATGATTGAAAATAATTGATTTAAATAATTGATCAAAGAATTCATTTTAGTTAAAAATTCTAGAAAATAATAATTGAATTGAAATGATGAAAATAATTTTAAAGAAGATACAGTAACAATATTTTTATATTATAATATACCATAATGATTTTATCACTCGGTCACCTTTAATTTTTATAAATTTTTGAATTTCAAAAGGTTTGATTTGAAAATTTCGAAAATCTAAGTTAATGTTTAAAATATTATTTGAAAATGAAGTTATTGGTGTTTTTGAATAATTTTACAATTTAGAAAATTCGTAAATAAATGTAATAGAATATTTTTTTTGTGCATCTAATCATTTTTAGAATGAATCAAAATATTCTTTAGGGTCAGGGAAGAAGTTAAAATTTTGTCTGTAAAGCAGGGAAAAACAAAATTAAATTTTTGTGGCAACCCTGTTAGAGGAATTGAAAAAATAAATAAAAATTTTAAATACTTCATGCCATCGGCACAGGCTTTGGTGAAAGCCGCAGAAACTGATGAAGTAAATGGAGGAGCTGTTCTTCTTGTAATCGGTGTGGGATGTTTCGCACAACTATAACCTCCAGGTTGATTGTAGCAAACTTCTCGTCCGCAGGAGTGACTTCCTTCCACACATTCGTCCACGTCTATTAAAAAAATGTAATTAAAAATCCGATTCAATTTATTTTTCATTCGTAAAGATTTAAGCATTTCAATTCACTTCTAAGCATTTAGTATTTATATTCCAACAAAAATGAATAAAAGTAGAAATTAATGAAAATAGAAATAAATAAAAATGATAACTAAGAAAATAAAAATAGAAAATGGAAAATATAGAAAGCATGCTAGATAATTTTGCAAAGATTTTTCATGCAATTGAAAATGCGACATGGCACGAATTCAAAAAGATCTGGACAATAAATTTCATCTTCTTGAAAACTAATTCTTCTAGAGTTCGTCTCCCATTGAGAATTTGTAGTTTCTATTTTGAATTCTAAATTGCTTTTCTACGGAAAAAGAAAACATCTCCAATTTAGAAAATAAATATAGACTCAAGCTCTAAACTATTCTAATCAATTTGAATTTTGATTATAATTAACTGACCGGAGCATCTCCGCCAAATTGGATGATATCGATAACCTTGAGGACAGGCTGGTCTTCTTTGTAACGATTTAATTGAAGGCGGAGGTCTCTCACATCTAAAATAAATGAACAATTATGAGAAGGTCTCTTCAAAATAAAAATTCATTTCGGAAAAATTTCGTTCAAGTTCAAATATTTCTTTCAATTAAAATTTGAATATAAATTCAATTTTAATATGTCTCTAAAGTTTTTAATGTTCAAATGAACGAAATTTATTCATTGCTTCTTTAAATTCAAAATTTTAATACAATGCTTTTGCCTCACGTAAGAAAACAATGAAATATAAAGATTCTAATTATTTAATTTTGTTTTTGCTTTATAATTAATTTTCTTTTGCCAGTGTTTCAAAATTATTGTAATAAAAATTTTATTTGAACAAGAAATAAATAAATTTCATTAATTTGAACCTTCAGAACTGTAGAAGAATAAAATTTGAGTATAAATTTAAATTTTAATTTTTTTGTTTTTCGTTTGTAAATTAAAATTTTCACCTATAACTTCCGGGTAGATTGACACATCTCTCAGACAAGCGAGTGTCACAATTGTATTTTCCAATTAGACATTCGTCAATATCCTCACAATGTCGAGTGTAAAGTGAATACTCGTAACCTGGAGAACAAGAAGGTAAACGTGTGACGCACTCGTAGGAACCCTCACGATTAACGCAATAACGATGCAATTCCAAGGAGCACGAGTGAAGATTTTCAGCGCACTCGTCAACATCCAAACAACTTCCATTGAAAATACGTCGAAAACCTCGTCCACAATGAGGCGCAGGATTACAGACATAGGAGCCATTTGTGTTCTCACATATTTCCGTTCCCTGCATTAAGAAAATTTATTCCATTAAAGTTTACTTTGAATTAAAAATTTAATTTGAATAATTATAGATTATAGATAAAAAAACAAAATATTTTATTGTTAAGAAAAATATTTTTTTCTCTTTCAATCGACGATCATAAACGCTTGTGAACTTAACAGGCGTTTTGAAAGTTCAAAACTTTAGACTGATAATAATTAATACAAAAAATAATAATTTAATGTAAAAAATTGTAAATAAATAGAATATAGATCAAAAATAGACGAAAATAGATAGAAATAGATAAAAAAATAGATTAAATAGATTAAATAGATAAAAATATAAAAATAGATAAAAATAGAAAGAGAAAAACATTTTTTTTGTCAAAAAAATACTTGTTTGCAGTAGTGACGACCGAGGAGACACTCGTCAACGTCCCTGCATCCCTTAATCGATGGATCAAAATACCATCCAGTGGTGCACAGTGGAGAACAATCGAAACTGCCAAAAGTATTGAAACATCGTTCGTGATCACGGCAACCAGGTCCCTCGAGACATTCATCAATATCGACGCATTTTCCCGTCTCTGTATTTTGCTTAAAACCTCTTTCGCAATTTCTTGGTCGAAATTTTTGGCCAATTGCCTTTTCTTTTGGTTCACAGGCATAAGAACCATTTGTATTGACACAACGATGAGTTCGATCGAAACACGAATGCAAATTCAATGTGCATTCATTTATATCCTGACAGGTTTCATTTTCAAAAACAAAACCCCGATTACAAGTTGGAATACAATCGTAGCCACCGATCAAATTTCTACATCTCTCGCCAATTCCACAAGCTGTCCATCCACTGATGCATTCATCGATATCTAAATAAATAAATAAATTAATTAATTAATTAACAAATTAAGTAGGTAATTAATTTAAATTAAATTAAATCAGAAAATTAAGTAAATTTTTTTAACAGACTTATTGTTAATATTATTGTAATTATTAACAAGCCTCGGATCGACTTTAAGACACCAAAAAAGTCGCTTTAGTCGATTAAAAATACTAAAAAATTTTAAATGACAGAGTGATAAAATCATTATTTTATATCATAAGAATATTGTAACTATAAATTCAAATTTTCAAAGATTTTAATTTGAACCCTCTTCAAAATTCAATTATTTATCAAAATTCACACAATAGCTCTTCTAATATTCAATTATTATCTAAAATTTTACCAAAATTTTTAAAAATAATTGAATTCTTTCGGTAAATTTAAAAAAAAAATTAAGAATAAAAGCAATTTTCTATCATTATATTTAAAATTGTATAAAAAATAATTGAAATTCTGCGATAAGTTTTGTTATTTATGAAAATAATTGAATTCTTGCAACGAATTTTATTAAAAATTTTTTTAAAGAATTGATTTCCTGTAAAGAATTTTATTTGTAAAAATAATTGAATTCCAGAGAAAATTATTATTATTCATGAAAATAATTAATTTCTTGTGAAAAATTTTATTTAAATTTTTTAAATAATCGAATTTCTCAGAATTTTTTAAAACTAGTAGAAAATAATTAAATTCTATCGAGAAATTTCATTAAAAAATTGAAAATAATTGAAATCTGACAAAGAATTAAAGAAAATTCTTTTTTAACTAATTGAATTCCTGTGAAAATTGAAATTGAATTCTTGGGAAAAATTTTATTAAAATTTTTTAAATAATTGAATTGCTTTGAAGAATTTTATTTTTTACAAAAATAATTGAATTCTTTCGAAGATTCTTACAAACATTTTTGACAATAATTGTACTCCTGGGAAGAATGTTATATTTTATGAAAATAATTTTATTCTACAACCAATTTTATTATTTATAAAAATAATTTATTTCTATTGAAGACTTGTATTCAATTTTGGTAAAATCGTTTTAAAATAATTGAAATATGACAAAAATTTTTAAACATAATTGAATTTTTTAAAATTATAAAATAAATAATCAAATTTTTGAAGTATTTTAATTATAAATATAAACATGATTTTTCCGAAATTTTAATAAGAATCTAAAGAAGTAAATTTTAAACAAATTAAATTTTCTTTATTCGAAGATAAGTAAATCTTAATAAATTGTAATAAAACAATTCTAAGAATTAGTTTTTTAAAAATATTCTAATTTTTCGAAAATAATTTAATTTCTTAAAAGAATTTTTGTATAATTTAAAAAAAAACTACATTTTTTAAAGAATTTTAATTTAAAATTTTCACAATGATTGTTTCCTGCAAAATGTTAAGGTTAAAATTACTTTTATTTGAAAAAAAAATTAATATTAGTTTTTAGAAGCTAGTTTTCATTAATTTTCATTTTCATAAATTTAAACTTGAAGATTTTTCGTTAAATTTTTTTGAGAATTTAATTATTTTCACAAAATTTGGAATTAAATTTCTTCAAAAGTTGATTTTACAAAATTTTAATTATTCCAAATCATTGTAATTGTATATTTCAAAAATTTAATTAGTAAATTATTTTTCACACTAGAAAAATCGAAATAATTTGCAATTTATACTAAAAATATGGTATTTTGTTGAAATATTTGGAAGAAAAGTCTAAAGAGTTGCAATTTTTGAAAATAAGTCGAAAAAAGTCGCATTTTTGGAAAATAATGGAAAAAAGTCATAATATCGGAGGCCTGTATTAATATTAATTAATTTATGTCTAATTATTAATGTTACCTTTGCAATTCATGGTTTCGTTACTAAAAGAAAATCCCGGAGGACAAAGATCTTCGTCTTTTGATTTTAAATCAGTGTCGTTTTTATTGATTTCATTTTGCTTAACTTCAGCTTCTTGAAAATTAATTTTTTCTTTTGGTGCTTCCAAAGAACTCTCGCATCTGTAACTTCCGGGATCATTCACGCATTTTTCATTCGCTTCACAGGAATGAATATTCTCCCCACATTCGTCAATATCTAGACATGAATCGCCAATTGCCGATGGCTTGTAACCAAGTGTGCAAATAATTTCATTTTGAGAATTTATATCCTGATTTTTAGTTATTACAAATCCTTGATTTTCATTTGCATTTATACACTCGAAGCTACCGATTGTGTTTAGACAAAGTGATTCGGTATTTGGACAGGAATTTTTCATTTCCAAACATTCGTCAATATCTGAAAATTTCGAATTAGGAAATTTACAAAATTCTCTATTGTCTCCAAAAATAAACGTTGTGAACGTAATTTTCTAAAGACGAGGAAAAAGAGTTTCTATAATTTACTTACATGCTGAAATTTTCAAATTGCATGCTGATTTTTTTTCTCTTTTGAGTCAGTCAACTAGTTAAAGAAGAATTACGGAGCTGGAAGTATTTTTAAATATTCATCCAAATTTGTTAGTGAAATAAAAGAATACAAATTAAATTAGTCTTTATAATTAAGTTAAATTATATTAAATTAAATTGAAAAATAAGAAAAATTTTAATTGAAGAAAATTCTTACCAACGCAGGAACTTAAATTGGCATTGAATGCGTAACCTTTTTGGCAAATAATTTCACAGTCGTAACTGCCCTCGTTATTTTTACATATTTCCACTTCTGGCATGCAATTTGAAAGTCCCTCTGCACATTCGTCAATATCTGTCAAAGAAAATAATATCTGTCAATTACAAAATTCGCAGTTAATTTAATTACAAAATTAGAACGTTAGTGCGAAGTTGATAACATTTTTAATCAACGATTTAAAAAAAAAGTATTTTTCTATTCAACTTTTTACAAACTTTTGTATGAAAAACCTACATTTTTTATATATAATTTAGAAAAGAAAAACTTCTAATCAAAGCATTTTGTCGTGAAAAATATTTCTCTTCTTTCAATCGTTGATCACAAACGTTGTGAATTTAAATTTAATTCAAAATTAAATAAATAGAATTTAAATAAATATTAAATAAATAGAAAATAAAAAAAAATTAAAAATTAAAATAAAACAAAAAAAACGAATAAAATAGAAAATAAAAATAAAAAAATGTCTTAAAAAGAAGAAACTCTTACCAAGGCATTTATTGTTTTCCAAATGAAATTTAAATCCCGAAGGACAATCTGTAGCATTCTGGGACTTGTGACAAATAAAACTTCCTTGCATATTAACGCAAATATGTCCATCTTCGGAACAAACGCCCGAAATTTCCTCACACTCGTCAATATCTATAAGAAAAAATAACATTATTTTAAATCAAAGCTTTCAATCATTTTCAAAGAAAATATTATATTTAAAAAATATATAATCAATTCTTTTTTTCTTCAAAATCAACTATTTTTCATACCAACGCAATTTTCTGTCCCCTTGTCCCAATAAAAGCCAGGTTGACAACTCTGTCCCTTGTCTTGAGCTGTGGAATCGATATTAGGTTTTTCCTGTTTCTCAAAGACACACAAGTAAGATCCTATTGTATTTTGACATTCTCCTGAACAAGGATTTTCCTCACATTCGTCCATGTCTGATCATAGGGAGATTCGAGCCAAGTCACAATGATCACAGGCAACATTAAGCAGATGGTACACAGAAAGCAATAGCAGGTGAAAGATTTTTTTTTTTTTTTTTTTGCAAAAATAGCACAGCATCCAGCATATCCTATAATCAAATTCAATACGTACCATCACAGGCTTGATTTTTTGAATTGTAGCGATATCCAGCAGGACATCTTGGTGTTGTTTCATTTTCTTCATAACGCGTTGTCGAATTACCCATTTCAGTTGTTATTGGAGTACAAGAATGATTATCATTTGCAAGTTGATAGCCCTCATCGCAACTGCAAAGCACTGCAAGTCCCGTGTCTGTACAATTTTGTTCGCATGGATTGCTTTCGGTGTTGCATCTGAAAATTGGAAAATTATTTTTTAAATTTTCTAAAAACAATTTTATTGTAAAGATCACTGTTTTTTTCACTTTCACTTTTTTTCGCTTATTTAAAATTTTCTGCACATATTTTATCTATTTTGATAATTTAATTTACAATTTATACAATTTTTGAATTTAATTTACAATTTATACAATTTTTGAATTTAATCAAATTTTATTCAATTTGAATTCTAATTAATTGCTTAAAATTTTAATAGAAAATAATTGAATTCTTTTGCGAAGTATTTAAAAATAATACAAATGACAAGAAATTTATAAAAATTTTTAGGAATAATTGAATTCTTTCGAGAAATTTTATTGAAAATAACTGAAATTTTGACAAGAAATTTATAAAAAATTTTAGGAATAATTGAATTCTTTCTAGAAATTTTATTGAAAATAATTGAAATCTTTCATAGAATTTTATTGAAAATAATTAAAAAAATTTATCAAAATTTTTAAGAATAATTGAATTCAAATATTTTATTAAAATTGTATTAATAATTGAATTCTTGCAAAGTATTTTAAAATAATTAGACATTTTGACAAGAAATTTATAAAAATTTTTAAGAATAATTGAATTGTTTCGAGAAATTTTATTTTAAAAAATTGAATTCACGTCTAGTTGCATATGAATTTAATTATTTTCAATAAAATTTCTAATTAAATTCATTTGAAATTGAAACTTTAAAAAATTTCAAATCGAAACCTTTTGAAGTTTATGAAAAGTGTAAACGTAACTCTTTCAAAATTCAATTAATTTCGAAATATTTAAGTAAAATTATTCATTAAATAATTTTCAAAGTAATAATTTTATAATAGTTCTTCAAGAATTAAGTTATTTAAAAAGAAATTATTGTCAGAAATAGAAAAAATTGAGGGTTTTGTATTAGAATGCGTAGTGTTGTTATTATTTATGTTTTTAATAACAAAAGTCTGATTTCATCAATATAGAGATAATATTATAATTAGTTAAGTACCTGTCGACGGTGGAATTTTGTTTGCAAGTTCTTCCATCTTCTAAGAGTGTCGATCCTTCATTGCAAAGACAATAAAAAGAACCTGGAGTTGGTACACAAATCTCGGTGCAAAGCATTCCCCTCATTACTTGACAGATGTCATCTAGATTAAAGACAATAAAAATTCTCTTTCTAAACATTTCCTCCATCAAATATCTCCTTGCATAAATTATTCCCACCGGAAATATTCAAGATTTTTCAAATTGAAGATAATGAATTTTATTAATTTTTTATTTAATTTTAATTTTAATTTAAAATTAAATTATAATTGAAATTTTAATTAAATTCCATTATTTTATTTTAACTTAAAATTTTAATTAAACTCCATTATTTTATTTTAACTTAAAATTTTAATTAGACTCCATTATTTTATTTTAACTTAAAATTTTAATTAAATTTAATTATTCCATTTTAATTTAACGTTTTAGTGAAATTTAATTATTAAATTAAATTTTTAGTTTAAAATTAAAAATTTTAATTAGATATTTAAATTAATTAAAAAAAATTGTTCTCGATAAATAAACAAAATATTTTTGTTATTATTTCTTACGTCAGTGAAGTTCAAAACGTTTATAATCAACGATTTAGAAGATAGATTCTTTTTCCATCCAAATTTATATCAATTTTTGTTTAAATTATATTTCACTAAAATTTTTTACGTTCAAATGAACGAAACTTTGTTTTTCTTTAAATATTTCATTTTATTTTATTTTAATATAATAATTTTTTAATATATTATTTTAATATTTTATTTTATTTTAATGTAAATTCAGCATTTATTAAGTTTAGAATTAATTTTTTTTAATATAAAAAATAATAGTTTTTGACTAAATTCGAATTTAAAATAGTACCAAAAATAACGTCGTTTGTTTGAATGTTAAAAATTTTAGGAAATAGTTTAATGATAAAATAATAATAAAATAGTTTCTTGATCAGTAATTTAGACAAAAAATGTTATTGCATTTATCTAGAATATTTTTTTTCTATCTTTGATCATTTGTAGTAATCTTCATTGACGTATTAGTTTAATTATTCAATCGTAAGGCTTTTAGTGACAAAAAAATCTAATTTTTCGTTTTCGAGAAAAAATTCCTTCATCAGTAGAATTGTGACAATACCTAGTGATGCTTGTGGAGATGAAGATGATGGTTTTGTGGTTAAGCTCCCAGTGATCTCGTTCTCATTAATTGTGGCTACAGATGATGTATCGGTTGCTTTCGTTGAATCGTAGGTGGAAGAGGTTTCATTGCTCTCAGTGCTAATGGTTGTTGGAGAAGCTTCATGGCAACACTCCAGAAATGCTGGGTCCCAGGGGTTACCCAAACTGTACTTCAAAGCACAACCTTGACCTCGTGATCCTCTTTGGATTCCTAAATGCAAAAATCGTCCAATATTAAAGTACAAAAAATGATCAACAAGTTTTGAACGTTCAAATGAACGAAATAATTTTTATTCCAAATATTTTCTCAATTACCGATTGCAACAATAGTTAAGAAATTAAATTTTACATTTAGAAACTTTATAATTAATTTTTTTGATAGTAGAGCAAAATTATTAGAATAAAAATTTAATTTGAAGAAGAAATAAAGAAATTTCGCTCATTTGAACGTTCAGAACTTTAGGATAAGAAAGTATAAACACTGAATTGAAATCTCATCTTAGATTAAAAATATTTATTATTATTAAATTTATTATTTATTTAAATATATTATTTATTTATTAATTAAATATTGGATTTCTAAATTGATTATAAACGTAGTGAACTTAAAAATATACTCACCGAGTTTGCATCCATCGCAACAATTTTTTCGATAGTCTTCAACAAAAGCTGAAGATTTATTTTCACCTGGTGAATTGCACCCTTTTCCGGCACGTGCATCGTCCTTTCCTTGCTGACAACCTTTCTCTCGATATTCTCTGATGCAACAAACATTAACACCCTGGAGGCAAAATTCCTGTTCGTCTTCGGGAACTCCAGAAACGGGACCAGAAAATTTCTCACACTTCAAACCCTCTCGTCCCCAATTTTTTCCGAGGTCGCAACATTTATCCGGCTGTGTTTTGATTTCTGTTTAAAAACAAAAATAGTATTGTAGAATTTTTTTTCTTTCAGTTATTAAATTTTTTCGAAATGAAAATTCTCTTCGCACTTCTATATAGATATAGTGCGGGAGCAAAATTATTTATTACACTCTAGAAATAGAATTTTATTTCGTAAAGTTTGAATAAATTTTTTCGAACTTGATTAGAGAATAAATAAATAAAAATTTAATTTATGATTTAAATAAATTTCAGTAGAATATGGAATCGATCTCGAAAAAAGGGTGTCACTATCATGATCGATTAGAGAAAGAGAGCAAGGACATTATTTATATTCATATTTCATGTGGACTAGGTTTAGAAGTAAAATATTACCATGACAAATTTATCTTCTATTTACAACTGGACGCAAATATCGTATTTCATAGTCGAATCTCCCCGGGGAGATTTTCGAATGCAAGTCGCGATAAGAAAACATCGAAATAGTAAAATTTCTCGTATGCATTTTCAATAAATTTAACACAAGAATTTTTGCATTCTAATTTTTGTTCATTTTTATTCTATTTTCCAATTTTAATTAGATTGTAAATTATTATTATCATTATTATTATTATTCGAATTTTCAAACTAGAAATTTCGTTACAAAATAAATTAATATAATTGTCTGTTATTTTTCAGTTTTTATTAGATTTTTTATTATTATTCGAATTTTTATTAATAGAATTTTAAAATTAGAAATTTCGTTACAAAAAAATTAATTAAAGAAAATTTTCTTCTATTTTTCAATTTTAAATTTGCTGTTGTATTATTATTTGAATTTATTTTAGTAGAATTAAAAAAACTTTAATTAGAATAGAGAAAATAAATAAATAAATAGAAAAAATGCTCATAGTCGTGTTTCCACTGGTGGAATAATTAAATTATTCTTAGTAATCGGAAATGAGAAATTTTGTGTGAACAAAAATTATAATTTGTGACTCATTCTGAAGTTAAATAATTAAAATTAAATAGCTTTATTCGAAAGTCATCTGACTTGATCAATCAGGATGCAAATGTATAATAATTGAGAATTATGATTCTGTTACGGTCACGGTCTCATCATGGTTGATATTTAATTGATTGATTATGGGTTCGAAATGCTACTTTGTTAAAGTTTTAAACTTCAATTCTGTAACATAATTTATCTGCAATAAAAAAGAAGACTATTATTTTAATCAAAGTCAATGGATTTTTCAATTTCAATTCAATTTTCGATTTCATCATTGAAATGAGAGGAAATTAAAATTCCTAATCGAAATTAAAATAAAAAATACCGATAATAAATAATACTAATAATTATCATAGTACTATAATAATTTAATTAAATAATTAAAATATAAAAAGGATAAAATAATAAAATTAGTAAAATTGAGTTTAAAGTGACAAGTATTTCATAAGAAAAAGAAAAAAAATAGATAATAAAAATTAATAGATTAATAGATGGTAATTAAAAATAAAATTATAATTGCCTTCTAATAGTATCAGCATCAGGCCAAAGAGAACAACACTCCTCGTCTGTAACTCCATTCTTTAGAATTTCAATATAAATCCTCCTGACTCAGTTTCATCAAAAAATAAATCTTCTCTTCCTTCGACAAAAATTTTTATCCTCTTCTCTAATTTCCTTTTCTTCTCAAATTTTTCTCCTTTTCCCTCGTCTTTTCCACTAGTTCCTTCTTCTTTTCATTCACACTTTTCAAAATTCTCTCCAGTAGTCTTCCATTTAGAATAAAATTGTCCAAAAAAATTCCGAAACTAATTTTTTATTTTCTTCGATAATCTCAAAGAAAAAAAAAATAGAAAAATCGTTTCTAAAATTTTCCACGGTCCACAACCACTTGCATTCAGAACCGCTTCGTACGAGAGTACGTCGAGGAATAAAACCTCAAAGCAATTCAAAGCTGAAGAAAGTTAAAAAGCTCGCTGAAAGATCTGTCGCAGTTCACTTTCTCTCTCCCTCTTCGTTTCTATAATGTGCAACGAGAGAGAAAGAATGACACAAAAAAAACGAGAGTTGGGGAGAGTCTGTTGAGTGTCATGGACCAAGAAGTGAAAGATTTCATAGAAAGGGGATGGTTTCTTTATTCTGAAACTGAAAAACAAATTTTAACACACACTCAAATTTTTTTTTTTGCTCTTATTAGTTTCTTAAATTTATTATTATTACTATAAATATTAATATTATTATAATAATTATTATTAGTAGTATTATTATTTCTATTACCATTTCTCAAAATAATATTTAAATCGAATTTTGTTCAGTAATTATTATTTTCGTTTATTAAAAATTATCAATGACTTAATTTAACGGAATAAATTGTTAATAAAAATTCGAATTAATGGAAAATATGTTATTATATTATTTATTAACTATTTAATATTAATTAACTATTATAATTATTTAATATTTTAATATAATAATATTAATAAAGTAACAATTATTATTAAGTAATTAATATTAATAAATTACTATGTTAAATAATTGATTAATATTAATAGATTAATTATTATTTTAATTAATTTGTTTTTAAAACGAAAAAAATTTACGATCAAATTTTGTAATGAAAGATTTTAAAAGAAAAAAAAAATGCAACTAAACTAAGTTTTGCCAACAAGATTGTCTTTCGGTTCCCTTTTTTCTCAACACATATGTTTATTCTTTTCCTTTCGTTCAGCAGTCCCAAATAAAAGAGTTAAAATAAAAAAAAAACTGCTAAATGCGTGCATGAGTATTACGAGATATTAAGTAAGACTCTTAAAAAGCGTGGCGATAATATTTCCTGTTCGTCGCACTAAAAAGAAAACGATAATAATTAGAAAATTTCTTTTCCAAAATTTCAATGTTAAACATACTTTTTTTTCTCCTTTATTTCTATATTATTTTTGTTAATCAATTTTTATTCGTGTCCAATTTATTTTCATTTTTTTATCCAAACTAAAATAATTTTTTTTCAACTTGAAAAATAAAATATATGGCGAAGACGAAAATCTTCCAATTTTCAGAGTCTTGTGTTAAATGAGACGGAACCCTTGTTAAATTTGAAACTAAATAAAAATTAGGTCACCGAAATTGCCTTAAAGTTGAGATTAATTTTTTTGTATTATTTTTTTTTTGTTTTATGAATCTTCTGACGTCACGTGACCCTGACACGTATAATTTTAAAACCACCGCCAAACAATGTTGATCATTGTGAAAAAATTAAGGCTTCGCACGTTTAGACCCACTCTCTTAAATATGAGACACTTAACTTTGTAAATCTCTCACAGTTTACTTTCATACTAATAAATTCCAAATATTTTTGTCGCCCCCACAAATAAATATAAAAAAAAGCAAAGAATAGAAAGCATTCATAAATGACTGAAAATCTTTTTCAAAATAAAAAATAATTACCCACTCTCGAAAAAATTTGATTTTCTCTTCTCTACGTTTAGAAAAAGCGAATTAAAATAAATTTTAATAATTAAATAAAATACCACTACTCTCTTATACTTGAAATTGACAACTTTATTTTTTTTACGATTTGTCTTGTTTGACACAAATACGTCAATGTTTGACAAGTTAAAATCTGTGATGCTGTTTTATAATCCCTGATTGTTATTTCTAAATCTTTTTTTTTTCAAACGCCTTTATGAAAGAAGTAATCGAAAATATTCTTATACTTGAAAATTAATCTAATATATTTATATATTTTAATGTTCGTCGATGCAAAACAGTTTTGAAGTTTACGCGAATGATGAGTTTCTTTCTTATTAATTAAAAAGAGTGTAGGAAGATGCAAATGAACGAGGCACATGGCAATCTTTGATTACTTTTTTTTAACTTCTATTTTTAATAATTGAAATATTTTCATTAAACTACTCTGAGAGACGTTATACATATCTATTTACAAATTGTGAAAATGAAAAATTAAAACAGAAAACAAGAAAACGCACCGAGATTCATAAGTAAAAAAAATATATATCACATTTGCATCTCTAAATAACGAACAAAAAAGTTTACGGGGAAAAAAAAGTAAATCACTAACTGCACGTAATTATCTACAATATATTTAAAAAAAAAAAATACTACTCAATAAATAAAAATTATTCGTCAGTTTGATTTTAAAATATCTTCTTCATCCCGTACGAAATCCGTGTGACACGTTACAATATAAGACTGATATTTAGACTCAATAAATTTTACAAATACATCACAAGTCTGATTATTGTAACGTGTTTTTTTTTCTACACAATTTTAATATTACGGATTGTCATTTTTTTTAAATTTTCATCTTTTTTTTTTAGTAAAATAAAAGCAAACTTAAGATGTATTCTCATTTGTCTTTTGCGCACAGCGCATTATTGTTAAATGATGTCGAAAGATTTTCTTTTTTATCGTCTCTATTAGATTGCCAATTGTACCTCGTTCGGGGAAGTTTTTGTTTTTTATATTATAAAATTGATTTTGTGTGCACAGCAATTTGTCGATTAGAGCTCCTGCTTGATGTCTGAACTTAAATTGAAGCCTATTCTAATTTTAATATAATTATTATATATAATAAAAGACTCCAGGCAGGTGTTCGTAATTGCGCGCGACAATTCTTATTCTAACATTCGTTTTCAAGAATGTTTCCGTCACATAATTATTCTTTCGAATTGTTTTGTTGGTTTTTCTTTTTTTCAACTGTACGAGTTACCTTATTCTCTATTCTGGTTCTTCCCCATCTAAAAATTAATTCGTTATTTTTATTATTTATTTCAAGGAGAAGTAAAAAATTTTATTTCAAAAGAGAAAATTTTCCTCACCATCGTTTTCAATCACGGCTTCCTCCTCCTCCTCTTCCTCTTCCTCTTCTTCGGGTCCGTCTTCCATTATTTCTACACTGTCTTCTCCTTCCTCGACCTCGACGCCCTCTTCACCTTCTTCTCCGACTCCATCTTCTTCCTCCTCCTCTTCTTCGGATTCACCTTCTTCACCATCACCCTCGATTCCATTTTCGCCCTCTATATCGGGAGCCAAATAATACTGAAACGAGAAATTAAATTTTTTAAATATTTAAATTTTACAAAAATAAAGTTTCTTTACAAAAAAAGGAAGTCTCTTCTTTATTTCTTTCTTTAAAAACAATGTATAAAGGAAAAAAATTTGAAAATGATTTTGTTAAAATTTGCCTACCTGTAAAGGATTGGGCCACAAGTCATCTTTAATAAGTTCGGCGATTTCATCGGAACTTGGATCACCGTGATCCGCGAACCAAGTGAAAAACGTTCTATGAATTAGTGGCCTTTTTCTGCCTTTCAGAGCGGCATTCGCCTTTGCTCTTTCCACTAAATCTGTACCCTCCTTCCAGCGAATTGTCGTACTATGTGATGCTGGATCTCCTGCAAATAAGCAGGAGTTTCTTTTATTCTTTCGTCGCATTAGATGAAATTTCAATTAAAAGGGATCACAGTCTGACAGATTTTTTACATTTTCCCACCTATTTCACATCTATTCCTTTCATTTTCACCTATTTTATACCAATTTTCTGAACTTTCTGTTAATATTTTCAATCAAAACTAGTTTTTAAAAGTTTTTAATTAATTTTTATTTCAATAAGTTTAAATTCTATATTATTGAAAATCTCATCGATTCAAATCCTAATTGACTCTGAATTTAAATAGTCAAAGTCTTTAATCAATTAACTTCTGTAATTTATTTTATTTTTAATTAAGCTCGAATTTTAATTTCTTTCTAAGCTTTAAACAATTTATTAATTTTAAGTTTTAATAATTTTCATATTCAATCGCTCGAAACTATAATTTGTGAATTTTTTATTTACATTTATGGAACAATTTAACAAAACTTGATAAATTATTTTTTTAAACATATTTTAAAACAAGAATTTTGTGAATGATGTTAAAATAAAAAATATATATCTATTATTATTCATAAAAATCATCATTTTTCCTAATTTTTTTTTATAATTATTCTTTTTAAATGTTTTTTAAAAAATTTTAAATTAATGAAATTTTATAATTTAAAGTTTTGAAGATTAAATACTAACAAAAAATAATTAAGCAAACTTATTTTTAATTAAAAATCTTAGTTGAATTAGTAAATTTTATTTAATATTCCAAAACATAAAAATAGTTAAGACTTATAAATTGTTATAAAAAACCTAATTTTCATTAGTGCAAAATAGATTAAAATTAACTATTTTATAAGAAAAAGTGGATTTTTTTATTTTAATGTTTGTTAGAAAGAATTAAGAAATTTTATTATTTATGAAGATAATTGAATTCTTGGCAAAAATTTAATTAAATTTTTTGAAAATAATTGAAGTTTTGCTTAGAATATGATTATTTTTAAATATAATTGAATTCTTGACAAGAATTTTATTTAAATTTTTGAAAGTAATTAAATGTTTGCGAAAAATGTTATTATTTATGAAGATAATTGAATTCTTGTCAAGAATTTTATAAAGTTTTTTAAAAATAATTGAAGTTATGCTTAAAACCGTATTATTTATGCAAATAATTGATTCTTACAAAAAATTCTCTTAAATTTTTTGAAAATAATTGAATTGTATTGAAGAGTTTTTTTATAATTTTTATTTTTGTCATCTATTTTAGCAAAATATTCACCTTTTCACATATTGTAAGTGAAAAGATACTATGATCCCTGAAATTATTTAAAACACAAAAATTACGAATTTTGAAATAAAAATTAAGGTTAACATAAAAATCACGATTTAAATAAAAATTACAATTGAAATTAGAAATTCAAATTGAAGTAAAGATTGCAAGTGAAATAAAAAAATGCGATTAGGATAAAAATTGAATTCAAACAAATTCACTCACCCGATGAACCAAGGTGAAATTCCTTTGTTAGAACGTCATTTTCGAAAAACGGATTTTTGCCAAAATGGAAATTAATTCTATAACCAGATTTAATATCTTCAAATTCTTCGACTTCCAATTTATTCAAGAATCGTAAAGCATCTTCCTCCTCTTCCTCGAGAATATCGGCTATTTTTTTATTATTTACGAACTATTGTGGAAAAGTTAAGAGAAAATATGCTGTTATCATATATACAATGAAATTAATTCCATTCAATCAAATGTTTACATAGCTAATGAAACTGAAACAAATGTAATACTATTATTTCATTCTCATTATTTTCATTACCATTGTTATTATAACGATTGTTATTGATATTGAGAATTATTTCCGAAAATAGATAACTTTTAGGAGCAAGCAACTTTGCTGATTGTAAGCAGTTTGTTAGAATTAAACTAGAATCAAAATTAGTTTAGAATTAAAAGAATTGAATTCGAAAATCGACAACAATTGAAATTATTGAAATTTAGGTGTTCGAAATTCATTGTCACCACTGAACAATGGTGTCGAACAAATTTCCCCATTCTGTTTAGATCATTATTGAATCGAATTAACGAGTAAAATATGAAATGTAAAAATAGACATTATTTCTCCTGGAGTAAAAAAATAATTAATTACGTATAAAAAAAAGTTTGGTGATCCGTTGGATTTTGAGATATATAGGTCTCGGCAAGATGGCCGCTATCACCGGTGGACGCCGGCATAGCCGGGAAATGTCAAAATATATCAATGCTAAATGAACAAAGAGCAAAACAATTGTGACAATAATAAAAAGGATACAGCAGTGACCCAGAAATTTGGTATCCTCTTGATGATGTCGTTACGCTTTTGGAAGTAAGGCTTACGCAGTTTATTATATTTCTTCTCGACTTCGAGGATCTCGTCGCTGGCTTTCTCGTTGAGTCCATCAATTTGATTCTGACAACCGTCGATCTCTTCGAGAGCCTTCTGAATTTCAAGGTCATACTCCGTACCATCCCCAGGGTCCTCGACTTTTTTTACCTTTTTATTTGGCGAGGACATTTTGTCGAAAATAGACTTACACTTTTCAAGACTTTTGTGTGCTACTTGTGTTTATTTCTGTATATTCTCTCTCCTCGGCGTTGATCTCACGAGAATCGCGGTAAAGTTTGCAACAATGACGACATAACCTAGAAATTGCACTCGATTGAAATTTTGAACTTGCAGATGGCGTTGCACTCGAGCGCGGGAAAATTTAAATCGTTCGCCATGTTCTTAAACTTTAACAAAAATTTTTGTAGTGCTTTATTGTTTCCTACAAGATAAATCTTGATATGCAGTACTTAGAATAATTTTTTTTGAAATATTTATCTTACTATTATTATTTTGGAAAAAAAAATTATATTACCGACTGTGAAATTTTCTTTTCTATGGCGAGAATTTTAATGCCAAAAAAGAAACTTTTTTCTTCCTTTTTTTTTATGCGGTAATTTTTTAAAAGTCACAGAACTTTTGTTCAACTTTTAAAAATCTCTGCCAGAAATTCGCACATAGAATTTTATTCATTTTTATTTAATGCAAAAAAATCGGAAAAATGGATTAACAATTGCGATATATTGATTATTATGATTGGTCACATACCCATTGTGAGAAACTGTGTCGACCAATGAAAATCTTTGAACTTAGTCGATAAGGAAGATTTAACCAATAATAGTGTGTGTTTTATAACCTCAATTGAGGATATGTTGTTGAAGAAAATCAAGATGGCATCCGAAACTATGGCGAGAATGCTATGTCAAATGAATGTGCGATGTAAATAGTGAAAATTAAAGTGCTTGTGAGTTTATTTGGGACGACATTTGTAAGTATTGTGACGTAACGTTGCAGAAACAGTGGAAAAACGGTAAAATTTTAAGCAACGTTTGGCGAAGACGCCCGACGTGACGCCCACGGGTTATTCACCAAGGCGTCATCGTCAGCGAACTTGGCGAAAAGAAAAACTCCTGGTGATGCAGAGAAAGTCAATAACGAATTTCACATTGTCAACTCCAATTTACATATTCTTCCTCTAAAAAAATCACGGCATGTCGCATCACAGCCACACCAAAGACACAAACAATGCTACCAGTCTTCCTCGAGAGCCTGAGGGTAATTTTTACAATAATTTGTCCCTTGGCATTTTGGCAAACACACTGATATTTTCCTTATTTTTCAACCAACAACCATTATGTTATCGAATTTAAATACTAAAATTATTGGGAAAAAATGACAAGTTATTTATAGTAAACGTAAATTTTCTCTATATTTCGTTTGTTTGTAGATAGTTTACACACACTTGTCCTTTTATGTCCGAAATTTCGAATTTCTTTTTTTAGATTTTTTCATTTAGAAATGTTGAATTTTAATCGACTAGTCTTTAAATTGAGAAAAAATTTAGTTTTTTTTCAGTGTGGAAGCCAAAGTCAAATGTATGATGTAAAAATTTAGTTTTTCAATTTTTAGAAGAAAGTAAACATCCAGAAACTGTGTCAACCAGTGTTTATCCAACACAGGAACATTCTACATTTCATCATGTACGTATAGCAAATGTTAAATTTTTGATTCCTTTTTGAAAAGATACAGGTATTAATTTTTAATAAATTCAGGTACGACAGGAACACGAGAATTCAGGAACAGTCTGTCAGGAGGAAAATGTTCAAGTTTTCACTGCCCATGTGAGTAAAATGTCAAAAAAATTATCAAATCTTAAATAATTTTTCTTTTTAAATGTTTTCAATGTTAAAATTCATGTACTTAAAATCATTGAATTCTTGTAAAGTATTTGTCAACAAAATTTAAAAATAATTTAATTCATTTCAAGAATTTTATCATCATTTTTTCGAATTTTATTAAACAAATTTATTAAAATAAAAGAATTTTATTATAAACTTTTGAGAACAATTGAATTGTTTAGAAAAATTTTATTTCAATTTTTAAAAATCATTGAACCTGTAGAGACACTTTCTTAAATTATCTTGAATATAATTGAATTTTTTTCTAGAAATTTTATTAAATTTGTATTGCTAGTTATTAATATTTAATATTGAAAATTTCTCTTAAGGAAGTTTATTTTGTTTTCAGACTGACATTGCCAATAGCAGTGATATTGTCTGTGAAAATAGAAAACAAGCGTTTCCGGTGAGAATAGAGGAATGCGGGAATATATCTAGTAAAAATTCACAACTCGCCGAAAGTCCACAAAGCAGTGGTGCTGTTTTAAATAGTCCACCGAGTCCTGATTTTCCACCACGTGTTACAAATGATCACGGCCTGATTCCAATGAGTTCACCAACAAAAATAACAATGGACACTGCAAAATTAACCGTACCCGATGTAAAAGTCAGTGAAATTGAAACATCACCATCATCACCATTAAAAATACCTAAAGTAGAAAATACCGAAATGGAAATTGATGTAAAAACCAACATTAACGAGACTATTAAAAATGAGACAGTCGAAAAAGTAGAAGTAAAAATTGAATCTAACGAATGTAAATTAACGAATGATGTTACATTGAATAAAACTTCAACGTCAACGACGTCAACAACAACAACAACAGGAACAACGGGATCGAAACATAAGCATGAGTCTTCCGGTGATCAGAGCAGTCAAAGTAAATCACATTCATCGTCTTCCTCGAAAGACAAACGAAAAGAGCACAATAGACATCATTGCACGCGTTGCTATAGACGCAGTAAAATAAAACGAGCAAATGTTGGAATTCAATGTAAACGTGATAGAAATTCTTCATTTTCTCAACATCAAAAAATACTTTCTCCAAATCCCCAGAAGGGTAATCATGATAATTTAAGGCTTAATTTACAAACGAAAATGTGTAAAACACTTGAGAAGCAGACAACTAAACATGAATCACTTCAAGGCTTAAAGTACAAGGATTTTATTCATATAGAAACTTATCCCAATGGTGGTGCTACTGTTGTTCACATGTATCAGGATGAAATTGACATTTTAAGTAGTGAAGAAATTGAGGAACTTGCACAGGAATATTTCAAGGTGAGTTTCTATTTTTGATAACTTAGACATTTTTTTATGTAGCTGATAAATTGTACAATTTTGTATTACAATTTTTTGGTGAAAAGAAAATTACAGGTTTGCCACAGGTTAGGGAAAAGTCAGGGATTTTTTTTAAAAGTACTGGAAAAAATTAAATTTTTAGAATTCGTAAAAATTTTATTAAAATTCGTCGAAAGAATTCAATTATTTAAAAATTTGTTGATAATCATTTATTTTTGTATTTAAATAATTGAATTCTTGCAAAACTTTCTAATAAAAATTGATTTGGAATTGAATTGCAGTCGAAATTTTAGATAATAATTGAAAATTAGAAGCATATGGGAAGCATTTTTAGAAATAATTAAAGTTTAAAAATGTTTCAAATTCACATCTTGTAATATTTGAATTTTTTGTACTTTTAATTACCAATTTTCGAGTAACTAATTTTTTTTTTAAATTCATTTAGAAGGGAATTTTAGTTACAGACTCTAAAAAAATAATAGAAGTTAGAAATAATAAAACTCATCGCGGAATTTCAATTATTTTTAATACAATATTAATCGAATTCCTCGAAAAATGCAATTATTCTTAAAATTTTTATTAAAAATCGTCAAAAAATTCAATTATTTAAAAATTTGTTGATAAAATTCTTTATGAGAATTCAATTTTAAGAAACATTCAATTGATTTAATAAATTATTTATTTGTTTATTTCAATAATTGAATTCTCGTAGACTTTTGTAATAAAAATTGATTTAAAATTGAATCTCAGTTAAAATTTTAGTTAATAATTGAATATTAAAAGTATTAGGTATAGCATGAATTTTTAGAAATAATTGAATTTTGAAAAGGTTTCAAATTCAAATTTTTGAAAATGTGAATTTTTCATACTTTTAACTAACAAATTCTGTAGAATTTTCAATAATTATTAAAAATAATTGATTTAAAGAAGAATATTATTTAAAAATTCTAGACAATAATAATTGAATTAAAATAATGAAAATAATTTTGAAAAAGTTACAGTAACAATATTCTTAAAATATAAAATAATAGTTTTATCACTCGGTCGTCTTTAATTATTGTAAAACATGAAGATATCGATCACTCCGAGTCGAAGACTCGGAGTAATCAATATCTTTATGTTTTATAATAAATATTCTTATAAGTCTCTGAATTTAAAAAGGTTTGAATTTAAATATTTTGAAAATCTTAATGCTTATGGAAAAATACTATCTAATTACTGATGATTAAATATTTAATTTAAATAAAGCTATTGGTATTTTTGAATAATTTTACAATTAAAGAAATTCGTAAGTAGATGTAATAGAACATTTTTTTTAGTATCTAACATTTTTACTGTGAATCAGAACATTCTTTAGGGTCAGTCAAAATCAAAAGTTTGTCTAGAAATCAGGGAAAAGTCGGCGGAAAACAAAATTAAATTTTTGTGGCAACCCTGAATTAATTCAATTTTTTGAAGCGAAAAATTGAACTGGAAAAGAAATTTGATTTGACAAATATAATAGTTTTATAATAGATAAAACTAATTTAATTAATTTTCTACATAATTTGTGAATTCTTATTTTATTACATATAGTATTGTAATTAGTGAAGAAAATTATGAATTGATAATTTATTGTTTCAGGTTGTTTTTGGAGAAGATGAGAACGGTAATGCACATCATGTTATGGGAATAGTTCATAATGCTGCTGCTTACTTACCGGATCTTCTTGATCATATGGCACTGCATTATCCCACATTAACCGTAAAGAATGGTGTTTTAGGAAGAAATAGTGATATTGAAACTACCACAATGCTACAGTATAAGGATCAAATTTGCAAATCTTACAGTAACGGCACTATCAGATATGGACCATTGCATCAAATTAGTCTCGTCGGAACTGTTCACGAAGAAGTTGGAGGCTATTTTCCCGACGTCTTGAAGAAAATGGAGGAGAACGTCTTCTTAAGATTGGTGAGTTACTTAAACTTCTACTTTATTTTACTTCATTCTAACTTTTTAACTTTCAGAAGATTTAAATCTTCTGAAATTGAATTATTTCTTAAAAGAAATATTATTCAAAAATTAAATTAATTAAGTTTTTTCCAAATTTTATTTTCCAAAAATTATTTTCTAGAATTTCCATCCAAAATGCTTCTCTAAATTAATTATTTTCTAGAATTTTCAACGAAAGTTCTTCTCTAAATCGATTATGATTAGAATTTTATAAACGGAGGAAGCAAAAAGAAAAAAAAATAAAGAGTAGGTAATTAAAAATTTCCGATTGCAGACAATGCCGTGGGGTCCATTATCAGCAGTGACAATGGAGAGTCCACAGGAATCAAATGACGGACCGATTCTTTGGATAAGACCCGGTGAACAATTGGTCCCAACTGCTGACATAAACAAAAGTCCCTGTAAACGACGAAGAGCAGGAATCAATGAACTTCGTAATCTCCAATATTTGCCGCGATTAAGTGAAGCTCGTGAGTATATGTTTGAAGATCGAACTCGTGCACACGCCGATCATGTTGGCCACGGTTTAGATAGAATGACAACAGCCGCCGTTGGTGTTTTAAAAGCCGTTCACAGTGGTTATCCAGCCGAATATAATCGAATAACAAAGGACGTTGTTGCATTTTACGCCGGTGATTTTCAGGAACTTGTCGAAAAATTACAACTCGATTTACATGAACCACCAATATCGCAATGCGTTCAATGGATCGAGGACGCGAAATTAAATCAATTACGAAGACAAGGTATTCGCTATGCGAGAATTAATCTCTATGACAATGATATTTATTTCTTGCCACGTAATATTATTCATCAATTTCGCACTGTTTCGGCGGTGTCGAGTATCGCTTGGCACGTGCGATTAAAACAGTATTATCCCGATGCATCGTCGGGTATTAAACACACGCGACCACTCAATGAGACGGCGCACATTCATTACAAGGAGAAGAAACTTCATGAAATTGAAGTCACCGAGGAACAAAAGGAAAATGCTGATCGCCAACGATTGGCAGCTGATCGTCGCGTCAGCAATGATTCACTAGAGGAGAAGAAGGCAAAGGAACGTGCCGCTGAATATCAGGGGAATTTGAAGAAATCCGATCATCAGCATGGCAAACGTAAGGATCGCGATCGTGCCCGTCATTCTTGCTCGTCGAAGGATCTTAACGAATTAACCCTTGAGTCGGAGAAACATTCTCTAGAACAAAAGAGCAGTTCCGAGAAAAACGATAGCAGAAGAGATCGAAAACAGGACGATAGACATCGAAAGAGCAAATCATCAAGTAGTCATCATCGATCCGACGATAGAAAGAAGCACGACGATTCCCGTAAATCAGAACATCGTCATTCGAAATCCTCGAGTCAGACACCGAAAAAGATTATTACCGAACCTTCCTTCGATTCGACTCTATCGAAAAGTGAACCAAAAGCGGAAAATATCCAAAGGATGAACAGTTTAGAACTGCCTCCGGTTCCTCAACAGATCGAAATTACGATCGATGGCGAAATGATAACAGCAAGACAAGCGGCGGGCAAAACTTACGCCAGCGAAGTTGTGGACAAAGCCCTTGAGATCGCAATCTACAAATCAAAAACCGACGTCGATGAAGTCTGTCAATCACTGCGAAGCGGTGTCGCCATCGCCTCTAAAGAAATGCTCGAGCGAATTCGCAAAGAAAATTTCGAAATAGCCGAACGTTTATTCGGCGAGGACAAAGTAAAGGTCGAGAAATCGTATCGATTACTAGAGATCGAGACAGTGTCGGCCTTCACCGGGAAAATGGAGTGCGCCACCGAGAATGCAGTGAAAGCCCTCATTGAAATGGCCGAGGAGGAAATGAAGGAAGCCGGTAAAACAAAAACCGACGAAACACAAGGCGAAGAATTAGAAAAAAAGAATTTCACCAGTACATCCCTCTCCTCTTCTCTCTGCAATTCCTCCGCTTCAATTTCCTCCTCGTCAAACGAAAGCGAAAGACGTGTGTCAACCGAAGAAAAATCATCATCCTCCTCATCAAGACACTCAACCACCGGTGAAAATACCCAACGAAAACACAAGAAAGAAAAGGACGATCGCGATCGTAAGCATAAGGAGAAAAGGGATCATGAGAGAAGACGCGATAAGGATCGAGAGAGGAGTAAACATCGTCGACACGAGAAATCGTCATCATCAACAACAGATAAAGCGGAAACGAAAGATAAAGATGAATCGAGATCAAAGCACGACGAGAAACGATCCGAGAAGCATAAGGACTCGGGACACAGTCAATCGAAGGATAAAAGTTCGAGGAAACATGATTCGTCAAGATCGTCGCACAGTAATTCGGGACACAAGAGGAAAAGTAGTTCGAGTTCGAGTCAATCGGATCAACCGGAGATAAAGAGGCTTTGTACAGAGGAGAAAATTCCTGAGAATGAAAATTCCAAGCCGGCGGAACAGATCGCGAGCAGCACGTGAATCGACGTGAGCAGTTTGGGAAATTTAGCAGAATTCTCGCTAATCGGTCGATTGAATTTTGAGGAAATACATAATCATTGCAGCTAATATCTAAGAAGGTGCGCAGGAAAATTTCCTAGAGACTAGGGAAAATTTTTCATTTCACAGAAATTTAATTTAATTTTTAATTGAAATTATTATTTTATTTAATTTTTTAATAGAAACATTTTATTTGACATTTTTTTGTCCATAACATTTTATTTACATTGTCATTAGTTTAGAATTTTCATTTGGCATTTTAAATTATTTTCATACAGTTTCAAAGTTTGGATATTTTCGAGTTAAAAAGTAGGAATATTTTCTTATTTTCCAATAATAATTCAATTATTATAAGTAATTATAAATTATAAACCAATATAAAGTATAAATTATAATTAATTGTAAAGTATAAATTATAAATAATTGTAAAGTATAAATTATAATTAATTATAAAGTTTAAATTATAATTAATTATAAAGTGTAAATTATAAATATTTATAAAGTATAAATTACAAATAATTATAAAATGTTAATTAAACAAAATTAATAAATTCAAAAATTAATTTAAAATTAATGAATTTAATTAATTAAAATGACTAAAATCAAATTGTAAACAATTATAAAGTATAAATTGTAATTAATTATAAAATATAATAAGTTATAAATAATTATAAAATATACATTATAATTAATTATATAGTACAAATTATAAACAATTATAAAGTATAAATTATAATTAATTATAGTACAAATTATAAATATTTATAAAGTATAAATTAAAATTAATTACAAAGTACATATAAATTATAAAAATTATAGATTATAATTATTTATAAAGTATAAATTATAATTATTTATAATGTATAAATTATAAATAATTATAAAATTATAAACAATTATAAGGTATAAATTATAATTAACTATAGAATATAAATTATAAACATTTCATATTAAAAATATGTTAGTCAATTATTTTTCTTATAAATCTTGCAAAATAACAAATCAAATAAATAAAATATCTTTTGAAATTCGAATTTCGAAAAATTCTTTCAAAGAAAAAATTTGATTTCAAATAATATTCTGTTGCAAACACTTCTGTGAAACGAAAAATGCTACAATTTTGCGAAATTTTCATGCGTCCCGGTAAAAAATTAAAAAAGAAAACTTTTCCAAATAATAGCGAAATATTTAATTTTTGTTCATTTGCCTTTAAAAGTACAATTTTTTTCAAAAAATATTTTTTATCATTTTTGCTATTATTGGAGAACATTTTCTACGAAACAAAAAAAAAATTGTACAATGAAAATTCTTATTATATTTTTTTTTAATCTCCGTTTGGTTCGTGAACCAAGGTATTGTTAATTTTTTTGAAATCTATTTTTGATAAAAAAGAAAGAAAGAAGAGAAAAAAAAATCGGTCTCTTGGATGTTTTGAAAAGCTGCTTTGATTTTGTATTTCGGTTTAGCTCATATCTACAGCGTGGACCAAAAATGATTAAAATCATCTTAAAACTGGCTTATCGTTAAATGGAACATGAACGACAGGTATTAAAAGTCGAAAATTGATATTGAAAAATGGCTATTATTTAAATAATAATTGCAGGACGTTTATTTAACGTTTTTAAAGAAAAAAAGAAATATATATTTAGAAAAGAGATTAAAGATATTTCATGTTGGAACCAGTTGATTCTGTTTTAAACTAAATTTTTTTTTTCAAAAAGTAATTATTTTTACTTGATAAAAGTTTTAATTTATCATTTTTTTTTTTTTAAGTATTATTATTAATGTTACTTTTTTTCAATGTTCCTTTCTTAATCTTAATCGAACGTAAAAAAATAGTTTCCACTTTCATTAAAAAATTGTTACATGTTCAAAGAAATATTTTTTTACAACGAAATACTTTTAAACGAAACAAAAAAAGATTTTGTTTTTTAAAACTTTCTGTTTTAATTAAATCACTGAAAATTGTGAACGAAAAATTGCTTTGTTTTTTTTTAATCATAAAATAAAATTTATTCCTCAAAGAAAATATTTTTCGGTTTTTTTTTTATTTTTCTAATATTACTCCCAACCTGGAATTTTAAGTTTATAAAAAAAAAATAATTTTGGTTCCAAAATGAAATTTCAATTAACAGTTTCCATGGAAACTTGTTTTTAGTCAGTTTTATTAATTTTTAATAATTAATAATTTGTTATTACATTTATTCATTTTGAATGAAAAGTAACAAGTGAACTGATTTTTCGTTTTTTTAAATTCGCAATCAGCGAAATTAAAGTTTACATTTTTTATTTTAAGATAATTCAACATAAAAAACAAAAAAAAAAGAAGAAGAAGAAAGAAAACCAAGAGCTTTATTAAATTTCGATGACAGTGAATTTATTTATAAGAAAAATTTGCAAATGATTTTTGATTAAAAACTAATTTGCACCTCTTTATTTTGAAAGGATGTACAAATTAAATTGAAAATTGAAAAATTGAAATTTCAAATAAAAGCAAATATCGATGATTCGATATTATGTACATAGAAATTTTTTAACAGTCTTTGCTGAGTTATGAATGAAAAACAATTCTTGGCGGACTGATTTATTTTACTTAAGTTATTTAATTATGTAGCTTTGTAATAAGTTATTTATACTCAGTGCAGTTTCTTAAAAAAAAATATGGAAAAAACAAATTGTTTTTAAAATCAATGTACTTTAATGTAATATACCGCTTCATTAGGCATCGCTGAATTAAAACTGCAATTAAAATTGTATTTTAAAATTTATTAGATGAAAAATCGCCGAAAAAAAAGTTAATTTCGTAATTTGTTTTTGGAAAAAATTAATTTTTTTTCATTAACAAAAGTAATTTTAAATTAGATCGCGTTGAGGATCATGCACTGTGACAATTCTCTGAGATAAAAAAAAACGATTTAAACCCATGACACGACATTTATATTCTCTAAGATAATTTTTACGCAGTTATTAAATATTAATAATTTTTCCCCATAATAGTTTTATATATTTTGTCAATGCACGGTGATGAGCACATTTGCACTTTATTTTCTCTTATCAATTAATTGTAATCGTATAAAATTATTTTCCACTTTAAGAAATAGATTTTTTTAATCCTGACATTTTAAAATCGTTTTGTTTCGTTTTTAAAAAATTTGTTTTTTATTTGGAAAATAGTTTATTACAATTTGTTCGATTTATTACAGTTCGTTGGATTTATTACAGATTAAATAGCATTTTTTGTTAATCGTACCTCATTTTATAAAAATGAGTTTAGTAGGTGTTGGTGTTTTGTTTATAAAAAAAAATGCGTGTCTAGGTTTAAAATAATTGCAGTAAAAAAACAATTAAAAGAAGCAAAAAATGAGTCTCATAATGTGAAAGCTAATAAACCCTCGACGCAGTATTTCCCGTTAGTTCAACTAACAAAAAATATAAATGTAGATATACATATAAATTATAGATGCACCTATTATATATATATAAAAGAAGAGTTTGTTTAAATAAGCGAAAAGTTGCCCTGAAAAAAAAATTAATTCAGAATGTGCTGGAATTGAAATACTACACTGTAAATTTTTGTAAATAACGTCCATTAATACGCAAAAAAAATATATATTACAATATTATATTATTATATTATATCGTATTAAGATTAGAGTGCTACAGTGTTATCGATTATGACGTTGAAAGTCTAAAATTTGAAGGTAAAGAAAAGATTATTCACAGACACTGATGTTTGCCACCTGAACTCTTAATATTAATTAAGCATTACAATGTTCTATTATTATATATAAGAATATATTATGTTGATTACAAAAAAAATCATAAAACATAGAGATAAATATAAATATTGTAGCAAGTAGTTTTACATATTGTACCCGTCACACGTGTAGAGTCGCATTCCAGATAGGTTTTTAATGAAAAAATAAAATTACTTTTATCAAAGGATATGATTTCTTTTTATTTAATTAAGTCTTCCGATTCTTTCCTATTCTTCTTCTTAAATGACTTTTGTAATTGTCGACTGTCAGAACTGCGGTTTGAAATATGTTTTTTTCGTAAAAGAAAAAGTAAACAAAAGTGAATATTTGTTTAAAATACTCTAAAGGTCGATTCACAATCGCAAAAGCGTCATCTAGCGACTGTTGTTCACAACTTAACCGCGTTGCCTTAAGCCGAGTTCATATCGACAAAACTGAAACCCGACTGGGATTTGTTTTCGGGGCTCGGAAGCAGGCCGAGTTCAGTAGTAATTAGCATTTTTTTGAGAAGCATTTAGAAGTACGCGAGCCAATATTAGTGGAAATAAATTAATTAAACGGTGATATATTAACTATAGTATTTAATTTACCGTTTAGGTAAAAGTAACTCATCATAATTTGGCAAGTTCAGTCAAAAAGTTTACTCAATTACCAAGGGAAAGGTGTCTGAAAATTATTGTAGCTACCGCATGTGCTTGATTTTTCCCTGATAAAAGCTACGTGTATTCCCATTATGAGTGCCGAGGACGAAATTTTGCGAATTCTAAAAAAGCTCAATAAAATATGCAGTGGCGAAGGAACGGTAAGTAAAATATAATAATTTTCATTGATTACCATGCATCAAACGAAAGAAATCTTGTGTAATTTATTGTTTACGATTTTCTTCGAATAATTTGTTCTCTTTCAAATGTTGATAAATGGGGAAAAAAATAATTTTATACCAAACAAAAGTCGATACGTTCTTGTTTGTTTGTCTGTAGTTAATATAATAAATAGAAGAAGGAAATACAAACAGTTCATGTAGTTCACGCATGTAAATAGAAAGGCGCACGCGGGTGTTTTTAAATCCACCCGCACCCTTCAATTATTTTTTTGTTTTTCTATTTTCAGGACGAGGATGAGGCACTGGAACTGCTCAAATCATTGCAAAAATTACCGATAACTTTAAATCTTTTGCAAAAAACTGGCATTGGAATGACAGTGAATGCTTTGAGAAGATCTAGCAAAGACGAAGAGGTCATATCCTTGTCGAAGAAGCTTATCAAGAATTGGAAGAAACTATTGTCATCGGGTAATAATCAAATTTTTTTAATTTTTAAAGTGTAAAAGTTACTTTTTGCTACTGTTTTAAAATTAATTATCGAGTGTGAAGTCTGTTTTTAATAAATCCATTTTTGTTTAGAAAATGCAATATTCTTTTAAAAATAAAATTCTTTTTGAAAAAAAAACCGATTTTAACGAAAGAATATTGAATTTTTACAGATAAGAAGAAAGGTCCAAGTTCGCCAAGCAGTTCCAAAAAGAAGGAAGAAAAATCCGAAAAAAGTAAAGAGGACAACGAATCGAAAAAGGATAAAGACATTACCGATGGTGGCGATGTGAAAATCAAGGAAGAAAAAAATCAAAAGGACGATAAAAAGAAACAAACAAGTTTCCCAGCTCCAACAACAACCGACGCTGTCAGATTAAAATGCAGAGAATTATTAGCGAACGCTCTACGAGTTGATGACTCGTCCTTTGAAGGTTGTGCACCTCCCGAGGAGCTCGCCGAGGAACTTGAAGATGCCATTTACCAGGAGTTTAAAAACACCGACAGCAAATACAAAAATAGGGTAATTATTTTCTTTTCCACTTTTTAATTAAATTCTTTCTTAATTTGTTTAATAAAGAAAGAATTTGTTTAATTAAGAAAGAAATTTGTTTAATTTTTTTTTAATTTATTCTTTTCGTTTCAAAGGTGCGAAGCAGAGTTGCCAATTTAAAAGACCTGAAGAATCCAACATTGAGAACAAATTTCATAGTCGGAGCAATAACACCAGGTCGTCTTGCGACAATGACTGCCGAGGAAATGGCCAGTGACGAGATAAAACAATTAAGAGAACAATTTAACAAAGAAGCTATAAATGACGCACAATTGGCAACAGTGCAAGGAACAAAGACCGAATTACTCAAATGTGGTAAATGTAAAAAACGAAATTGCACCTACAATCAAGTACAAACACGTTCTGCTGACGAGCCAATGACAACTTTCGTTTTATGCAACAATTGTGGAAATCGATGGAAGTTTTGTTAAAGAAAAAAAACATCTTCTCACACCAAATACTTTGGTCCTTCTTCCAATTATTCTCAAATTTCCGCAAAAAAAAAAGAAATCCCTAGGTAAATACACATTTTACGTTTTCAATTATTGTTTTTCCCAAAAGTTGTATTAGTACAACAAAACAGTTCTTTTTTCTATTGTATTCACCAATACAATCAAAAAAACACAGACAAAACAATTCAATTTTTGAATTAAACACAATTTTTATCAACAAAAAAAAAACTTTGTATTGATGGCAAATTTTTTGTCAGACAAAGTGATTAAAAAAATAATTGCTTTATAAGCATAAAAAATTTAAATTCAGATAAAAATAATTTACGTGTGTTGTATGTATATATATGTAGTGTTATTTAACATATTTTAACATCGAACATCGAAATAACCAAAACCTTAGAAAAGAAAAAAACGATGTAAATTTTTTTTGTCTCTCGAAAATTCATATTCATTAGCTTTCGCCTGACAAATTTTTTCCAATAATATCTTTTTTTCAAATTTCTTTTTCCCCAATAATTATCAATTTTCAAAAAATTAATTATCTATTGAAGTTAATAAAAAAAAACTTCTATAATAGAGAACTACGAATTGTATTTATGATCTGTGAGCATTTTTAACGTCTTGATACTTTAAAAAAGACGAAACATTATTATTGTATTATTTAAGAAATTGTTTAATATTTAAGATATATACATTTAATTTGTCTTTTCTCCAAGTTAAAAGAATTCACATTGAATGTAGTTTGATTTGTGTTCTTTCATTCCCTTTCAATTACAATGGGAGAATTGAAGACTAAAATAAAAGATTATAATAATGAATAATTTAGTTCTTTATTTTTTTTTGCGAATAATTATTCAAATCGAGGGTTATAAAAATTGGATATTTATTTACATAAAAATTAGTTATGTACAGAAAAATGGGTATTAAATTCTTTTGTGCTAATCTTCGCGAGGATTTGGTTCACAGCGACAAATCACGGAAATGCGTCTTTCTCGAGGGACTTTTTCACCTTTAAAGAAAGAATCTGCATCTTTTAGCACCTCGTGGTTGTATTTATTCCTTGCGACTCCACTAATTTATATTTATGAAAAGTATTTAATTTATAGTCACTGATTAAAGTTCACTCAATATTATTTTAATAATAGAAATAATAAATTTATTAATAGATTTCAATAATAGAAATATTATTTCAATAAAATTATTTTTAAAAATAGAAATTCTTTACCTCATTATGTAAAGAGATCTTCTTGGGAGAAGAAAATCCTCCTTATGATCTTCACTTTCCACGGACGTGAGACGCATAACGCAATTACTCAATAAACTGATACCGGCAATAATATCGCCACAAAACTAAATTCAAACAATTTTTTTCATAATTAAAAATTCTCTTTGTTAAAAGATTTTTTTTTAGTTTATTTTAATATTTTTACCCGAACACTGTCGACGTGAGGTTTAATCCATCCTTCGGCGGTTAAATCGAGAACGTGAACGTAAGCAAGTTGAGGTGTTCCTGGTGGAAAGGCTTTATTTCGAATTTTGTCAATTATCCTCAAATTCTCTTCGTTCCATTGAGAACGTTCTGTTTCACGATATCCATGAATTGCCTATCAAATTAAAGATAAATTTTCAACTATATTATATAAATAGTTAATTAAATTAAGTTCAATTAAAATTAAACGAAAACAATATATATTTATACACATACAATAAATTTTACTAACGTTATCCCAGTGGGAAAATTCATAACGTAAACGTTTTAAATAAGGTTCCATTTCTTTGAGAATCGAATTTTCCTCGTCTTCGCTGATAAAATTCGGAAATACTTTCATTGTTGCGTGCAATTCTTTTTTCCATTCTTTTAAATTGTCCTCATTTTTATGTATTATTTCAGCGGAATTTGTACAAAACGCACCATAAAATATATTACATTTTTTCGGTGTTTTTAAAATTAAAGATCTGAACCCCATCACCTGGAATAATTATTCTGATTACATAAACAATGTCTACATTTATTTTTTTAATTGGAAAATAAATAAAAATAGTCAGAAAAATTCCTAAATAACATTTTTTGATTTCGTTTATTTCTACTTCGTGGATTATTTTTATAGAAAAAAAAACAAAAAAATAGTGATTTTTAGGTTAGAAAACAAATTTTCCTCGACAATGATGTAATAGAAACAATCGACAAAAATATTTAATGGAATTATACAAAGTAGACATACCTTCGTTTTTCTACTTTAATTACACATAAAAATCCTCAAAAATCAATGTTTATTTCAGTTAATAAATTGCAAAAGAAGTAGTTTTTGTTAAAATTCCAAACACATAAACATAATGTACAGGGTGTGCAAAAAATTTGTATTAAATACAGTCTTGAAAAATATTGTTGATACTGTTGAGACACCCGTTTTATAGTCTCCATATGAGAAAAGCACGTGTTTTATACTGTCAAATGTGTTTACAAATATTTGTCTCTTCTTTTAGAGAATAAAACAATTTTTATTAGTATACCTTCAATTAGACACTTGTTTTAATACTTAACAACAGAAACTAATTTTTACTAATATATTTACATGATCCTAAAGTTTATATTGAAGAAAAACAAACTTCCTAACCTCAAAAATATTTACCCAGGACACCTAGGACAACATTATTTTCTTTCTGTTTTAATAAAAAGGATGGATAATTCTGCACAAATAAAGGAAAATGATGGAAATATAATTAAAGAAGGAAAGGCAGAAATTTTAGTCGAAGGGAAAAAAGTCTTTTACAATCACGTTCAGGAATTTAATCGAGATTTAAGGTATTATGCAAAATTGTCAAACTCAACATAATTTTATTAACTATAGTCTTAATATTTTAATTATATTTTCATTATTTTAATTTTGTTTCTATTCTCCCGATGGATTTATATAATATTTATACAGTAGTTTTATTACATAATTAATTACTTTTTTTACATAATTCATTTAAATTTTTTTCAGTATTGCAGTTTTGTCACTGTTCGCCGAAGATTATAATTCCGAATCGAAAACGAAAAAAGTAGAAAAGAAAAATTTAATAATTGAGGATAAGAGTTCAACTGAGGCAATAGAGAATGTATTAATTTTTTTGAAGGAATTTTATTAAAAATTTTGAAAATATTGATTTTCAATATTTTTTTGAAAAGAATTTCAATAAAATTGGAAGGGAATACCGCGTTCTTTAATAATAATTAATTTTCAGAAGGGAATTACAATATTGGAAGCTTTGTCAGCGACCGGTTTGAGGAGTATAAGATATGCTAAGGAAATAAAAGGTATAAAATATGTGGTTGCAAATGATATTTCAAAGGAAGCAATCAAAGCGATTGAGAAAAATATCGCTCACAATGGAGTTGAAGATTTAGTAAAACCAAGTCACGAAGATGCAACGTAAGTTCTGTTTCCCTTAAAATATCTAGTAAAAAAAGGTTTTAATTTAATTTTGCTTTCATTGAAATATTAATTATTTTATACTATTTACAGAATGGTCATGTATCAAAACAGAAAAACGCGTTTTGACGCCGTTGATCTTGATCCTTACGGATGTCCAGCAATATTTCTCGACGGTGCTGTTCAATGTCTCTCGGAAGGAGGATTACTTTTAGTCACCGCCACCGATATGGCACTTTTAGCTGGCAATTTTCCAGAAACTTGCTACGTTAAATATGGAGCTTTGTCCTTAAAATCAAAAGCCTGTCACGAAATTGTAATATATTACTATTTTTATTCTTAACGCTTTCACTTTCATTTTTTTATTTATTTTTCGTTAAATCAACTGACAATTTTTTAAGCCTTTTCTTCTTATTTTTTTTATTATTACTTCTTTATTTATTAATTACTATTTTTATTATTATTTTTATTACTATTTTTATTATTATTTTTATTATTGTTATTTTTATTACTAATAGCTTTCTAAATTAATCTTATTGAATTTAAAAAGAACCTTTTGCTCTTATGTTGAACCAGGCTTTGAGAATTTTGTTGCAACACATTGCAGCACACGCTGGACGATATGGTCGCTATATTCAACCTTTACTTTCGATAAGTGCCGATTTTTATATTCGTGTATTCGTGAGGGTGTTTACAAGTCAAAAGAAGTGTAAGGAAAATGCCAGTAAATTGGGAATGCTCTATCAATGTGTTGGCTGCGAAAGTATGACTGTTCAACCCTTGACCGTTAAATCCCCAACCGGAAGTTTTAAATTGCCACCAGCACCCAGTGTCGAGCAATTCTGTAAACATTGTCAAAGCAAGCACCACGTGAGTTCAATTCAATTCAATTCAAATTTGTATTTGAATTTTATTTAATTTAATTTTTTATTTTAATTTTATTTCCGTAAGATTTTTCTATTTTTAATTATAATTTTTATTTGAACTAATTTTTCCTTCTATCATGATAATTATAAAAATTTATCGAAAATTATTTTCTTTATTAATTAGAATTTTATTTCTTTTTTTTCGAAATCAATATTTTCGATTTTTGAAAGACAGTGAAGTAAATGAAAAAAAATTTCAAATTCACAATTTAAACGACGTTTTCATGGACATTTTGTTTTTAATTTTATTATTATTATAAATTTGAAAATTTCCCAGGTTGGCGGTCCTTTGTGGATGGATCCTATTCACGATCAAACATTTGTTTCGAGGCTTTTGTCAAAAGTTGAAGAAATGGATTTGGGAACGAGTAAAAGAATCGAAGGAGTTTTGAGTGTCGTGAGAGAAGAACTTGACAGTCCATTGTATTATACACTCGATCGTTTGGTAGGAGAACAAATTTAATTAACAAAGTAGATGAATTTTGATTTTTTAATTCTCTTTTTGCAATTTATGAAGAATTTTGTTTTCTTTACAGATGTCAATTGTTCGTGTTGATACACCTTCTATGCTCTTATTTCGATCGGCGCTGTTGAACGCAGGTTACAAAGTTTCATATTCACATGCAAATAAAATTTCCATAAAGACTGATGCTCCCAATGATGTTATATGGGATATTGTACGAGCTTGGGAAAAGGTGAAAATTTTCTAATTTCAACGTAGAATTTTATTTTTCTCTTTTTTTAGTTTTTCCTTTTTTTATTTTTTTCTCTTTCTATTTTTTCTTCTTTCTATTTTTCGCTCTTTCTACTTTTTTCTTTTTTTTATTGTTTTCCTTTCTTTATTTTTTCCCTTTTTCTATTTTTCTCTCTTTTATTTTATTTTTTTTTATTTTTTCCCCCTTTCTATTTTTCCCTTTTTTTATTTTTTTCCTTTCTTTATTATTTCCTTTTTTATTTTTCCTCTTTTCTTTATTTTTTCCCTTTCTATATTTTTTCCTCTTTTATTTTTTTCCATTTTATTTTTTCCCCTTTTTTATTTTTTCCTTATTCTATTCTTCCTGGTTTTTATTTTTTCTCTTTTTTATTTGTTTCTTTTTCTATTTTTTCTCTTTTTCTTTTTCCAATTTTTTCCCTTTTTTTAAATTTTTTTCCATTTTTATTTTTTACCTTTACTATTTTTTACCATTATTATAAAATATTTAGAAGATTAAGTATAGAATAGATAGAATAATAAGTATAGAAAATATATAACAAAACATAAAATATAGAAGAAGAAATTACGTGACTGATAATTTAGAGAAAATTAAATAAATTGTAATAATTATAAATTAAATTGTTAATTTGAAAATAGCTGATGTTGCAGGAAAAACCCGCGAGACGAGAACGACTCGCTGAAAATAGTGTGGCGCTTACAATTTTAACAAAAGATTCTGTAACACCAGTGTCATTTGCACTTCATCCTCTTGCAAATCCAGTTTCTCGACAAAAACGCTTATCACGATTTCAAATAAATCCGGAATCAAATTGGGGACCTGGCACAAAGTCTTGTAATATGTAAGTTAATTAAATTTATCTATGTACATTAAAAATTAGTTATTATTATTATTATAATTATTATTCATTCTTTAGAACATATGAAATTCTTATTCATCTATTCCTCAGAATAAATGAAATTTGATTCGTTTATTCGTCAGAATAATTGAATTAAATAAAAAATTATTAATTAATCAAATTATCCATTTTCTATTTTCCCCCTTAAATTCAGGATGAATCACGAGAAACCGCATCATTTAAAAAGAAAACGAAATCAAAATAAACACGAAAAGAATAAAAGAAAAACAGACGAAAAAGATGTTGGAGAAAATTCAATAGAGAAAGAAACGAGTGTAAATTCTGAAATGGAATCGTAAAAAAAATGTAAATTATTCTAACATTGTAAAAATGTTTATAAATAAACGATTTTTCCACAAATGAATTTTTACAATATTTATGAAATTGTCTACCTATAATTTTTATTCTTTATCGTATTGTTAATTTCTTATTTCCATGAACGAATGTTACCATGGTAACGGGAATGAAAACAAATTTAATGATTAGTCAAAGTGTAAAGTGTAGACAAAAATGGTTTCTTTAAATGTGAATTGACATTGTAACCGGTGTTTAAAATATCTTTTTTTTAAACAATGGCAGAAGACACAAAATTTATTGTTACAGAAATCAATAAACTTTTATCGCGAAATTACAATTTAATTTCGTTTAGTGCATTAAGCTCTGACGATTTGCTTCAGGTGAGAAAAATATTTTTCTATATTAAATTAAAAATTTATTATTTATTGTTGTTAAATAAAGTCATCAACACTATTAATTAAATACCACCCAGTGATAAATTCAAATTAATATTATAATTACTTATTATTATTACTTTATTAATAAAACAATTTCTTTTAACAATATTAAATTTATTGTTATTAATTTATTAATTAAAAATAGGTTTTAAATAATTATCCGCCATTTTTTCTTCGATTTTTAAAAAGTTTTAAAAATTATTTCAGGTTCTCAGTGACATATTATCAGAAATCGAGCAAAAGGAAAATGCAAAAATTGACATTAGGACTGAAAATCCAGAGCAAAGTTCGATTCGAATTTTTTCACTTCTTCGAGTACTAAAATATCAACCAGATGCTGATCCTGTATTATTTAGGTATTACGATTTATTTAATTTTAATTTTAGTTTTAGTTAATAATTAATTAACTAATTATATTCTCGATATAATAATAAAAATGTGTTTCAAATTTCGAAAATTTATAGACAAGGTCTAGTGAAAGGAGAGACGGAAACAATTTATCCAATTTTAAAATGGATTTTATCAAATGTCAATATTGCCCGTCAACGTGCTTATTTATCCCGTTTCCTAGTGAAGGTGAAACTTTAAAAAAATCTAATTTTACAAAATAGAAAAAACATAAGTTTTTCGGTACAAAATAGAAAAAGAGTATTTTTTTACAGAATAGAAACAAAGATTAATTTTTTCTTACAAAATAGAAAGAAAATTAACTTTTTTCTATTTTGTAAATATAAATATTATAATTAATTATAAATTTTATAATTTTTGACTATTTGCTTAATATTCAAGGTGGAAATACCAGCGGAATATTTATCAGATCCAGACATTGGATCTGTATATGAAAAATATTTGAATATGGTAGAGGAATTCAAGAGTTTACACAAAGATAGAGAAACCGGACGAAAGGTAAATTTTCCATAATTAATTAATTTTCAATAATTAATATTAAATCAATTTTCTTGTAATTTACTAGGGTGGAGAAACTGCTGCCGAATTGAAAGCAGACGTTGAAGCGATGGAGAAAGAAAAAAAAGTGAGTTAAATTTTTGTTTAAAAAAACTAATTTTCTACTTTTATGCAATTTGCAATTAATTTAAATACTTTATTTTCATTTTTCCTCCGAATTATTTTTCCAAGACTCTAATTGGAAGAATCGAGCGAATGAAAATAAGAACAGAACCAGCGAAACATTTATTAGAAGCGGCTCAACATTTGCGACGTGAAAGAGATCGAGAACGTGAATTGGCCACACAAAAATCACAAGAATTAGAAGCTCAAGATGCAGTCGAGGTGAATATTAACTAAATAATAAAAACTAATTTTTATTGATAATTATTAATCACTTGCATTACAAAAAAATTTAATTATAAGGAAAGAAAAATTATTTTCTGACGATTATAATATTACAGATTGCTCTTCAAAGGGCAGAGAAAGAATTGGAATCACTAAAAGAAGAAGGTGCTGGTCTTACGCCTCAAACTGTTTTGCAACGATTAACCGAGGAGGTCTCAGTATTGACAGTAATTGCCAATGAACGTCTACCAGAAGAGATAAAAAATAAAAAACTCCAATTAGAAGCTCTAACTGCGGTTGTCGAATCGCCTTATATTGGAACTGACGAAATTGCAGCTTTGAGAACAAAATTGGATGCCGCTGCAAGAGAAGTTCAAGAATTAGTCGAGAAGAAGGTTTTTAATTTTCTTTTTTATAAATTAAATTGAATTGAATTCAATTAAATTGAAAACACTTCAAAAATTAAATTGAAAATGGAAAAATCAAATTGAAAAGGTTTGAAAAATTAATTTCTATAAATTTAATTTACAGGCTTCCGAAATGGGTTCTGATAAAATGACTCCATTTAGACAGCAAGCTGCTGCAATTGGGAATATTAAGAAAAATACTATGGATAAATTGGAAAAAACAGAAACAACTTTAGCAGAACTTGAAATAAAATTGAGGGAAAAAAAGGAGAGGGCAAAACTCTTGTCTGAGGAATCTGCCCCCGAGGGGGAGGAATTAAAAAGATATGTCGCACGTTTGAAGACTAAAAGCACTTTGTATAAACAGTCGAAAGCGGAATTATCGGCTCTGAAAGCGGAAAATGGAGTTCTTCGCCGTACAATCGAAATTTTAGAGCATCAAGTACGAAATAAACGATTTATTATTTAATTAATAATTTATTTATTCATTATAAATTAAAATCAAATTGAAATTAATTTAACTTATTATAAAAAGTTAAGAAATTAATTTCAATTTCATGAATTTTTAATTTCAGCTTTCAGAAATTCAAACCAATGAAAATGATGAGTCAATGGTTCTTCCTGAGAATTTCTCAAAAGAGAGTGCAATCGAAATTAATAAAGGACTAGCTGAGGAAATTGCTAAACTCCAAAAAGAATTGGCACCGTTATTAGATGGTTACTGCAGAAAAAATTAATAGTTAAAAAAAATCTTCAATTTTGATAAATAAAGATTATAATTATTTAATTGTAATTTCAGAGGTGAAACCATTACGAAAAAAAGCACAGGAGCTGGAAGAAAAATACGAAAAGGCCGTCAATAAACATGATTCGGTTCAAGCAACAATGGAAGAATCAACTTCCGAACTGGCGCAAGAAATTGAATCACTTAAGGCATCCATAAAAGAGGTGAGACAAAAAATATTTCGATCTTCAAAAAAAAAAAAAATGAGAATCTAATTAAAAATTAATTATTTCAAGACTTAATTGAACTAATTCAATTAATTCGATAACTTCTTATATTGAACTGATTTTTTTTTTCAAAGACTGAGGAGAAGAATAACGAGTTGAATAAGGAAATGGATAGAATTAAATATATCGAGGATCGATTAGAGCAAGACAAAAAGGTAGGAAAAAATATTCTCTTGGGAATAAATTTAAAAATGTAATTTCTAAAATGAATAAAAATACTTGCAGAATTTTGTGAATAAAAGCGATGAGCCAACGTTAAGGGACGAAATAATGGAAGGCATTCAAGGCGAGGAGAAGAAATTTAGAAAACTTAAGGAAGAAGAGAAACAACTTGGAGAGGAAACTTCTCAAAATGAATATCAAGTTCAGCAGTGGAAAAATATCTCATCGTACGTAAACTGCGATATTTTTTACTATATGTATATACACTCATTAATTCATTAAATGTTTAACTAATCGAATATTTTAGAATTCTCGAGGCAAAGGTGAAATGCGCCGAAGAATTAAAAAAACGAGATGGAATTGTAGTTCGAGAAAAGGGAGCTGAAACACTAATTTTGCAATAATTTGGTAATTATTTGAATTATTTCTATTTCATTAATTATTAATTTCAATTTCTATTTTATTATAAAATTTAAATTAAAGAAATCAATGCGTCGAAAATTCCTTCTTTAACAATAGGTATATTTTTTGTAGTGAAACTTGGAGAAATAGAAAAATAAAAGTTTTGTAAAAAAATATAAACAAAAACAAATTATAGGAAAACTTGTGTGATTTTTCCGTTTTATAAAAATACAAATTTGTTACCTATTATAACTTAATGTAACACTTTTTACACAAGTGAAATAGTGCACAAGTCGTCAGTCCCAGTCCACCAATGACCATACAAATGTTGTAAATCTTTCTCTTCTTTGGTGCCTTATAAGTCTAGAAATAAGAAAAAAATTAACATTAATAAAAAAATTCTAAACTATTTAGTTTAGAAATAAAAAAAAAAAAAATACCGTTGAAATGTATGTTTCTAAATTATCCACTTCCTTCATGATGGAATCAACTTCCTTGAGTGTTGCTATCGAGGCAATTTTTAAAGTTTCACTGGCACGTATACCTTTATCGGCATCGACAAAAAGATTTATTTGCTCTCCCTCGAGTCGTAGTTTCACGAATGCAATAAATGCGCCAATAAATTTAATATGATTTCGTCCAGTTTTTAAAATATCCAACAAGTGCTCGTATCTAAAAAGAATATAAGAAATTTAGAAATAGAAAATAACGGCAAATTTTTTAATCATTGAAACATTACCTGTAATGTGGCATTAAATATTCACTCGTCTTTTTTGGCGTATTTTTCATTTGCTTTAAAAACGCCGAAATGAATGAATAATCGGCACCTTTAAAATAAACAACAATTGGATTATAATTTTTTATTTTGATACTTATTAATTATTGTGAGAATTATTAATTATTAACTGTAATGATTAGTTATTAACTGCGACAATTATTAATTACTGTGATTAAGATCTAATAAATTCTAATAATGAAGGGAAGAATAGAATGATTTTGAAAAATTAATACTTACCGAGAGTAATTAAATCATATTCAGTTAATTCGGCCAATTCTTCAGTGGAAATGTTTCTTTTTCTAAACTCATCTACGAGGTCAGGATTTCCTCCTAAACCTGTTATAAGCGTTTCAGTTTGTCTCGTAAAACCTAAGATGTCTTCAAAACAATGTCCATTCATCATGATTCAATTTTGTGCGTGAAACATGCGAATTTGTTAAAAGAAAATTCCAAATATTCTAAAAACAGAAAAAGTAATTTCTTGATATAATAAAATGGAAAAACAAAATTATAATTACAATAAACTTATTTTATGTATAGAAACTTTTTAATTTTACAATAATAATTTATGTTATTTTAATATAATTTTAGAAAAAGTAAATATTTATTATTTGCGATTAACGTAAACAAACAACAGGTTTTTGTTTATACCGGTAGAGGTTATGTTAAGTATATATAAACGCATTAACCTGCGACGCCTGCGACTTTTAAACAAATGTTACATTTTCAATAACCATTGATTAATTCTCGGTTAACCTTGATATAGTACTAATTTAATTTCAACTGGTAATAATAGTAATTTAGTATTAAATATTTGTATATTTAATTAACAATATTTACAATCAAATGTAAACTCCAAGATATAACAAGGCTGATCTTTATGTATTGTTCATACAGTGCTGCAATTATCAGAGATAATAAAATTTAAATTATTACTACCAGTTAACTAAAAATAAACAGAATATAATAATAATAATAAGATTTAAATATATATTTCTTATTATTAATTATTACCTCTGTAAACAACAGAAAAATATAGAATTTTTTAAATAAGTTGCAAATTTCGCGCGGAAAAAGTTGTCCAAAAAACTTTTCAATGTGGACATAGCTTTATGTGCGTCGTGTGTGTGCGGTGTGTGCTTTTCATACAGTGTTTTCATCGTGATCATTCTTTTCATTTGTTGACAAATTTAAAAATTATTTATAAATTATTATTATCAAAATGTCTCTGTTAGACAAGCGGAAAGGCGATGATATTCTCGCCCTGGTTCCAGCATCAAAAAAGACAAAAACTGAAGTTGTTTTTAGCAGTAGGGAGAAAGCTGTCATCCAAAGTGTATGTTCCTAACCTCTAATGTCATATTTACATCGCATTTTTATGTTTGAAATAAAATGAAAAACAATTGTTAATATTGACGATTGTTATTATAATTAACTGGTCCTGTAATGCGAATTGTGATTCTTATAATTTTTCTAGTTCAATTCGCAAAATTTAGGTTATGCGGTATTTGTGATTATAATGTCGAAATAAATTTATAATAACATTTTAGGGCCCACCGAGAACATCAAGTTTAGCTTCACCAATTATGATTCTTGAGGGTCATCAGGGTGATATTTTTTCTCTAGAATTCCATCCGGAAGGACAATATCTTGCCTCGACGGGATTTGATCGTCAAATTTGTGAGTAGAAAAAAATTGTTTATTCTTTTTTTTTCCTTTTCTGTTTTTAAAAATGTGAAATTCTCTCAGATATCTGGAATGTTTACGGAGAATGTGAAAATGTATCAGCAATGTCAGGACACAGTGGAGCTATTATGGAAATTCATTTTAGTCCGGATGGCAGTCATTTGTATACAGCCAGTACGGACATGACATTAGGTTTATGGGATTTTGCTCAGGGAACGAGAATTAAAAAATTAAAGGGTCACACGTCTTTTGTAAATTCAGTCTCTGGTGCTCGTAGAGGACTTACGCAATTATGTTCCGGCAGTGATGACAGTACAATTAGAATTTGGGATCCAAGAAAACGAGGACAATGTTTCACATTAAATAATACTTATCAAGTGACGGCTGTGACTTTTAATGACACTGCCGAACAAGTTATTAGCGGTGGAATCGATAATGACATTAAAGTTTGGGATTTGAGGAAAAATGCTGTTCTTTATAAAATGAAAGGTCACACGGACACGATTACTGGTCTCAGTTTAAGTCCCGATGGTTCCTATATTTTATCAAATTCCATGGACAATTCACTTAGGATTTGGGATGTCAGACCTTTTGCTCCTTATGAACGTTGCGTTAAAATTCTCAGTGGTCATCAACATAATTTCGAAAAGGTACAAAGAACATTGGAAATTTACTTCAAAAAATAATTTCATGACATTGGACTTAAATTAAATAATAAAAAATAAAAACTTAATAAAAGTTTTACAAATATGTAATATAATTTGATAATATTAAATATTAAACTACTAATTTTGATTTATTTTGCAGAATTTATTGAGATGTGCATGGTCCCCGGACGGAAGTAAAGTTTCCGCCGGTTCGTCTGACAGATTTCATTATATTTGGGATACAACGAGTCGAAGAATTCTTTATAAACTTCCAGGTCACAATGGATCAGTAAATGATATTGATTTCCATCCAAAAGAACCCATAGGTAAGGATTTATTTACATCTAACTTTGAAAAATTAAACAACTCATAGTATTTATATTATTGAATCGTTATAATTATAATATTAATTCTAAGAAATTTTTTTTTTATTGAATCGTTATAATTATAATAATAATTCTACAAATTTTTTTCAGTTTGCTCAGGATCCAGTGACAAACAAATTTATCTCGGCGAAATAGAATTATAATTATGTAACAAAATTTCTGCGTCAATAAGATTATTCGTTTTATAGAAAATTTTTCTGTAATTTATAAAATGTAATCTTTATTATTTACAGATGTGCAAAGAATGAATGCTACTAGTTGAGAGAAAATGACCAATATAAAATTTTACACTTGGAATTACTATTAATTTTATTTTAATAACAATAAGTAATTAATTACTTATTGTAATATTAATTTAATAATTATATTGTACAATAATTGTATAAATACAAGAAATTTTCCAATTAAAATTCAAATTTTGAAGAAAAGGACTTTTCATGTATGTAAAATGTAACCAATAGGATTTTGAGGAAATGGAAGAAAATCTGAAAAGTGACCAATAAGAAAGGAAAGAAAACGAAGAGGGAGAAGGGATTCTTTGTTGTTCATCATTGTGTAGTACTAGAAGGTCGCACATAGTCGCATTTAATGTTATATTGATTTTATAGTTATTTATAATTAATTTATTGAAACATTTGTTATATAGAAATAATAGATTTTATTTATTATCACTAGAAGAATATTATTAATGTAAGTAGAAACTGAAACTTGGTATTTTTATAATTTTAATTCGTATTTCACATTTTCTTATTAATCTTTATTGCAAATTCGTACAATTCTTTTCAATGTTGTTATTTAATTTACTTTGAATATTGCATAATGAGATAATAAGAATTTATTTATATATTTCAAAAGAAATGAATTGAACATAACCTCTCTTTTTGTGACACAATATAGTGCAATTTTTTTTCGTAACGTGTTTCATTCATTGTTACCACTTACAATAGAGTTAATAATAACAATAAAAATAGTTAATAACAATAATATTTAATATAATTATTCTTTTAGAAACAATGTCTTCCCCGTGGTTAAAGATTCAACCAGTAGAAGGTCCGATTAGTTTCGATGAAATAACTTCTGAGGAATTGGCCAAAAGTTTACAAAAAAAGTAAGATTTCTAATTTTGTTTATTATTTAATTATTTTTTTGTTTGTAAGAATGTAAATAATTTATTATTTCTAGTTGAAAAGAATTAGTTTTATTTTAATATACTCTGTTAAAATATTTAATTCTTTTAGACTAAAATAAAGTATTATAAAAAATATTTAATTTTCTTAAACCATGGGACAAAATTATTATTATTATTAAATTACCATAACGAAATAATTCTTAAATTTCAGAGAATTCGAAAAACTTGGGACAACAATAGAGGACAAGAAAGAAGTGCAAGAACAATCGGAGTTGTACGAAATCGATGGCACAGATAGTGATGAAGTTATAGCACACATGCTGCAAGCTCAGTATAATTCCGAGCACGATTTACAATTAAAACGAACTGAAAATAAATTCAATCGTAATTCAAAAGGTACGTATTTTATAATAACGAAACCTTCGAATTCTTTGCTTTTTAAACCACAAGAATAATTTTTTCAAATTTTCCATTTCAGTAAATATTTTATACTCAAACTATCGAGTTGGACCAACTGAACCAGAAGTTGCAAAACCAACAGTTGACGACAACAGAGATATCGATCATTTTGTTGTAAGTATAATTGAATTTAATTTTAGAATTCAAATTTACTTTTAGTTCCTAAGACGTACTTTTAATACTTGAATTGAAAATTATTTCCACCCTTCAATCACCTTATTTTTAATACTTGAATATTTTTAATTAAAAAAGGAATGTTATTTTCAGGAAATTGAAAAAGAATACGCTAGCTTGCAACGTTGCGGTTTCAAGAAGATAATTAATGACGATGAACAGTCACAAATTGTTACGAAGCACGACATTCTTATGTCATCAAGAATGAATGCGTGTCGTGTACTTGAATTCCCGCCAGGAATTGAAACTGGCGATACAGGAGGATTTGACGTGAAATTGGGAAACAGAGTCTTCAATGATTTACGTGCACACAGTCATGCTCATTGTTCAAGGCAAAAGAGCAAAGCGAGACATCAAGCGAAACCCGCTAAACCTAAGAAAAATCCTTAAACTTCATTGACTTTTCTCGAAATATACAATATATTTTTGTAAAAGTTATAATTTTCCATTTATAAAAAGAAAAAGAAAACTGTTGGTTATTAAAAGTCAACGTTAATTTAATTTCTCTCTGCCAATAATAGTATGCATACAATAAAAATTATTAAACAATAATGTTACTTAAAACGAAATGTACAAACTTAGAAAAGAAAATTTCGTTTTTCTACAAAAAAAAGAAAAATAATTGTATAATGGAAAAAGTAATAAAGTATTTATATTAAAATTTTTCGGGATACACTTTCATTTCTTTTTTTGATTTTTTTAATACTTTTTTCTTCTTTCTTTTTTCTTATTCAATTGTAAAATTAATGTATTGAATTCTTGGGAAAATTTTGAAAAGTAATTGAATTCATTCGAAAGATATTATTAAAATTATTAGAAATAATTGAATTTTTTTGAGAAATTTTATTGAAATTGCATTGAAAATAATTGAATTCCCGTGAAGAATTTTATTATTTATGAAAATAATTGAATTCTTGAGAAAAATTTTATTACATTTTTTAACAATAATTGAAGTTTAATACTTTAAAGAATTTCTTTGAATTTTTTTTAAATAATGAAGTTTTTTTTAATAATTTTTAATTGAAAATTTTGAAGGTAATTGAATTTCATGAAGAATTCCTTTCAAGTTTTTTAAACAATAGAGTTTTTTAGTATTTGCAATTAAAAATTAGATTATTGAATTGTATTAAAATTTTTTTTGAAAATAATTGAATTCTTTCCATAATTTTATTACAATTTTTAAAAAATAATTGTATTCCAGCGAAGAATTAGAAATAATTGAATTCTTGAGACGAATTTTATTAAAAAATTTTAAATAACTGAATTATTTTAGAGTATTTTATTAGAAAATTACTAATAAAAATTGAATATTTAACAAATGATTTTTTCTCAATTTCGAATTTGAAATTATTCGAAAATTGCAGTTGATATTTGAAAATTGAAAATTTTTTGCAATTTCTACAACAATAATAAATGATTTATATCTTACAAGAAACAAAACACCAAAAATGGAAGTACAATTAATTTTATTGAATTCTCTATTCTTAAGTTTCACAAGAAACTACTTATTTATATTTACAAACTCGATAAGATATTTAAATGACAAATATCTTTAATATTCACAAAATCTCAGCATTATCTGAAATAATACAAAATTTTTCCAATAACAATGTTTTCACTTTGAACTAAATTTAAAAATATCTGAACAAAAAATATAGAACTGTACAATATTATTTTACCTGGTAAATATATATAATTATATCACTTTTGATTGGTTTTTTTTATGAGAAAAAAACTTAATTCGAAAAAAAGGTTGAAAAACTAATATTGAATAGTCAAAACACTTCCGAAAGAAATTAAATATCAAAATAATTTTTATACCCCAGACAGTCGAAAGGACTCAAAGATTTATTAATTCGAATCAATTAATTAAACAAATTAAATATAATTTGGAATTATATGTAATTAATGTGATTCATTCCTGAATTAATTAATAATATAATTAGAATTAATTAATAATATAATAATTGTAATTAATTAATATTATAATAACTGTAATAAATTAATATTACAATAATTATAATTAATTAATTAATTGTTACAATTAACATAATTAATTTACTATTATTTTATTATTAATTTACTAATATAATAAATTAACGAGAATTAATACATTCAATATAATTAATTAATTAGAAAATTAATTTAAATCTGTTTTTTTAAGTCTTTCTCTATTTAACTCTGGTCGTTGAATTTGATATTCAAACATTTCTCAATGTAAAGTTTCAAAATTGCAGACTTCAACTGAGTTCTTTAGTCGGCACTCTTAGTGGTATTTTGCCCAAAGTGAATTTATCCTGTAAATAGCAATTTTTCTGATCGTCGGTCAAACAGCCCTCAGCCGAGAAAGCGAGTTCATCGAAAATCGCAGCGAGAGAGAAGACACCGCCAACAGATTTTGTGAATGGTCCAGCAGTGGAATAATTTTGATTTTGTTGTTGACCGCCGAAAGGAGTACTCATAAAAGGATTCGACGTGGCCGTTGTGACAGTTGTATTTGTACTTGAAAACGGAGAATTAATCGCATTTCCGAAATTAATTTGCGCTCCAAATGGTGGTGGTGCAGTGACCGGAATTCCAAATTCCGAAGACATTGAAGAACTATCGGTCGCAGTGACCGTTTGTCCAAAGGGAGCGTTCTGCGAGAAGGGAGCAGTGGTCGTTGAAAATGGTCCACTCGTCGAGGCAAAAGGCGCCGTTTGTCCAAAAGGAGCAGCGCCTCCCTGTGGACCGAAAGGCGTTCCCGAAGTGACTGCCGTTTGACCGAAATTCCCTCCGCCAGCGGTTGTCGTTTGTCCAAAGGGTATTTCGGCGTTGGTCGTCTGTCCGAAAGTCGAACTCACAGCCATTGTTGTCTGTCCAAACGGCGCTCCACTCACGGCCGGTTGACCGAAAGAATTCCCTCCACCACCACCACCGAAAGGCGTCGATGCTGTTCCAGCGCCAAATAAATTCATTCCCGACGTCGTCGAATTGTTGAAAGTATTCGTCGTTGAACCACCGAATAAACTGCCAGTCGTCGCCGGTGCAAATGTCGTTTGAGCACCGAAAATCGAACCCGATTGTGAATTACCAAAAGCACTAGTCCCACCGAAAACCGGAGCACCACCAAAAGCCGATTGCGTCGTTTTTGCCCCAAAAGCAGAAGTTGTTGTCGTCGATCCAAAAGCAGACGAAGTCGACGTTGTTCCAAAAGCAGGCGCACTTCCCGCATTACCGAAAACACCCGGATTACCAAAACTCGGCGGTGCTGAACCACCGAACGTACTGCTTGCATTGTTACCAAAAACTGACGTTGTAGCCACTGTTGATGCCGGTCTCAAGAAGGAATTATTCTGCGGAGTTCCGAATGCCGAAGTTTGACCAAAAACTGGTTGTGAAATTACACCTCCTCCTCCTCCTGCTGCTGCTCCTCCGAAAACTGAAGAATTCTGCGAAGTGCCGAACGATTGAGTGGTTTGTGTTCCAAATGCAGGCGTCGTAGCTCCACCGAATAGAGAAGTTGTACTCGGAGTTGCTCCAAAAACAGAATTACTTCCAAAAGCTGGTTTCGATCCGAATACTGAGCTCGATGTCGCTGCTGATGATCCACCGAATATTGCATTTCCACTCGTTGAACTGAAACTACCACCGAATGGATTACTCGATGTGCCAAATGATTTTGCACCAAAGACGTTGGCATTCGTATTTGTAGACGTCGTGTTCCCCAATTGTGGAGTTGCGAATGAGAAATTCGATTTTGAAGACGCTGACGATGCACCAAATGCACTGTCCTGACCGCTCTTTTGGAGATTTTCCTGAAATAATTCATAATTTAGGTGAAAAACGATTAAAATGTATTAAACTAGAAAAATAAATAAATTCACGGTTGCCACAAAAATTTGATTTTGATTATTCAGAAATTTTTCAATTAAAGATTTATTAGAAAATAAAAACTACAAATAATTTCAAAAGAATTCGATAAACCTTTTTCAAAAAAATTAATTCTACAGAATTATTAGTTAAAAGTATGAAAAATTTAATTTTTTAAAGATTTTAATTTGAAACTTTTTTAAAATTCAATTATTTCGAAAAATTCACTCTATAATGCTTTTAATATTTAATTATCTAAATTTTTAACTAAAATTCATTTTGAAATCAATTTTTATTAGAAAATTCTACAATAATTCAATTATTTAAATACAAAAATAAAGAGTTTATTGAATAATTGAATGTTTCTCGAAAGTGAATTCTCATAAAGAATTTTATCAACAAATTTTTAAATAATTGGAATTTTAAGGAGAATTTTATTATTTTTAATGATAATTGAAATTTTAACAAGAATTTTATTATTTTTAAAAATAATTGAAATTTTAATGAGAATTTTATTATTTTTAAAGATAATTGAAATTTTAACGAAAATTTTTTTTTAATTTTTTAGCATAATCGTATTTTTGCGAAAAATTTTATTATTTTTGATGAAAATAATTGAATTCCTGCAATAATTCGTAACTTCTCCAAAATTAAATTTTTTAAAGTGTTTTTAACTACAATTTTTTTAAAAATCCATTATTTTTAATAATTATTCAAGAATTAAGTTATTTAAAAAGAACTTATTGTAAGAAATATAAAAAAATTGAAAGTTTTGTATCAAAATTAGGGAATTTCAAAGTTTATGAGTCAAACTATAAAAATAAATAAACTACAAAAAATTCAAAAGTGGGAATTTCGAATTTCTCTAATTTAAGAACATAAATTTTAAAATATTTAACTTACCAATACTGTTACCAGTTGTGGTGTTGGATTTTTAAGTGCATCGCGTTTAACTTTCATCTCTTGACAAAGTTGTTGAAATTGCATTTTCTATAAAATTGCAAAATCAAAAATGTATTTATCGACAAAAGAGAAATTGTGATTAAAAAAATGTTTCGACTTGTGATTAAAATTAATTTTTCTGTAGATATTAAAATACAAAATGTATTTATTCGGTAAAATTTTGAAATGAATTTCGCAAAAAGAAAATTGCTTACAACTTGCTCGACGGTGCCCTTTTTCTCAGCTTGATACATTTCCCAACGAACTTCCTCCGGAGAAAGATCTGACATTCCCGGAATACATGGTTGTTCCTTGAATGGTCCGAAACATGATAGCAACCATTGTCCACCTCTTTCTGCAGCCAAAATATCTTCGGCAACGATGAGACTGTTTTCCGAGAAATTAACGTAAGATAAAAACATTTTTTTTATTTGCGACTTTTGTAAATCTACTATAAAAGTTTATAATCCTTTCGCAATAGAAAATAATTTTACTCACGTAATATTCTTTCCATCATAAGTTTTCGATCTATTTGCATTTGAACCTATTGGGAGAATACCAAAAATTGAATTATTTCCAATTATTCTTTAATTGAAAAATTGAATTTGTAATTACATTGGAAAATTGAATTTCTAATTAACTGGAAAATTTAACTCGAATTCACTGAAAAATTGAATTTTAATTAACTGGAAAATATAACTAACTGGAAAACAGAATTATTATTAAGTAAATTATTGAATAATCATTAAAAAATGAAAAATTTACGTTCTTTGTTAATTTTTACGTTATAAAAATGTTATTTCAAAAGATCATTTTTACCATAATTGTTTATATGCTCGTATCTGCAATACTGTCCGAAACGACAGCTTCCTTGTTGAAAATATTTACACACGACCATTGTGATTATTTATGGAAAAAAACCCCCGGTGTTTTTTTAATTAGGGAAACATTTGTTTATGTTTATGATTCTTTGCTCTTTCGTCGTGCGAGCTGAAATCCTGTAGAACATAACCTATAAATAACGCGCCAACGCCGCCAACTTGTTACACATACACCCGTGCACTGGCAATATTTCCGTTATATCTAATACACAATTGGTTAATTTATTAATAAATGTTCGTGATGTGCAATAGAAGGTTTGGTACAACGGAAAGTTTCGAAGACACTAGTGGCTGTAAAAAAGGTACCAAAAAAAAATAATAAACAAATATTTCAACGTGTTTACTAATTACGATCGGATTCGAAGCTTTTTAACAAAAAGAAGGAAAACATAATTACTTACCGTATATTAAACTACATTTTATAATAGTTGTGAATAATTATTTGCAATTACAAAGTTTCGAAGAATATTATAGTTGTGAGTATGGAAAGAATGGTTTTTTTTTACTATTGTCTCCAGTTATAAATAAAAATCCAAATTTACTTCAATTTTTTTTGGATGTCAATAAACAAACTAAATTTAAATTGTTTAAATACAAATGCACGTAAACTGAAGGTATTATAATTATAACTTTTAATAATTTATGCTGTCAATTATGATAATTATCTTTATTTTTGCATATTGATTATATAAAAATATATTTTTGTATAAAATTATTCCATTTGGAGATGATCCTTTCTGCCTTCATTTTGAGCTTGTTCTTCCATCATTTTTTCGAAAGTAGCTTCACCAATTCTGTTATAAAAAGATAATTATTATAATATTATTGTTTCTTATTTTAATTTAGATTAATTGTCTTGTGATAAATTAAATTGGAAATTTGTCATTTTTAGGAAATAGAAAATAATTACATTTGAGTTTTGTTACTAAAAGTTCCATTCTCAACATTATCGTCTCTCAATTTTTGACTCTCTCTAAGTGTCTCTTGAAGAAGTGCTTCAAACAAGGACTCAGCTTTCTTTCTCTCCGATGCAGGAACTGCCGTTTTCTTCAAAATATTCCACATGTCTTGTGGAACAAGAACATTATTTCTTTCCCTTTCGAAAGAAGATGATCTTTCCTCAGCAACTGCTGATAATTAAAAAAAATAATCGAATAATAATAATAATAGTATAATCAAATTTTTTGATAAAATTCTTTGCAACAATTCGATAATTTTCAATTGTACATTAATTTTAAAATTAAAAATTATTTAAAATGTTAAGAAGATTATTAATGACTATTAATATAGATTATTTGCACATTTATTTATTGTGAAATTATTTATTTTTATTGTTATCAAATTATTGATTTATTATTTATTGTTATTAAATTATTCATTTATTGTTATTAAATTTCTCATTTATTATTTATTGTTTTTAAATTAATAATTAAATTGTATTTATTACTACAAAATTTGCGCAAAGAAACGGAAAAAATAATTCATCTAAAATAATGAAGAGAGAAAAATTACCTCGCGAAGAATCGTGTCTTCTTCTTCTGTAATCGAAAGTAAAACTTTCATTAGATTCCGTTTGTATTGCAGGTTTTTCTTCCGATGAATTTTCCATATTTTGACAAATTTCCGTTCTTCTTTCGACAATAACACCGTCTGTTTTTAGCAATTCTTCATCGGCTCTTCCAATTTCGTCCAGAATTCGATGATGATCGACGTATTCATCACGAGATGAAAATATTCCGAATATTTCTTGTATTATGTGATTTAATCTTCTGCTTGAAAAGTTGCGGAGCCTTCGAAAACAAAAAGAACTCTTTAAAACATGTTATATATTAACAAAAACAAAATTTAAATTTACTATATTTAATTTTTTTTTAATTTTTGCAAATCTCAAAAAATTAAACAATCTTTACAATATTCGAGTATTTTTTCCAATATTTTATATATAAAATTACTATTTTTTTCATTTTTTTTTTAAATTTGAAAGTATTTGAAAATATTTAAATTAAACAAAAATTAGGAAAACTAATTGATATAATTGTATTAATTTCTAATGCAAAAAATGTGAAAAAACTCACGAGTTCCGCGAACTGGAAAGTCCAAAAATAGTGAATAAAGCAGCCGCAATTGCAATTAAGTAGAAAAACATGTTTAATATTAAAAGCGATGTGTCGGAGCTTCACGTAAAAATTAAAATGATGCCAAATTAGACAGATTGAAACAAAATCAAATCGTTCTTATTTAATAGTTATTCACTTGTTTTTCAATAACAATTTCCATTTTCAAATTAAATAAAGAAACAATTTTATTTCATGAATTTTTTTTCCAATGATCTTCTCAAATATATATACCTATTATTAATTTACAAAGTCCTTACATACAAAATCCTTAAAGGAGAATATATTATTTCCTAAAGAAAGGAATTATTCGACATTGAAACTGAATTCTCAATTTTCAATGAAAAATTCCATCTCTCGAGGATATTTTATTATTTATAGTACTTATACGAAAAAAAGTCAAATTCACCTAAAAATTTAAATACACTTTCCATGACAATAAATGCTTAATTTATTTCTTTTCGAAAATTGCATTTTTAACAAGATATTATTTTTGTCATTTTATTAAATTCATTAAATCTAAACTTGCTAACCAATTTTTAAAGTTAAATATAATTGTTACAATTTGAATTAATTATCAATAGTTATAAATAATTATTAATATAATTATAAAGATTAATAATTATTCTTTTAAGAACAAAAATTAAATATTATTTCTTTATTTTATCGTAAATTAAAAAAAACTAAACATTTACTAAAAATTTCGGTGAATTTCTTTTAGGTAATTTCCAAACACAAAACTTTCGATGGAACTTTTCACTGATGATGTGCAAATTCATTTTTTTTAATTTGTATTATCCGACTCTTAAAGGACTAGTGTACAATAATTGTACCGTTCGTTAATTAAAGTCTTAAATCGTCGAAGTGCTTGAATCTACAGGATATTTTTTTTTAGTGCAAAGTGTGTGTTCTGTGCTCGTGTATGTACAAAAAATACATTTTTCTTTTCGATAAAAACACCAAATAATTTTAAGAGTGATATAGAACGTAAATATTCGTGACACTAAATAAAAAAAGTTGTAGTTAAAAAAAAAATTCGATACAATTTAATTTTTCCATTGATTTAATTTCAAACATAAATGTGCGTTTTTTTCATTTATAAATCATGAAAATTATTCTAAAAAAAAAAATTTTATAATCGTCAGAAAAAAAAGTATTCTGAGAAAAACATGCACATTGTAAAATGCACTTATAATTAAATTCGGTAAATGCTAACTAACTTTTTAAATTATTAGATAGAAAAAGCATTTTTTTCTTTCTACATTTTTTTTTCTTTTTAAATTTTTTTGTTTCCTTTTTAAATGTTCAGTTAGCAACTTTAACTTATTATATTTAAATTAATTAATATTAGCCTTTGTATTTTTGCATTATGTCCCAGATTTTTCATTTATAATTAATTACATTTCAAAAATTAGACACAAAATTTTTTTTGTTTTCTTGGAAAAAATTGCTCAAAAAAATGTGTAATTATTCTAAAATTATTCACTTGGTTTACGCATTGAAATGTAATTCATTCATCAAAAATTCTAATAAAATTTGAATAATTAAAAATTTTTTAATGGAGAAAATAGATGTTTTACTTTCTAAGTAAATAAAGTATCTGGTAAATTTTTTTTTTTTTGCTTGTTGAATGAATGTTCTTTTTCTTTTAAACAGTTCTGCATTTTTTTTTACATCGTTTGATGGATTTTTTTTGTTGCTTTGCACACATTTGCTGATTCGTCAGACACAATATATTCAAGTAAAATACGAGAATGTATCAAATATATAATATAAGATTTTTTTTTTATATATTATTTATCTTTTGACGTTTTTTAAATTCGCAATTTATTGTGTGTGTGTTGGTGTGTCAATTTAAGGTTAGTCGTCTAAATCGTTCACGTGTAGAACTTCTCTGTGAGTAAGTCCAGCTTGAAATAGTGTTAAAATCTCTACTGTCGGATAGAGAATTCTTCTAGGATAGCTCGTCGTTATTTCAAAACTTGTCGGTGAATCGGGCTGACTAAATATCCAGTGATAGACGTCCTGTTAAATTTATCAATTGATTTCGATTAATTAATATTTATAAATTGGTAAATTAATAAATTGATGAATTAATAAATTGGTAATTTAATAAATTGGCAAATTAATAAATTGGTAATTTTAATATATTGGCAAAATAATAAATTAGTATTTCAATAAATTGTCAAGTTAATAAATTGGTAAATTAATAATTTTAATACTGATTAAAAAGAGAAATTGGAATATAAATGAAGATCGATTCAAATTTCCATGTATTGAAAGAAAAGACAATTAAACTAAAAATGAAAAATTTAGATAAAAAATTCAAGTACTTCAATTGTGTCTGTGAGGAGAAATCGTCTTTTCATGGTCCTTTCGCCGAGTTTGATTTGAAGATGACAAGCATTTGGATTTGATGGTTCGGGTTCGAATGGAATTTTATCGGACGTCATTTCCTTTTGTTTACGAATACGTTGAATTTCCATTTCTTGTGCGTCTAATTTTTCTTGTTCTCTGGCCTCCGCCTCTTCTCGAGCACGGCGTTCCTCCTCTCGTTTTCGATCCTTCTCCTGATCAGCTCGCAATGATTCCTCATAGGCCTGATCCTGTTGCTGACGAAGTGATTGTGCAGCCGATCTTTCCGCTCTAAAATAATTTTCAAAAATAAAAAAATCATTTTTCCAAATGAAAAAAAATTAAGATACAGACTCATTAAATTTTTAACACAACGGCCAACTCACCGTTCTTGACGAGCTTGAATTAAATTGATCTCGTTGTTATCAATGAGAGTTTGTAGGCGTTCGTTCAGTTCCTCCGGGGATGGTGTGCCCTCCATTCTAATTAAAAAAAATTTAATTTACAAGAAGAAAATAATTAGATTGTTAAATAATAGATAATCAAATATTAATTTAATTAAATTAAAAATAACTGTGAATTTGAAAAATTCTTACCGTCCAACGATAGACATTCGATTATCCTTGAGTACGATCAGAGCAAGGAAAGGATAAGTACCAGATTTAAGAGCTTCGGCAACTTTATAGCCTTCGCCTGATTGTACATTACACGTCCAAAAAAGAGTATGCATATTTATACAACGAATTATATCCGCATCGCCCAAGGTACCTCTGTATTATTAACAAAAGGACTTTTTAATAATAAGCAAAATTTTTCTAAAGTTAAAATAAAAATTAAATAATGATAATCGAGATATTCCGTCCTTGCGTGAGTTTAGAACTTTTTGATTTCAAATAATTGTTTTACAGTTCGAATTCTCATGTCAAAAGTTTGGCAATTAATTTATAGAGTAATTAGTGTTTTAGAGAAATTAATTCCCATAGAATTTTTACAGTAATAGAATTTTCACATAATAATTCAATAATAAAAGGAAAATAATTAAAGTACGGAAATTTTATCCAAAGTATTAAAAAAATATCAAATTATTCAAAATCTTAAATAGTCTACAAAATTTTCTTTCTCAAATAAAAAAAAATTCAAAAATAAAATGTTTGTAACTAACAACGAACGGCAAATTTTTACGAGTGTTTGCGCACTATTAGTTATAATAGTTTGTAAATAATAAAAATAGTTTCAATATTATAAAAATACAATAGACGAATACAAGTAAAAAAAAAATGGTTGATAAATACCTGCACCATTGTTCAACTTCTTGTGTATCATCTTTATGTAAATAAACAAGTAAAAATCTCAGTTCTTGTTTAGCATCGGAAAGTGCTTGACTGTAAGAGCCTTGATAAAAAACAGGATGATTTCTACCATAGTGTTCATCGTAAAATCTGATGAATTTCATAACATCTTCTACTGGATCTGACGACACTAAAAATTACAAATTATTTGATTATTATCAAAATTACAATTATTTTAATTGAATTTTGATTAAAAAAATTAAATTATTGAAGTTGAAAGTGTATAAAATATTCGAGTAATGGAAAAATTCATACCAGGTCTGACATTTGTCCTGAATATGGCGAATACTAATTGTAGAATACTGGTTACTAAATTATAACACATGGAAAAAACGTATGAAAGAAATCCGCCTCCTCCGGACGTACTTCCTGAGGAGCTGAAATATATTCTTGAAGTTGTGTCATCAACGACAGCGGGAGGTCGTGAACGTGAATCTTGTGCGTACATCGAAGGTCTCCCTTCGTACAAGTTAAGTTGTTCCTGTTTTTATTTTAAATTCATCATAAACATTGTCTCAATATTTCGAACAAAAAATTAAACACTATTTTAATTTTAATTATTTATCAATCGTAATTTCAAGAATATTATTACCACAAAATTATTTTCACTTAGAAAAAGACAAAAGAATCAAAAAAGATTTTTTTTATTTATCAAACCTGAACTGCCACTTCCAAGTTCCAGTTATGACGTTGCAAAACATCTCGACACACGGAAAGATCTTCAATACCCGTTAAATCCTATTTTAAAAATATATCAAATATTCAAATTTAATTCCCACAAATGAACAATTATACGCGTCATTTTTAATTTAGAGTGTAAAATTTAATAATTACCTGAAATTGAAGGACCTTTTCAGTCTGATCACTACTGAGTTCACCTAATAAATTATCTGCCATCACAATAAATTGCCAGCTAATCGGAAACGTAAAATGTTGGGGATTGCTGTTACACTTGAAAAAATATTATCAAACTCATCAGCTGACACACACAATGGAACTATCACTGATAGAAAAATTCTGATCAGTCATTTGGAGCACAATATTCGGAAGTTAACCTCGTTCATGACACAAATTCGATGTTATAAACAAGTCGTTGTCATTATTCTTGTTATCGTGGCACATTAATTTTTAATAAGAAACATTAATTGCTTCTCAATATTATTGGTTTTTCGCTCGATTTCAACATAACAAGTATTTTAATATGGATAATATTGAAATCCCGTAACCTTCCTGCCATCAATTGACCATAGATTTACAACATTGTACAACAACAAAAAAAGAAAATATATAACAAAAAAGATTGTTGGAGTTTGCGTTTTGTCTATATTAAAAAAAACACCTGGCGGCGGCGATTCGTATTTTCCTCGGATTAATTTCCTTTGTTATCATCACTTCCGCATTTAAGACCGAAAATTACGAGAAATGATTTTTTAAACATTAGAATATGAAAAAATAAGTGTAAAATATGAATAATTATTAGTAGTTTAATTAATTTTGTAAATTTAAAGGTACTTGTACTCTATTTTCAAGTAAAAATCAGGATGAATTTTGATTGGCTGTGACAATTATTCCATTTTAAGGTGCTAAAGCTCGTTTCACTATGAAGGAAAAATTGTTGCTAAAAGATTGTTTTTTAAATGAAATATTTTATATTCTTCTGATTTATTCTTGCAGAAAGAAAGAAAGGATAATTTTTAATTACTAAAAGAGCTAAAAGTAAATGTTTTCTAAATTATTTTGTTAAAAAACAAATATTGTAAAGCTATGAAAGCACCTTTAAATTTTTATTTTGGTAACAGTTGACGATCACTTGTTTATAAGGTTGTGAGCATTGATTTCTCTTTCAGCTCTCTTCAGTCCCTTGTTTAGACGTGCTTTGCGGTTTATGAAAGCGTTGTGTTTGTATTCTGTAAATCAAATATTACTAAAATGACTCAGGAAGGACAGTAAGTATAATTAAATTTGTCAATAATTTTTCCCGATAATTGTACGCATTATATGAGAACAAAATTTCCCATGATAATTAATCTAAAATTCACTTTAATTATCAGAATTATTTGCACGATGAGCCGCTAAGGTTCAACTAGCGCCATGTTGCTGCTTGATTTTTATTGATTCTCGAATTTTCTAAAAAAAGCGAGAAAGAATTAATAAAAATGATAAATTAATAATAAAAATTGAAATGAAATTAACTGAATTTATATTTTAGTTTGTTTTATAATAATTCAACTTTACTTTTTTTTATTGTGTTAATGCACGTTGCTCTGAATTTTCAGAATCGTGCATGGTAATAACGATTTTAATTTTGTTAAATTTCTAATTGTCAATTTTGATGTATTTCTGTTAAATTGTTTCCAATTTCTTTAATCAATTTTAGTTTATTGCCTTGCTAACAAATGCGTGACTCTTAACTTTATTCACCTTATTCACTTTATTCATTAAAAGTTGACCATTATTCAAATTGTTTTTTTTACACAACTGTAAATAAAAATGCCCATAAATTTTTTTTTGCTTTTCAGCATTTTTTAGAATGTTAAATTCAAGTTGAAAATTTACTACTTGTTTCTAATTTTATGAATTTTATATTGCGAAATTTGAATTTTACTATTAGCATAATTCAGAGGTTAAATGTCTAAACGCAGTAACGCACATTATTAAGGCTATTGGATAATTAGATTAAAATATGTAGGAATTGTCCTCATATTCTCACCTTGTGTAAATAAAAAAGAGAATAGCAATTAAAAAAAATTAATAACAATTAAATGAAAAAAATTTATTGACTGATGTTTGAAATTTGTGATTATGAATAAGAAATAGGATTAGAATAAATTATTTCTTTATTTAAAACTATAAATTAAATTTTTCATTCATGATAACTATAAAACATGAAGATATCGATATCTCCGAGTCTTCGACTCGGAGAGATCGGTATCTTCATGTTTTATAATTAAAGACGACCGAGTGATAAAATAATTATCAATTCAATTATTATATTCAAGAATTTTTAACTAAAATTCTTCTTTAAATCGATTATTTTTCATAATTTTCAAAAAAGTTCATTGACAATTTTCAAATCCATTTATTTACAATATTCAATTTTACGAAATTTCAATTATTCGTAAATTCTCCAATTAAATATGTATTAGAAAATAAAACCTTCAAATAATATTAAACAAATTCGAGAAAATTTTTTCAAAATTATATTATTTCTAAAAATCTTCTTATAAAGAATTCAATTATTTTCAAAAATATCAAATTTTTTCACAGAAATTCAATTCTTTTTAAACATTTTAATAACATTTTTCGCAATAATTCAATTATTTTCATAAATAATAAAATTCTTCTCAGGAATTCAATTATTTTTGAAAATTTTAATATAATTCTTAGCAACTATTCAATTATTTTCATAAATAATAAAATTCATGGCAGAATTTCAATTATTTTTAAATATTTTAATAAAATTGATCGTAAGAAATCAATTATTTTAAATACAATTTTAATTAATTTTTTTGTAAATAATTCAATTATTCTTTTAAATTTTAATTCAATTATTTTCAAAAATTCAATTAATTTTAAAAGTAATACACTTCTTCTTAGAAATTCATTATCCTAAAGTTTTGAACGTTCAAATAAACGAAATTTATTTATTTCGCCTTCAAATTAAATTTTTATTACTATAATTTTTGGGTCACTATCAAACAAGTTAATTATAAAGTTTCTAATTGTAAAACTTGAGTATTATAATTTTTATTGTATTTAGTAATCTATGAAAATATTTTTAATTAAAAATATTTCGTTCATTTGAACGTTCAAAACTTTTTGTTCATGGAAATTCAATTATTTGAAAAAATTCTAATAAAATCGTTCACAAGAATTCAATTATTTTCATGAATAATAATATGCTTTTTAGAAATTCAATTATTTTCAAAAAAAAATTTAATAAAATATGTATTCAATTATAATCTAAAATTTTAACTGAAATCCATTTTTAAATAAATTTTTATAAGAAAATTCTACTAGAATTCAATTATTTAAATACAAAAAAATAATTTATTGAATAAAATTGCATATTTATAAAATTGAATTCTCATAATTCAATTATCCTGTAAAAATTTTATTATTTATGAAAATAATTGAATGATTGCGAAGAGAATTCCTGTGAAATTTTTATTATTTTAGGAAATTAATTAAAGGTTTGCGTAGAATTTTAATTAAATTTTTTTTCAATAATTGAATTCTTTTGGACAATTTTATTATAATAGTAAATATTGAAAATCATTGATTGAGGGAAATTTTTGAAAATAATTGAAATTTTGACAAGAATTTTTATTAAAATTTTTGAAAATAATTGAATTTCGGAGAAGAATTTAATTATTTCTAAATATAATTGAAATTTTGACGAGAAGTTAAAAGTATTTTTGAACATAATTGAATTTCTGCAAAAGAAATTTATTACTTTTGAAAATAACTGAATTTTTGCAATAATTTGTAATTTCTCTAAAATTCTCTAAATTATATCATACAATTTACGCACTTTTCGTCTTTTTTTTAATCAAATTAAGGACTTTACGGACCTTTTTTTTTTTTTTAAAAAAAACGGACTTTTACGGACTTGAAGCAAATTGATGGACTTTTACGGGATTTACGGACCTAGTTCGAGCTTTGTAAATGATATAAATTAACAAACGGAAATTTTGTTTATTTTTAGAGTAACGCCACCACCTGTCTTGTGGGCGCAAAGGAATAGTGTCCTTTATGTGACGATTTGTCTCGAAGATTGTGCAAATCCAACAGTCAAAGTGGAACCAGAAAAACTCTTTTTTAAAGGTGTTGGTGGAACAGACAAAAAAGTGCATGAAGTTACTATTAATTTTTATAAAGAAATCGACCCAACAAAAACAATCGAAAAACCACAAGGCAGAATCTTTGAATTTGTACTTGCAAAAAAAGAAGAGGGACCCTACTGGCCACGTCTCACCAAAGAAAACAATAAATTCCATTGGTTAAAAAGTGATTTCAATAAGTGGAAGGATGAGGACGATTCCGAAGACGAGGAAACCGGAGGTGGTGCAGGAAGACAAGATTTGGAAGAGGTAGGGAAAAAAAATTGCTTTTTAACTAATTAAATTTGCCAAAATAAATTAATTTTTAACAATTAAATTAAATTTAACAGATTAAAATTTTAGAAATAAATTCGCTAATTTCATTCTCTGCAATTTTATTTTCCAGATGATGCGTCAAATGGGTGGTTTAAGTGGAGCAGGCGATAGTAAACCAAATTTTGATTCTTTAGATCTCGGTGATGTTGACGATGAGGGCGATAGTGACGATGAATCATTGCCTGAACTGATAAACAATTGATGTGCTAGCACCAAAATTTAAGAATTACAGTTCAGAAGAAAACAACAAATTGCAAATCACGTCAGTCGATTAACGAATCGAAACGTTTTGAAAAATTTATGTTTTGCAATGCATTGTGTTTATTATGAGAAAAAAAAAGAAAAAATACCAGTTTTTATACAATTTAAAATACACTTTATAGCGACACGGTTAAAAAAAAGAAAGAGATCATAAAAGTTCCCAGTTTTTAATATTAAAATGGATGCATTTCTATCATCTTGTATCCCCCAATCTAGATCGATAGTTTTAAAACTAATTATTAATGGAAAATGCTTTTTTTAAATAATATAAAATATGTAAAATATTAAAAATAAAAATTAAAAAAAAACATAAGTTTCTGTTTATTATAAAGTAATATTTTTATTACAGATTTCTGCATCTGATACTTTGTATCAGTTTTTTTTTTGGAAAACTTTATTTTTTATAATAAAAATCAATACAGATATTTGATAATAATTTCAGTCGTTTATATATATAAAAAGGAAATATATTTGAAGTGAAAATAAATTTGCTCTTTTTAAAATTCACAATGTTCCTGAAGTTTCGAAAGTTCAAATGAATGGGAATTGTTTTTCTGTTTCTGTTAATTTGCATTTTTATATAAGAAAAAAATATTTTGTAAATTTAAGTAAAATTTTTAAGTCAACCAGATGTTTAATTTACTTTAATTTTTATTAAAAAATAGGGATCACTATTTCATTCAATAGGGATCACATTTATATTCAAAGCAAATTTTTATAAAATTAAAATTCTTTTAATGAAATTTTTCTATTATTTAATTAAATTAATTCGTTAATTTAATTTTTAAATTAAATTAAATATTTACAAAAATTAACTTCGTAAATAGTGAAATTTGTTTTTAAAAATGGTTAATATTATATTATGTTTTTTCTCAAAAATGATATATTTTAAAATCTATTAATCAATTACCAATTAAATCAATAATATTAATTAATTAAGTCTGTTTAAAGTTTAATTTTAATTACATTATGAAAATTTAAAAGAGAAAATCTTTTAAATATTAAGAAACAATTATTTTATGGTAATTAATTACAATTAATTATTGAATTTAAATAATAAATTAAATCTGTCAAAATTAATTAAAGATTTACTCTGAAAATAACAATTTTTAATAACTAATTATTGTATTATTTACATTCAAAGAAAATTTTCATAATTTTTACAAAATTTAAATTAAATTTAGATTTAAATTTCAAATTAAATAAATTTTTTATTTAATTTCAAAAAAATTAACTTTGAAAATAATTAAATTTGCTATGAAAAAATTGTTTTTTTTTACTATTTTTTCTAAAAATTGATAAATTTTGAAATCCATAAGTAATTTTGTAGAAAATATTTTCTAGTGTTCAACAAAAAAATTGTCGAATGGGAAATATGATTTTTTACTATATTTTCAAAAGTATTTTATCTTATAAAAATAGATTTCAGGTTAAAAATGCTAAAAAAATATTGTAATTCAATGTTTTTATTTGAATCTTCATTTTATTTTTCTAACTAATTTCAAATCATAATTTTTTTAAATATTAAAAAATAATCTTAATATTATAAAAATAAAAAAATATTAAAAAATGATGATCTGAAATTAGTTAGAAAAATAAACAAATGAATTTTCTGTTAAAAAACTAAATATTAGTATTTTATACCATTTTTAGTCTAAAATAATTTAAATTTTTTTTTATTTTTGACATTAAAAAATTATACTTTAAAACTATTTTGGAAAAATAAGTAAATTTTTAAATAAAAAAATTAAATATTAGTATTTTTTCTTATACCTATTAATTTAGTCGAAAAACAATTTTTATCCAAGAAAAAATGCTTAAAAAATAATGATTAAATTTAAAAAATATTTTTTCTCTTTATTATTAAAAAATTATGATCTGAAATAATTTAGAGAAAATAAATAAATGGTTTTTCGATTAAAAAAATTAAATAATACTATTTTTCATTATTTTCAGTCTAAAAGTAATTTTTAATCAAGAAAAAATTCTTCAAAAAGAGTAAAAATCAAATTTTTCCCTCGACAATTTTTCTACATGAAAACATTTTCTACAAAACTGTTCATGGATTTCAAAATCCTCTCAATTTTTAGAAACAATAAAAATATTCAAAGCAGATTAAAATATTTTCCGCTATCCACGATTTAAGGCATTTTATTGAATTTTATTAATTAAATTTTATTATTAAAAAGGGAAAGAAGAAATAAAAATTAAACTAACCATGATCCCTGGTACTTTTCCAAAAATATTTATACAGAAAAAAAATTTCCTTCATTTGAACCTTTCAAATACAGGGAAAAAAACAATTTACATTTTGTCTAAACAAAAATTATGCTTTCACATACGTCTAATAAAAATAAAAACTTTCGGATATTTAAAAACGGATAGTTATAATATTAAATCTTATCTCTATAATATATGTAATATGTATTTACAAAAAAAAAGATTATATAATCGTTTTTTTTTTAGATATATAATAATACTCTCTAACGCTTTTTGTTTAGTTCTATGTAATATATATAAATATCACTAAAAACTGAATGATGAAAAAATAAATATATAAAAATTGCACACCTCTTTTTTTCCTTTCTATAAAAAGATATTATAGCTGCGGGAGAAAAGTTTTTTTACAATAATTTACAATATCAATTTACCGCCATTGGATGCTCGTATTTGCGCCACTTGCTCTGGTGTTAATATCAATTTACTTCCGTTCGGTAATGCGAGAGCGTAATGACTTCCAGTTTCATTGACAACAACAACTAATTGTGTATTTGGATTAGTGACCGGTGGTGGATTTGCTTTCACAGGCGTTATTGAAATACCACCTTGACTCATACGTTGCATTATTTGCGGTGGTAATGTACTTTTTGATTTTGCAACCGTAACTTCGGAGGTGACAATTGGCTTTCGTCTTGGACTTGTTTGAACTGTTTTTCTTGGTGAAACACTTGGTGTTGTAGAATCACGTTTCTTCTCGGTGTAAATCATTTCGATTTCATCGTCACTGTCACTAAGGACGATCAGAGAGGTTGTATTATTTTTTTTTGCAGCGGCGGCGGCAGCAGCTGGGGGATTTGGTTTCGGTAGTCGGAGACGTTGAGGAGGTGCAGCGACTCTTGCAGTCATTCGTGGTCCAGGATGTCTTGCTCTTGGGACGGGATTTCTCATTCCATTGCCGGCCAGTGGCATACTGCGGATTACGGCACCGTTCGGGTGATTGTAGTTCTGTCGGGGAATGTTCATCCGATTTTGCAGACCCATGCGAACTGATTGATTCATCAGTTGAGCGCGATTCAGGTAGGGTCTTTGATTGTTTAGATTCGGTAAGCGAGCTCGTGGGTGATTCATCATATTCGGTTGATTGTTCATGTAATTATATTGAACGTAGTTCGGATGAGTGATTACTTGATGACCGCTGATGACTTGCGGTCGTTGTTGTTGCTGCTGAAGGAGCATTTGTTGCTGAAGATGCTGCTGCTGCTGTTGCTGATGTTGCATTTGTTGTTGTTGCAAACCCATCGGATGTCTGGGTGGCATAGGTTGACCGTAAGGATGTTGATTGTGAAGAACGTAATTCGGAGGATTTTGAACGTAATAAGGATGCGATGAATGAACATTGGATGTTTGGGGCAGATGATTTGGAACGTATGGGTTTTGCTGCATGTACTGTTGTTGAACAACTCCGGGCATTGGAGGATTTTGTTGCGTCGGGTAATGATATCCAGGTGATGGCGGTTCGGTTTTTACGATCACATAGCCTGGGGTTTGTTGCGTATTCATGTTGTTGTAATTCGTCGGATTGTCGATTATTGGTCCTTCGTCTTTAATGTCTAATTCGGAATGAACACTGTCGGCACACTCAATTTTCATTCTCGAGGGAGGCACAACTTTTATTAGACTTTCCTTCATCGGGATTTTTGGATCTTTCGCAGAATTCGACGAACTTTCGGGTAATTCCGTTGATTCTTTTGCTTTTTCCACGTTCTCGTTTGATTCGTTCATTAGCGGGATATTTGGCTTTTCGTCCGTCATTTCCGATGAAGTGGCATTTGTCGGCGACATCGAAGTCGATTGTATGTTTTGCAGTTTATTTTGAAATGACTTTAGTCTTCGACTTGCAGCTGAAAAATTACAATTTGTTTTAATTTCGGTAATTTAAAAAATGATACAAAGTTTAAAAAATAATAGTTAAAAAAAAGTAAAAAATAAAGAAAAAGGAAAAACAAAAAATAAAAAAATGGGATAAAAATTAAAAAGATATTTACACTGACGTTTCCTTCGCTTCTTCCGCGAACTTGGTAAAATCCACTCTTGATCAGAATCCTCCGGATCGGTTCGCTTATCGGGTTTGTCAACTTGCGAGTAAGGAAGAAGCGTCGAAGAATTAATTGGAGCATTGGGTGAAGTGTAAGTTGCCTCGAATTCTGTCCATCTTTCCAATTCCTCGGTTTCGCTGTTGTCCGAAAGAAATTGTTCCGTGTACGACGGAATGCCACGAGCTCGTAATACTCTCGTTGGTCGTCTTTTTGTTTCTAAATGTAAAAAAAAATAATTTCGTTATTTTTTACTGTATAAAAAAATGATAGAGAAAATAAAAAACTTTTTTTTATTGTATACAATAAATAGTATAGTAAACAAACCTTCTTCTTCATTATCATCTTCGTCGCTTTCCTCATTTTCTTTTCCCTTATTTTCCTCATCGTCATTGAATTTACACTTCTGATTATCAGCACGTTTGCCGAATTCGCAATCGGAATGTTCTGTCAGCGAACCACATGGCGATAACATGCAATTTTGTGATCCAATCACCCACCAATTTGATGATTGACCATCTTCACTGGACGATTCCTTATCTTCTGCATTTCTACAAAATAGAAAATAATTTTTCAAGTTCAATTAATATTTAATTTTTAGTTAAATTTTGCTTTTCTTAAGAAGGTAAAAAACAGGAATTTTCCTTTTACATTTAATATTTAACTAAATGATTATAAATTCAAAATTTAAAAGGATTCGCTTATTAACCAATTAATTATTACTATTTATTATTTTCGAAATTATTAATGAAATTCTTCGAAGCAATTCAATTATTTTTGAAAATTTTAATAAAATTCCTCGCAAGAATTCAATTATTTTCACAAATACCTAATAGAATTCTTCGCAGAAATTTAATTATTTTTAATACAATTAAAAAGAAAATCCTCAAAGAATTCCATTATTTTAAATAATTTTATAAAATTCGTCGAAAAAATTCAATTATTTTCAAAAATTTTGATACAATTCTTTATAAGAATTCAATTATTTTCAATACAATTTTACCAAATTTTTTTTTTTGATGGAATTCAATTATTTTTAAATGCTTTAATAAAATTCCTCAAAGAATTTTAATTATCTTCGAAAAAATTAATTTATTTTTAAAAATGTTAATAAACTTCGTCGCAAGAATTAAATTATTTTCATAATTTATCAAATTATTTAGGAGGAATTTAATTATTCTAAAAAATTTGAATAAAATCTGTTTTATTAGATTTTTATTATTATCAATAGAATTTCAATTAAATTTCTTGAAAAAATTTTAATTGTTTTCAGTGTATTTTTAATTAATAATCTCTTGAATGAATTTAATTATTTTCAAAAAATCTTCGAAATTCTTCGAAACAATTCAATTATTTTCAAAATTTTTAAATAAAATTCGTCACAAAAATTGAATTATTTTTATAAGTTATAAAATTTCTTAATAGAATTGAATTATTTTCCAAAATTTTGGTAAAATTCTTTAGAATAATTCAATTATGTATTTTCAATACAATTTTAATTAAATTCCTTGAAAGAATTAAATTATTCTCTTATTCTCTGAATAAGTAAATAATAAATCTGAATTGGTAAAGATCTGAACTTATTAAAACAAAAGTGATTTTAAATTTCTGAAAATTAATTTTTTAATTTTACAGTAGAAAAAAAAGTAAAATCCAGTGTTTTTTAATAAAATAAATTCCTTTTATTGCAGTAATAAAAATTAGTTTTTCTACTGTAATTTATAAGTAACTGATTTTATATTTTAGAATGTTAAATTAAATTTAGAAACTAAATTATAATTTTTAATTCAAAGCAATTTTGTTCAATTCATTTTTGCTATTTTTTAATCTTCCTTAGCATTAAATAAATTAGAATTTCATTAATTTTAAAATTCAAAATATTTAATAAGAAAAGTTGTGCAAAAAATTACCGGAATACAATAATTATTAATATAGAAGTACAAACCCATCTTTATGATTAGTCCATTCCTTCTGCAATTTTGATTTCGCTTTCATTGTACAATCTTTTAAAGCCGTTTCCAAACATTCTACGGACTTGAGTAGCTCCGTTAATTTATTTAATAAATTTACTTCACAAACTGGTGTGAAATCACTCTGCAAATAAAATACGAAATTCAAATTAAAAACAATTTTCATAATCAAAAACAATTGTCTATTAATATCGTAAAATTCAAATTAAACAAAAATATTGCATAAAAAAGTACAAAATATTATTGTATTAAGTAAATATTAAATTGAATTAGTTATTTTGGATTAGTTATTAATAGTTATTTAATTATTTAATAATATTTATAAATATTATTTATTCCACAATATTCAAACTTACAATATTTTTATTAATCTCCGTGAGATTATCTTTGCAGGAGAAGCCTCTGATCAAATTGCGCAATGTTTCGACACTGTCGGCGATGAGCTTAAATTTAGATTCACTCAAATCGGTGATTAATTCATTGAAATCTTTCGCGGCAATATTCCATGATTCAGTTTCAGTGAATTTTATATTTTGGAAATTATGTTGCTTGCTGGTGTTTATCATAACGTGTGAGGATTCATCAAAAGACGCCTCATTCAGCAAAATGTCTCTTAATTCAATTAAAGAAACTTCATTATCACTTTCTGCATTACTATCATAATCATTGTCCTTTGAGGAGTGTTCTTTGAGTTCTTGATTTTTATTTTCATTTTTCTCTTTCAATTCTAATTTACTATTATGCTCAATTTCCTCTTCATCATCATCATCATCATCATCGTGACTGTCCTTTTTCTTCGACAGTGCATTTAACCATTTATCTAAACCAACCTCGTCATTCTTTAAATCTTCATTTAATTTTTCCTCCCCTTTTTCTTCCGTATCAGAAATTTTATTATTCGTCTCATCAACATCAGATGTTGTTTCTGCAAAATTACTCTCTAAATAATTAGTTACATCATCACCGTCATTTATTTCATTGTCGGTTGTTGACTGCTGTGGTTGTTGTTCTTCTTCTTCTTCTTCTTCATCTTGTTGTTGATTTTCTGTTAAACTTTGATCCAATAAACTTTCTTCTGAATTTGTCGTATTTTCCTCAATTGTCGTTATCAATTGATCTAGAATGTTATAAATTATGGTCATATTATCTAATTCCTCCTCACTGTTACTTTGAAATCCTTTAAAGGCATTTGGAATATTTTCAAAGGAAACAATGTTTAATTGTTTCTTTTTCTCCGGACTGCTTTGATCAGATAGACTTTCATTTTTTACTAAACTCTTGAAAATATCCGAATTGTACGATAAATTATTTAATCTTTCAATTCTTCGTTTTTTCTCACGATCTTTTTTTCTTTTCCCTTTATAAGGCAAAGATCCATTTCTCCAACGGGATTTTCTTCTTTTACTGCGACCAGTTTTTAAATTGGAAAATTTCACCGTGTCCTCGTCTTTAACGTCCCAGTTTGGCTCTTCTTTAATAATTGGTGCCTATGGAGAGAGAGAGAGAGAGACAAATTTTGTTTCTTATAATTTTATATTTATTAGACAAAAAAAAAGTAATTTTTTTTAGACAAAAATTAAAAATTGTTTTATGTGTGAGTAATAAATTTGTAGGTACCTTCACTGTTGACATTATTCCATTATCTAAACAATGCCGATAGACTCTAAGATCATTTTCTAGAAAATGTGGAAAATAAATATATCTTGCACCGTGTCTGTCAATACCTAAAATTGTTTCGATTCTATCTTCCCAAGAGTGCTTTAATACTTCTTCTTGAATTGTTTTTCTGCTATGCTGAATTATTAAAGAGAAGAAAATTAATTGCAAATTAACATTTTAAATTAATAAAGAGAAAAAAAGTGTTCGAAACTTACCAAAATTGTATCACATAGTGTTTTTAGTAGCCAAACTTTTTGTTTAAAAGCAAACGTTTCAAAATCTTTTCCTTCCAGGCAAGAAATATCAGGAAAAAGATTCCAAAATTGTGACTCTATTCCGACTGATTCGAAAACCTGAAATAAATATTAATTAAATTCAATCTTTCTTTCTTTTCAATTTTAGTTAAATTCAATTTTTTTCTTTAATTAAATCCAGTCTTTTTTCTTTCCAATTTTAATTAAATACAATCTTTTCTCTTTTCAATTTTAATTAAATTCAATCTTTTTCCTTTTTAATTTTAATTGAAGTAAATAAAAATTGCAAGAAATTTTCTTTATTTTTATCTAATAAAAAAAAATTATAATAAAATTACCTTTATTATATTCTTGTGCTTATTTTGATAAATTTTAAACCACGTTCGAACTTTGTGCATCAAAACGTTCGTCCAAAATTCGTAGGGCATTGGTGGTAACTTATGAAGTTTAGATTTCAAATTGGGAGAACTAAAATGGTAATAATATTAATTAATTATTAATTCATTAATAAGCTAATTAAATATTTATTTCATTTATTTTCTAGTTCTTCTTTTTTTAATATTAAAATAAAAATAAAACAAAATATAATCCTTCCTCTATTAGGAAGCAAAATAAATTTAAAGAATTAAATTAAAATAAAAAGTAAATTAAAAAATAAACTAAAATAAAAAAAAAGTTTAATAGAATTATGAACCTAAAAATGTAATTAAAATTATTCCTTACCTAAGAAGACAGGTCATAATATTTGCTAATTGTTTCGAGGCTTTTGGCATTAAAAGCATTCTTTCCACCTCGTACATTGATAAATGAGAAATATTCAAGGCTTTCTTGGTTAATTGTAGAAAATGGAAGATCTGTGGGATCTGGAAATAAATTTTAAATTGAATCAATTTTTAATATTAATATTAAAAAAAATATGAATGTAAAAAATAGTAAAATAATTATTTCGTCAAAAAATAAAATGCGCGATTTTCTTTAAAATAAATAGAAAAATATATAAATAAATATTAAGGAATGAATAAAATACAATTAATAATATTACCTCCCACATTGATTCCATTTCATTTCTTACTCTCGTCGTAATATACTTCTTCTCCCAATCGATTTCTAACTCCTTTTCTTTATCAATATTTCCCCGACAATTTTGTTTCGACATTTCTTCTTCTGTAAAAGAAAAGAATTTGTTAAAAATTTGAAATTAAATTAAATATTTTTTGTAAATATATTTAACGAAAAAAATTAATTTCTACAATTTTCTTTAAAATAAATAGAAAAATAAATATTAAGGAAAATATAGGAATAAAGTTAAGGAAATTAAAATGTATAAATTTGTATATTTTTTTTCATGTCAACTTGTAAATTGCAAGATAGTTTATTGATTACTAAAATAAACATTTGTAAGTTACAATGAAAGAGTATAATTGTAAATATCGTTCACTGAGTAATTTAGAATATTTATTTTTAAAATATTTAAAAAAAAATACTCTTTGGAATTTTATTTAATAAAAATTCTCTAAATAAGGAAAAAAATCCCAATAATAACGTTTAGTTTGATTTTCAATGAATTTTCAATTTGGAAAATTGTTGTTAATTTGAAAAATGTATTGCACTTAAAAAAAACCATTGTTTACAATAATAACTCTTCTCTTTTTATCAATAAAATGTACAAGACTTGAAACGATTAAAATTGCTATATAGTTCTTAGACAAACATATAGTTTACTCTATTTTAATAACTCTTATCCTTAACGATCCTATTATCACTCATCTTTAATGAGCGAAATAATAGAGACGATATGTGTATATTTTTTAATTTCTCCTGACAGATACTAATCACGTTGACTTTTAGAAGTTAATTCAAGCAGTAAACGAATTTCATCATTTTTTTCCTCACCCCTGAATAATAATGTACCAAAAAGAAAGTTTTAAACAATATATCCAACTATAAATAATTAATATTTATAATAATAAATTTGGTAAATAAAATAAGGAATAAAAAATAATCATCAAATAAATAAATTGAAAATTTAATAAATATTAATAAATAAATTCCCAAAACGACTAATTTTTGAAAAATAAATAAATTGAAATTAAATTGAAAATTAGAAGTAATTAATTGAATTGATAATTGAATTGATAATTAAATTTTCAAATAAATAAATTGAAAATTCAAATTAATTGAATCGATAATTAAATTTGAAAATAAATAAATTATGTTAGTTATTAAAGACGTGAAAAAACAAAAAAAAAAAAAAGTAAAAATCTTGGTAAAGAATGTAAATTATTAAAAAAAGGGTTTGAAGGTAAAATAATAGTGTGTGCGTGTGTTTAAATTGACCTGGTAAGCGTTGATGTTACCACAGTCTAATTAAGGATAACAGAAAGAAAACAGGGAAAAAATGTTTGTTACACAAACTTGAATCAACCGAGACCTCGAAATTTCGACGACCAACAATTTTTTAATTATAAAAAAATATTTTCCCACCTATTTATCTCTCCCTCCCTTTGGCCTTCAAACCCTTTAAATATTTGCTTAAAAAAAAATTCTGAACTTCACATTAAAAAATCCCATCTCATTCGTTTCCTAATAGTCACGAGAAGAATTACTCCCATATACTTTTTATCTTTTTTGAAATTTAATTAAATTTACAATTATAATTCGAAATTTAACTGAATTTACAATTTGCTTCGAAATTTAATTGAATTAAAATTTTAATTCGAAATATAATTCAAATTCGAAATTTAGTTTAATGTGAAATAAAATTCATCTCAAGTTTTTTTGGAATTGTAATTTTTTATTTCTTTACCAAAAAAGGAAAAAGAAACGTTTTTGTCAATTTATATTGAACGGAACGAGATTTTTGTTTCTAGTGGAATATGGATAATGAAGAAATTACGGGACAGAGGAACAATTTTGAAATTTTAAGTGTGTGGAATTATTTGCAAAGTTTAGTGCACGTGGGATGGATGCAGAGAAAAGTGACTATTTTAAAACCTAACGAGAAAAATAAAGAATTTGAAATTTTCCACATTTCACAAGTGATGTCTAATTATCCGGCTAAAAAGATTTTACAATCCCAAAGCATAAATTATAATAATATGAGTAATAATAATAATAACAATAGAGAAATTCCAAATTATTTACGAGAGAGTAACGCATATTTTCCAAATTCAACAACTAATTTCCTTGAGAGACAAAATATCTACAGAGCGCCAATGAAACATGAAGGATTTGCAGTTAGAAATCGTAATTACCAGGTAATTATAAAAAAAATTGTTGACAAAATAAATCATTTTTATTTTTGAAATTTTTTTTTTTGTAGAATTTCGAACGAAAAGTTGCTTCTAATTCAACTTTAAGGAATAATAGTAATAAAACTGGAGATTTTGAGCGAAAATTCTTGAAACACAGAGAAACTGATGAAAAATTGAACAAGTAAATAAAACTCAAAAAGTTTTCCATTTCTTTTGAATGTTAGAAAAAAAATATTTTCATGAACGAGAATTTTTCATTCTAGATCAAAATTAAGATATTTGCAGTCATGTATGAAAAAAACGGAGATTGCGTCACTAACTAAAACATATTGTCAAACGAGTACTCTTCATGGTTTAAGATATATTGGCGATAGTAATCTGTCTCTTTTTGAAAGGTACGATTTTCCATTCTAAGAGAAAATTGATGGTTTGAAAAATGATTTTTGAAAGGAAAAGGAAAGATTTACGAATTTTACATTTACAGATTATTTTGGGTTATTTCGTTCACAGCGGCAGTGGCAACAGCGTCTTTATATATTTTAGGCGTCTATAAAAAATGGATTTCATCGCCAATTATTATTTCCCTCAGTCCCGAGCCAGTTGCTTATGAAGAATTTCCATTTCCCTCAATTACCCTCTGCAATATGAATAATGCGAAGAAAAGTGAAGCCGATCGAATTAAAAGTGGGTGAGTGTATAACTTTCTTCCAATTATGTGAGCAGATTTTTTTTCTCTGATTTAAATTTAATTTAAATTTAATTCTGTTTCAATTTAATCTCAATTTAATTCAGTTTTAATTTCAATTTAATTCTGCTTCACTTTCACTTTCAATTCAATTTCAATTTAATGCAGTTTCAATTTTAATTTAACTCAATTTCAATTTAATTCTGTTTCAATTTAATTTCAATTTCAATTTAATTCTATTTCAATTTAATTTAATTTCAATTTAATTCCAATTTAATTCAGTGTCAATTAAAATTTAATTTTAATTTAATTGCAATTTCAATTTAATTCAGTTTCAATTTTAATTTAATTTCAATTTAATTTAATTGCAATTTTTTTCAATTCCAATTTCAATTTAATTTCAATTTTGCTTCCTGATAGAAAAAAGATTATATCTTACTTTAAATTTAATTCGAATTAAATTTAAAATACTTAAAATTCAATAAAATTATTAAATAATTTAAATTAAATTTAAGAAGTCAAATTATATTTCCTAGACTTCAATCTTAATAGAAAAATAAAAAACTATTTTAGAACCGACAAACTTGAGCAGATTTTGCTCAATGATATTTGCAACAATGAAAATTTCACAACATTCAATGATATAGATGATGAATCTGCAAAATGGGTAAATGTTCGACGTTTTATGATCAACGTGAGTATCCCCGAAAATTTAGAACTTTTCTTTCCTTCTAAAAATTTTACTTTTTCTTTTCAATTTCCTCTTTTTTTCTGTAGGTGTCACAATCATGTACTGAAATGCTTCACTACTGTCAATGGCACGGTATGAAATTTGAATGCGAGAAACTATTTAATCCCACAATGACGGATGAAGGAATGTGCTGTAATTTTAATTCCGTCCATCGAAATTACATTTTCTTCAATCCGTGAGCTCGACGAATAATTAATTTTCTAATATCCACATAATATAATTATTAGATTAATATCTAATAATATAATTATTTTAATAGCCAATGATATAATTATTTTAATAGCCAATAATATAATTATTTTAATATCCAATAATAAAATTATTATTTTAATATCCTCGTAATATTTAATAGTTTAAATTTTTCCTCTCCCCTAAAAATCTCGAGTAATTTTTCTTATTTAATTTCTTTTAGAAAAGAATCAACTGATTTAAATGTAACATACCCATTTCCGATAATTGATTGGACACCTGAAACTGGATATGCCTCCTCAAATATTACACCAGATTCTGTACCATGGAGACCATATGGTGCTGGAAAATATTTTGGATTAACATTAGCTCTCGATGCGAATGTCGATGAATATTATTGTTCATCGACAGCCAGTGTGGGATTTAAGGTGGAAATAATAACTGAAAAAATAATAAACAGTGTTAAATTTCTTAAATTAATTAAATTACTTTAATTAATTTAATTCATGCAAAAGAATTCAAATAATTTGATTTTTTTGTTTTAATTTCATTTAATTAATTTTGTTTTCATTTTTTAATTAATTTGTTTTCATTTATAGATGTTACTGCATAATCCCGTGGAAACTCCGAAAATAGCCGATTTTGCATTTGCAATTTCGCCGGGCAAAGAAACGCGTATTATAATACGTCCCCATATTTCGGTAGCGAGTAAAACAATATTAAAAATACCGAAGAAAAAAAGAAAGTGCTTCTTCACGTCCGAGAGACGTTTGCGTTTTTACAGAACTTATACGCAAAGAAATTGTTTCCTTGAATGTGAGGCAAATTTTACACAGCAGATTTGTCATTGCGTGCAATATTACATGCCAAGTGAGAAAATTTTCTTTTTTCAGTATCTAAATTAAAGAATTCGAAGAGAATTAATAACTAAATTTGAAAATTAAAGAATTCAAAGAGAATTAATGACTAAATTTCAAAATTAAACAATTCGAAGAGAATTAATATTTAAATTTGAAAATTAAACAATTCGAAGAGAATTAATGTCTAAATTTTTATAAAATATTTAAACAGAAGAAAATTTTCGTTCATTTGAACGTTCAAAACTTTAGTTAAAATCGAGGGGAAAAGAAATAATAATTTTACTTTTTTTCCGCCTGCAGAGTCACTGAATACTAAAATATGTGGAAAGAAAGATGATCAGTGTGCAATTCAAGCGAGAAGAGCCATGGAGCAAAAACTTTATGATGATGAAAATACAAACAGTCAATTGAACATCACAGAAACGTGAGATTATTTGAAAGACTAATTTTTCTTTCGTTTTCCTAAGATAAATTTCTGTACAAAAAATAATTTATTAAATTCTGTAAATATTTATTTACAGTCCCAGTTGTAATTGTTGGCCAGGATGCTTCGAAGTGAGCTACACAACTGAGATTTCACAAAGTGCCTTGATGGCGAACTATGACATTGAAGATATTTACGTGAGAAAAGACAAGAATTACTTTGTGTAATTATCTATTTTTTGTATTCTAAATTCTCTATTTCTCTACTTATTTATTATTTTTTAAAAATATCCTTTTATTCAGGAATAATATGGCCGTGGTGCATTTGTTCTTTGTCGATTCTCAATTTACAAAATTCGTAAAAACTGAACTATTCGGATTCACTGAATTCTTATGTAAGTATTTATTTTTTTTGCTCCTTTTTTTCTTCTGATTTTAATTCTAAAAAAACAAGATTCAAATTAATACTAATTAAATTTCCAGCTAATATTGGCGGTCTACTCGGCCTCTTTATGGGCTTCAGTGTTTTGTCATTTATGGAAATCATTTATTTTCTAACATTAAAATTTTGGTGTCAACTTCGAAAACATAGAAATTCACTAAATCATTCCGAAGTTGAAACACAAATACAACAAAACAATCACGTTACATATCCGTTTGCGCATTAACAAATTTTTTTGTTTTTAAAAATAGTGTAAATTTCTTCTAAAAAAAAAAATTTGAATTCTTATTAATACACAAATCGATACTCGCACTCAATGAATTTTTAAAAAAGAACACATTTTTTCAAATAGAGAAATCGGAGAGAAAGGTCAGTCTCCTCTCAGTCTGTTGGAAAAATTATTCAAAAAGTGTAAAATTTTAAAGTAAAACATGCAATTATAAATTATAGAAATGAAATATTCACCGATAAATGAATGAAATATTTCATAATTACGTCGATAATATGATGTTACATATATATACAAGTGAATGAGAGGCGAAACTTTGAGGTTATGTCAACTGAATTTATATCTTCATTTTCAATTAATTATATATAGAACTGATTCATAAACAAAATCAGAAAAAAGTAAAATTCTTTGAATGTTGTCACTAAATATTGCTCTTGATTTTAAGAAATCTTTTGTGTAATTGCTTTTCATGTTTTTTGAATATGTTTAAACACTTCTTTTCGTGTGAGCAGAGCTATTAATAAAAATATAAATACTAATGTCCCGCAGTGCTTTATCAAAGACGTACCTCTTTAATGCTTCATTCAATACTAAAATGTCAAAAACGAATACTTCTTTCGACAATGAGAATTTTAAACACTTATAGTTTTACATAAAACTTTAATTGTACTTTTATATTTACATGAATATTATAAATATTGTAAAATATTAACTTCATAGCTGATGTTCCCAAAGGAATGTTTCTTTTTATTTCTTTATGTATGTGTACTACATGTATACATATATCTGTATATCGTATAATTTTGTGCAAGGTTGTGAAACTACATTAATTTTCGAAAACCATATGAACTATGCCTAAAATCTGCAAATAAAAATAAAACTAATGAGCGTTGTGTAAATGTTTCTCTTTTATTAAGAACATTATTATTTACATTATTATTCAATTTTCTTTTTCTTATATTCATTTTTTTAATTGTTAAAAGAATAAAAAAGAAAGAAAATAGTCCAACTCTGGTTTTGTTGTGAACTGACGTTTATGAAACACTTGGAAATAACAGGGGTTCATTGTTTCACCTTCCCAGCCCTGGTGCGATTTACTCACTTGTCGTCGCGTCTTGAGTTTCTACATTTTCCCGGTAATTTCAATGATTTCAACGTCTTTCTGCGTCTTTCTCACGTGTTTCTTCCTATAAAAAGTGTGTAAATTTACTAAAAAAGTGTGTAAAATAATGCCAAAAGCTTCAGAGGTGAATATTTAATGATATTTAATCAGAAAAATTGATGGAAACGGAAAAAAAGAAGGCGATCACTTTTTGTTAAAAAGCAAAGGAATGTCGTCAATTGTTGAACTTTTTTTTGTCTCTCCGGTATGTTTTGGTTATAAGTTCCTTTTATTATAAACATTATTCTACTTTATAGCTTTATATTTATGTTTATTTATGTATTTTTGTATTGTACCATTATCATAATTTAAATGATTTAATCATTATCTATTATTGTGTATTATGAAAATTGTGTATGACGAAAATGGTCTCATTACGAAAATTGTCATTTGACAAAGAAATTTTTTTCAGTTTTTAAAGTTACTTTAAAAACTGAAAAAAATTTCAGGGTTGCCACAGGTCAGGGAAAAGTCAGGGATTTTTATTAAAGTGCTAGAAAAAATTGAATTTTGATGAAGTTACAAATGATTGCAGAAATTCAATTATTTTCAAAAGTAATAAAATTCTTCGCAGAAATTCAATTATGTTCAAAAATTAAAAAAAATTCTCGTCAAAATTCAGTTATCTTTAAAAATAATAAAATTCTCCTCCAAATTTCAATTATTTTTAAAAAAATTTCCTCTACTCAATGGTTTTCAATATCTACTATTTTAATAAAATTTCTAAAGAATTCAATTATGTATTTACAAATTTTTTTTATAAATTTTTTCGCAATAATAATTCAATAATTTTCATAAATAATATTTTTTTACAAAAATTCAATTATTTTCATGAATAATAAAACTCATAATAGAATTTCAATTATTTTTAATACAATTTTAATCGAATTCCTCGAAAAATTTAATAATTCGTGAAAATTTTATTAAAATTCCTTGAAAAAATTCAATTATGTTGATAAAATTCTTTATGATAATTCAATTTAGAGAAACATTCATTTATTCAGTAAATTATTTATTTTTGTATTTAAATAATTGAATTCTCGTAAAATTTTGCAATAAAAATTGATTTAAGAATAAATATTAATGAATATATTAAAAGCATTATAGCATGAATTTTTAAAAATAATTGATATTCGAAGAATTTTAATAAAATTTTTGAAAATAATTACATTTTTCGAAGAATTTATACTTAAAATTTTATTAAAAATAATTGAAATCCTGTGAAGAATTTTATTAATTTATGCAAGTACCTAATTGAATTCTTGCAACAAATTTAAGAAAATAATTATCCATTTTTCTAAGATTTTATTTTAAATTGTATTAAAAATAATTGAAATCCTCAGAAAAATTTTATAATTTATGAAAATAATGGAATTCTTATAACGAATTTTATCATTTTTTTTTTAAATAATTGAATTCATGTGAAAAATTTTATTACTTGTAAAAATAATTGAATTCCTGCAACGAATTTTATTACATTTTATTATTTAAATAACTAAATTCCTTTGAGAACTTCTTTAAAATAGTAAATTTTGAAAATTTTTGAATTTCAGCGAAGTATTTCATTATTTGTGTAATGTAATTTAATTCTTGCAAAAAATTTTTGACGATAATTTCATTTTTCGAGAAATTTCTTTAAAATTTTATTAAAAATAATTTGAAACCCTGTGAAGAATTTTATTATTTATGAAAAATAATTGAATTCTTGCAACGAATTTTATTATAATTTTTATAAATAATTTTTAATTTTTGTTTGACAAATTTTATGGAAATATAAATTTTTATAAAACATAAAGACATTAATTACTCCGAGTCAAAGACTCGGAATGATTTATATCTTCATGTTTTATAATAATATTCTTATAAGTTGTTGAATTTTAAAAATCTTTGAATTTAAATGTTTTGAAGAATTTTAATTCTTATGGAAAAATAATAATTAAATACTTATTGAAAAATGAAGTTATTGATGTTTGCGAATAATTTTACAATTAACGAAATTCGTAAGTAAATGTAATAGAATGTTTTTTTTAGTATCTTAATTTTTAGAGTGAATCAGAATACTCTCATTAGAAAAGTTAAAATTTTGTCTGGAAATCAGGGAAAAGTCAGGGAAAAACAAAATTAATTTTTTGTGGCAACCCTGAAGTATTTATTTATTCTTTTTCCGATTGATGGCGCATTTGTATCACTATTTTTTTGCTATAAGTATTAGATTTTTTCTGATTTTAGATTTTAGGAAATTGCAGAGTAGAATTTAGTTTCAAGGTTCGTAAAAATGATGATTCGTGACCAAACGTAAGAAAGAAAGGTATTTTTATAGGTGTTCGAAAAAAAAGAATTCAATGGGAGAAGAAAGGTAAAAAAAAAGTTTTTGTCTTCCAAATTTTTATTTGCATAGATCGCTACACAATTTTCTTTTATTCACACTTCTATATAAAATGTAATATTATTGGAAATGCAATTACCCGAGGACGCAGAGCTCTGGCTCTTAATCACATTGTTTATCTTATAATATTGAGTTATGTAAAATTAAACTCAACTATATTATTAAAAACATATATATTTATATAGTAACGTTTATCAAATACTGTCACAAAATAGAAAATGTCTTAATGTTTTTTATGAGATTCGTCGCAATAACTTTAAATAATGAAAGTAGACAAGAAAAAGAAAGAATATATATTTTCTTTAGAAATCAAACTCTTAATTCCTCCATTATCTGTTGATAAGTGTGGGCATCCTTTTTTCTTGCAGTTGAGGTAGCCATTATCACGTTCTCCTGCTGTAAATGATTGGGACTAATGATTAAATTTTTAATCGATTTGTTTGGTTTAATATTTTTAGGTGGCGGCGGTGGTATTGGAACGTGACATGAATTATTTTGCATATTTGTCAATTCTGGTAGTGACATGTGTTTCACATAATTACGATCGGACTGTACTTTTGCCTCGAGTTCACCGCAAATATTATTTGGCATTTGGCCATTTTCTTGGAATTTCTTCTCCTCATTGTGATAGGTGTGCTTATCGCGTTGATAATAAACGCCGGCAAATATGAGGACGTTTAAAATTAATAAACTACAGCCAATTGCTATTGTTACACTTAAGGCAGTTGAATATGCCGCGAATCCATCTTCTGGTTGTGTTGTCGATTCACCGAATGCCAATTCACTTGGTATTGCGGAAGATAAATTCTCATGTTTCTCCGATGTTAATTCTAAACTTGGCGATGTTAATATTATCGGTATTTTTTGAACAATCTTCGGTGGTATCTAAAGGTTTAGAGAAGGAAATTAGAAAAGAGAATTTAAAAATGTAGACAAAATTTAGACAAATTTCTGGAATATTTTACCTGGTCCATATTTAATAAATGGTGAGATTTTGGTACATCATCCGTGCCCGGTTTGTGAAGATCGGGCACTAAATTCAACCAAAATGACAATCGATGTGCGCGATAATGATTTTTAAGTTTCGACTTTAAATCTGTGGAAATTTTAATTTTAATTAGAAAACAATCGTTTCTTTTTACCTTTTAAAAAAAGAATGTAATTTTTTGATTAAAAAAAATGCAATTTTGACTTAAAAATAAAACAGGGTTGCCACAGGTCAAGGAATTCAGGAAAAAGTAGATATTGGTCAGGGAAATTAGGGAAAAGTCAGGAATTTTTTTACCACGAATTCTACTATAAAACCTTCAATTTTTTCTATTTTTAATAATGATAATTTCTTCAATTACAATAATTTTTTTCTAAATAATTCAGTTTTTGAAGAACTACCATAAAATTATTTAATGAATAATTTTACTTCAAAATTTCAAAATTAATTTAAAAGAGTAGTTGCGTCTACAATTTTTATAAATTGATGAACTTCAAAACGTTTCAATCTGAAATTTTATAAAATTTCATATTAAATAAATTTAATTAGAAATTTTAAAGTTAACTTAAATCCTTGGAAAATTGTAATAATTCAAATTCATTTGAAATTAATTAAATTGTATAGTATATATTTAATATTAATTATTAAAAATAATGGATTTATAGAAGAATTTCACTAAATTTCACTAAAAAAGAATTGAATTTTGAAGAAGTTAAAAATAATTGCAGAAATTCAATTATTTTCAAAAGTAATAAAATTCTTCTCCGAAATTGAATTACTTTCAAAAATTTTAATGAAATTCTTAACAAAATTTCAATTAGTTTTAAATACTTTCCTCAATTCAATGATTTTCAATATATATTTTAATAAAATTTTACGAAGGAATTCAATTATTTAAAAATTTGTTAATAAAATTCTTTATGAGAATTCAATTTTGAAAAACAATAAATTATTTATTTTTGTCTTTAAATAATTTAACTCTCGTAGAATTGATTGATTGATTTAAAATTGATTAAAAAATGAATTTTAGTTAAAATTTTAAATAATAATTGAATATTAAAAGTATTATAGCGTGAATTTAATTATTTAAAATTTTGTTGATAAAATTCTTTATGAGAATTCAATTTTGAGAAACGTTCAATATAATTTTATTAAAATTCGTCGAAAGAATTCAATTATTTAAAAATTTGTTAATAAAATTCTTTATGAGAATTCAATGTTGAAAAACAATAAATTATTTATTTTTGTCTTTAAATAATTGAATTCTCGTAGAATTTTCTAATAAAAATTAATTTAAAAATGAATTTTAGTTAAAATTTTTAATAATAATTGAATATTAAAAGTACTAGAGAATAGTAATTGATTTGAAATAATGAAAATAATATTGAAGAAGTTGCAGTAACAATATTCTCTTATAATATAGAATAATGATTTTATCGGTCGGTCATTTTTAATTTTTCCAAAACATGAAAATATCGATTGCTCCGAGTCGAAGACTCGGAGTGATCGATTTCTTCATGTTTTATAAATAATAAATATCTTATAATTTTAATTTATTAAATTTTAAAAGGTTTGAATTTATAATTTTTAAAACTCCTAATTTTTGGGAAAATAATAATCATTAAATATTTATTTAAAAAAGAAGTTATTGATGTTTTCGAATAATTTCACAATTAAAGAAATTCGAAAATAAATGTATTAGAACATTTTTTTTGAGTATCTAATTTTTTAGAGTGAATCGAATTATTCTTTAAAAGTCAGGAAAAACTGAAAATTTTATCTGGAAGTCAGGGAAAAGTCAGTGAAGAAGAAAATAAAATTTTCGTGGCAATCCTGGTAATTCTTGATTAAAAATGTAATTTTACTTTAAACATATAATTTTTGATGAAAGAATTCAATTTTGATTTAAAAGATGTAATTTTTTGAATTAAAGATATTTTTTGAATTAAATATATTTTTTCAATTGAAGATATTTTTAAATTGAAAATTAAAAAACTTTTTGAATAAAAAATTATATATCTGGAAACAAATAATTTTACCTATACTGAGATATTTTTTGTGCACTGCTTCATAAGCGGTCCAGTCAATATTTTTCAATTTTGTGCGTTCTGGTCGTGAGTTTTGTGGTCCATAATCAACTGTACCCTCATTAGGATTTCTGCAAAAGTGGAAAATTAACAATTAACATAAATTATCCAAAAAGAAAATTCTGAATAGTTTAATTTTTCTTTTTGTTTTCGTTTTCTTACCCAGTTCGTGCAAAGTTCGTTAAGTACAAAATTACGCTTTCCGAAAGCGCAACCTCGGCTCGAGTGTAATTTTTCGGCCAATGTGCAAGTCCGCCAATTAATGGAGCTCCAAAAAAGTACGGCAATTCTTCACCGTGAATACAACCTTGTCTCTAAAAAAGGAAAAAATTATTTTCGTACATTTCTTCAATTTTTAAAGAAATATTTTTCTTTTTGATAATTCTCACCTGGGGATAGTCGCCAAATTTTGTTTGATAATCGAAAACGTAAAGATATGAATTCCTATGTGTTTGACTATGTAAATCGGCCGTTTTTGTTGTTGGCGCTACAACATTGGCATCGCCTAAAGCTTCCAATGTTTCATCCCTGAAATATTTGTTATTTTTTTTGTAATAATTGACTTTTATAATAATTTATTACTATTTAATTATTATTATTATTGTTTATATTTTTTTTTGTATTTGTATTATTTTTTTTTTCTTTCCAGACTTTTGCTTTTATTTACCTAATATTAACGGGATGTTGAACTGGCTTTTCCCAATCGGTGTATTCGTTGATAATAGTCGCTAAAATTTCTGTTTGATGATAGGTGTATGTATTATGAACAAATTCACGTAGCATTTTAATTCTTCTATCTGCCTCAATTCCATATTGAGCGTCATCAGCAGTCAGTGACAAATATGCCTCAGTTCTGACGACACCAACCATTAGATCATATCTGAAACAAAAAAATAATTTTTCCTAAGGTGGAAAAAAAAGATTTAAAATTTATTCTTATTTCGAGACAATAAAAAATATTATTATTATCAGAAAAGAATTTATCATTCATATTGTTAAATTGTTTTAAATTTAATAAGAAATATTGTCTTGAAATAAAAATTCTTCTTCGTAAGAGGAATGGACGTTACAAAAAGAATTCAAAATTTATTTCTACTTCAAGAAAATAAAAAAGTTGTTGAATTTTTTTCTTACCTGGAAAGTTTAGTGACTACGTCTTTTCTAAATAAAATATTGTATAAAGTATTTATTGTATCGATTTCTGAGTCCCAAGATTGATCATCTGAATCGCCTGGGGTTATCACGACTCCATCTATACTGGGTCCAAATGCAGGTGCAAATTTTAATTCTTGTATTGGAACGGAGAGTAAAGTGTCCAAGGGAACGTTTCTCAAGCACTGAAGCAGTGTTGGAGAATCTGAACCAGTCTTTGGGGAGAAAAAGAAAATTATTTCATTGTCATTTTTCTTTTTATTCTACAATAAAATTTTTTTTTGTTTCCACTAACCTCAGAGCAGTTTAAATGTTTAGAAAGATGTGTAGCGTATTTATCAGCTCCTCTTATTAGTGCCCATGGAGATAATGCACTTCCTGACATTAATACACTTCGATGGAACAATAAACCTGCAAAAATAATTTTTATACTCTAAAAATTATTTTACAAAAATTTCAAAATTAGGAAGAAAAATAATTATTTTATTCTGTTTGGAAAAAAATTAAATAATGGTTTTTTATTCTATTTGAAACAGAATTTAAGAATAATTCTAATATTCCATTTGCAACAGAATTAAAAAATAATTCTTTTATTCTGTTTGAAGCAATTTTAAAAAATAATTCTGTTATTTTATTCTATTTGTATTTTGAAAAAAGAATAATTTATTCTGTTTTATTCGAAACTATATCAAATAATATTCTCTTATTCTATTTGCAACATAATTAAAGAATAATTGTACTCTTATTGTACTTAAAAAGAAGTAAAGAAAAATTCTTTTATTTTATTTGAAGAAAACATAAAGAATAATATTTATTTAATTTGAGAAGAATACGAGAATAATATTTATTTAATTTGAAAAAAATACGAGAATAATATTTATTTAATTTGAAAAAATACGAGAATAATAATTCTTTTATTTTATTTTGTTTGCATGAAAGAATGTACGAATAATTTACGAAAATGGAAAACTGAGGATTTTATCTTTTTTAGGTTTGGCAAAATTTGCAAAGTGTACCTTCAGGAACAGCGTGACTGGTCATAAGGAAATTAACGCATGCTGCTCCGGTTCCATGACCAACTAATGTGACATTCCCTGGATCGCCACCGAAATAAACAATATTCTCGTGAACCCAATGTAAGGCAGCAATTTGATCCATGAGACCATAATTTGCTGGTGAACGTAAGTTTGAACCCATATTGACATTTAAAAATCCTGAAAATGACAAATTATTTTATTGCCAAACAAGTTAAAAGACAATTACAATTACAATTACTGTTAATTAATTATTAAGATTATTATTTGCGATTATTGCGAATAAGAAACAATGGCAGGTCTCGGATTGTGTGACTTTTTGGACTTTCTTCGACTATTTTGTAAAAAAGGAGTCTTTTTTCTACTTATTTTGATTTTCTAAATGAATTCTAAATTAACGACTAAAAAATGTTACTTTATCGACTTTTCTTTTTTAAGAAAAGTCAAATGAGTCGCAATCTAAAACTTGATTAATTTCTTAAATTGTCCTGAAAATTCTTTAAAGAAATTCAATTTTTTCATTACAATATTTATTAAAATCTAATTTTTAGAGCTTTTTCATCACATTTTTTTAAAATTCAATGAGTTTAAAAAAAAGAAAATTTAAATTTTTAAGATTTATTTTTTCAGATTTACAATCTGAAAAATTTTTAAGAAATAATCTATTTTTGTATTTGTAATTAAAATTCTTTATAAACTTGTTCATTTTTTAATATTTTCCCAAAATTCTATTAAAAAATTGAATTATTTTCAGAAAATTGAAAATTTTTAACTAAATTTCAATTTATTTGGAGATTTTTCAATTATTACAATTAAAAAATTTAACATCTTTCAAAAATTATTTTTAAATATTAAAAAAAAACTAATTTTAAAAATGTTTTTATTATAATTTTCTACAAATCAATTATTCTCAATACTTTTGGTTGTACATATTTTTAAGAATTCGTCTTAACTTACAAAAAACATAAAGAATCTAATTTACAATTATAGAAAAATTAAATTTTTTTATTTGAAATCTAGAAATACTTTTCGAAAATTGTTAAAAATAATATTAAAATAAAAAACTAATATTAATAATATTAAATGATTAAAAATAGATTATTTCTGTAGAGAAGAATTTTAGTTAAAAAATTCTAGAAAATAAAATAAAATTTCGAAAGAATTGAATTTGTAATTTTTAGAAAAAATAGTTTAATTTCAAAAGGTTTGAATTTGAAATTTTTCATATTCTAAGTCCTGTAGAAAAATGAACAGGTTTTTTTTTTTAAATATAACAAAATTATTAAAGATTTGAATAGGGAAATAAAAAATACAAATTATAAAATTTTTGTGAAAACACTGAATAAAATACTTTCTTAGTGAAGTTTATAACGTAATCAATGAATTGGAAGGAAAAATATTTTTCAGAAGCAAATTTTCCGACAGTAGTGTTTGTAAAAAATATAAAAAGTTTTTATTAACAAATTTTAAGCAGAAAAATTTGTAAACGCAAGAATTTTATTGTTTTTTGTATAGAAAATATTTTTTTTTCCTTTTCAATCTTTAATTGCAGTTGTAAACTTCACTGACGTAATAAAATAAACGACTTTATGGAATTTTTTTGTATTTTTAATCTACTAAAGCGACTTTTTTTTGAGTTTTAAAGTCGATCCGAGGCCTGCAACGGTAATTAATAAAGTAGGTCGAATTTACTAATTATTAAGTTTATTATTTGTGATAATTGCAAATAAAACAATTGTAATTAATAACGTAATTTAATTTATTACTAAAATTTGAACGAATTGAATGAATTAAATTGAATAGTCAACTAATAGTTAAGAATAGTTTATTTCTTTAGTGATTAAATAAATGTTTATTTCTTCATTAAAAAAATAAGTTCTATTGTTAGTAATTAAAGACAAAGGAATTTAATTTATTATTAAATTATGAACGAGTTGAATTGAATGAATTAAATTGAATAGTAAACGAATGGTTAACAATTATTTTATTTCTTTATTGATTAAATAAATATTTGTTTATTTCTTCATTAAAAAAATAAATATTGAGTATTAAGGAGAAACGAATTAAACTTATTTAAAAATTTTGAATTAATTGAACTGAATGAAGTAGATTAGATTATAAACTAATAGTTGACAATAATTTATTTTTTTATTGATTAAATATAAAAATAAATAAATTTTTTTTTATAAAAAATAAATATTGTTAGTAATTAAAAGACAAAAGGGTTAATTTATTATTAAATTTTGAATGAACTATATTTACTTTTTTTATTGATTAAATAAATATTTGTTTATTTTTTCATTAAAAAAATAAATATTGTTAGTAACAGACAAAAGAAATGAATTTATTATTAAATTTTGATTTCATTGAATTGAATGAACTAATTTAAATAGTAAGCTAATAGTTAACAATAATTTATTTCTTTATTGAGTTAAAAAATATTTATTTCTTGATTAAATAAATGTTTATTACTTCATTAAATGAATGTTTATTTCTTCATTAAAGAAATAAATATTGTTAGTAATTAAAGAGGAAAAAAATAAAAATTTTAATCCGGAAATTCAAAAAAACGTAGCAATTGTGTTTCAAAGCTTTTCCTTGTCATCGTTTATTTTTATCAAAACGTTTTACCTAAAACTCCTAATCTGTAGTTTATTGTGACAACAACTACACCTCCATAGCTGGCTAATACACTTCCATCATAAGGATTACCACTGCTCCATTCGTAGCTCTCTCCATGAATAAATACAATTACTGGATATCTTTTGCTAGCAATATCTCTCGAACCAGCTAAAAAAAAGTTCAAAATTTCATTTTGTTTCGAAAATAATTATTTTCAAACATTTCTTTTTTTTTTCTTTTCTCATTCACATTTCACATTCTCATTAAGAAATAAAATTTTTTCTTACCTTGCACTGGAGCGTAAATATTTAGATAAAGACAATCTTCGCTCTGATTTTTCAAATAGGGAAGAATACGTCGAAGATAATCGAGTCTTCCTTTTGGAATTTTATCCGTTAATGATGGTAATTTTTGTGGGCAAACTGGTCCAAATTCCTCGGCAACTTTAACGCCTTGCCAAATTGCACCGCTGACAGGTGGCATAAATCGAAGTGAACCAACGGGAGGCGATGCATAGGGAACACCGCGAAACACTTCAACACTTTCCATATTACGTCCAAGTGAAATAATAACACCCGATAATTCTCCATTGTTTGTTTTAACAATTCGTGAACTTAAATTTGCATTTACAAAAGTCCATAAAACGATGAATAATCCTAAATATAATGAAACGATCATTTCGATTCTTTTCCAATAGTGACAATTTTTATCCTCATTTTTTTATTCCTTTATATCGTTAGAAATAATTTTCATGTTAATACATTGTTTAATTTTATTTTTGAAAAATAATTTTCCCTAAGAATCGTATATTGTAAACTTTCGTTACATCCTTTTGTTGACGTCATAGTTTTTTTTATTCTTCTATATTTAAATATGTAGAAATGGAAATTTAGAGAAAAATTTAGCAATTATATATTTTTCATTTCTCTATTGAAAATTGATGAAGCTTCACAATCCTCGGGCGTTGCCTTTTGTTTTATTTGGGGAGATAAATTTATTTTCTTCTTTAAAAATCTATTATAGCACGTTCTTCTACGATATTATTTATATATTCTTTGAATGTAATTAACGTTCATAATTTATTTTTTTTTTCTTTATGTTTAACTCATCTAAATATTGTTTCTAAAATTTGGATATATTTATTAATTTTTAATATATATTTTATATTTTTCAACTATTTGGTTATTATTTAGAACTCATTTCTATTATTTATTTTTATAATAATTATTAACTGTTAAATCACTAAATCACGAATGTTTGAAATATTTTACTTTTTTTTAATTGAATATTTATCACATAATTTTTTAAAACAATTCCTCGTTTCTTGAAAAAGGGAAAAATGCTCTTTTCTTATAGTTATAGAGTCTATTTTTTTTTAAATTAATAATTATTGGGGAAAATTCACATTTTGATATTTTATATTCACCGAACGTATACAAGGAGAGATGAAGCGTTCTGTCATTTCGTTTAATTGTTTATTAATCACTAACATAGAACTAGCACCAGATGACATTTTTGGCGAATTTTGAATTTAAAACTCATTTTTTTAATAAGATTGTTTCAGGTGAATGTGAGAAATCGAGAGAGTGGGTACCTTTTTCAAGTTTCTTCCATATTAAAAAGGAAAAAAATGGGATTCTTGAATTTTGACTTATCAAAATGTTATACCCTTACTTTGACCCCCGATAAACTAGCGTATAAGCAAAAAGATCACGCACAAAGCTATGAGCATGCGTCATTTTACACAATCTCACATCTCAGTAAAAGGGTGGAAATACTTGGTACATGGGGTCGATAAAACAGAAGAGAGGATGTAGGTCTATCGCACACACAAAAAATTGCGTACACGAATTTCCCTCTTTTTTTGGGCTTTCGTGAGAATCCTTGAAAAATTAGTTCGAATCTTACATCTTAGATTTCACTTTTCGAAATTCTCTTCCAGCAAGATTAAGATTTCTTATTTTTCTTCTTCTTTTTCTTTTTTCTGCTTGACGAAGGTACTCGATAAAAAAGTGGATTAATTAATCACTGTATCGGAAGGGGATGAGATGGAATTTTTTTTTTTATATTTTATATAATGGAAAAAAGTTTTACTACACAAAAAGAAACACACAAAAACACAAAAAACGCTAAAAAAGACAAAAAAAAAGGACAAAACAACACAAAAAATGTTAAAAAAACATCAGAAAATTCCAAAATACTCATAAAATATATTTTTATTAAAATATTTTATCTAGAATTTAATTTCCGGAAATTAAAATTAAAAGTCAGCTGAAAAATTCTATACAAATTGGGTTTAATTAAATACAAAATATTTCTATTCATATTATAAGCAGCAGAAGTAATTTAATTAATTAAAATGGAATTTAATATTTGAGTATTATAAATTTGGATAAATTTGAAATAAAGTAAAATTTTAATGAAAATTCATAATTGAAAGATTTGGATTAATATTAGATTTATAAATTTCGATTGAATAATTATAATTTCGATTGATTACATTAGTGAAACAAATATAATTCGCGTATTTTCTCTAAAGATTAATTCATAAATAATTAAAAAGCTTTCGATATAATTATTGTTTAAATATTCCCTTTAACTAATTTCGCAAAGTACGGCTTTTTTAATTACGTTTATTATTAATAACAATTTAATTATTTTCAAAAGTTTTGATAACATTTTGTATAAGAATTTAGTTATTTTCAAAAAATTAAATGATATTCTTCATAAGAAATCAATTATTTTTAATACAATTTTAAAGAAATTTCTCGAAAAGATTCAATTATTTTTTTTAAATTTACACAAAATTTTTTAAAAGAAATGAATTATTTTAATAAGTTTTGATAAAATTTTATTATAAGAATTCAATTATTTACAAAAGTTTTTATCAAATTCTTCGCAAGAATTCAATTATTTTCAAACTATTTAATAAAATTCTTCTCTAGAATTGAATTATTTTTTTATAAAGAATAAAATTCTTGGCAAGAATTCAATTATTTGTTTTGTAAGTAATAAAATTCTTCACACTAATTCAATTTATTTTAAAAATTTTACTAAAATTCTTCTCTAGAATTGAATTATTTTTTTGTAAATAATAAAATTCTTCATAGAAATTCTATTATTTTAAATACATTTTTAATAAAATTTCTCAAAAAGATTAAATTATTTTTAAAAAACTCACAAAAATTTTTCAATAGAAGTCAATATTCTCAAAAGTTCCGATAAATTTTTTTAAATCAATTCAATTAATTATTATAAAATAATTTTATAAAATAATTTTGAGTACAATTTTTATAAAATTTCTAAAAAATAGAATTGAAATAGAATTAGAAATAGAAATAAAATAGAATTTTGAAATAGAATTTCAAAATTTTAATAAAATTTTTGGAAGAATTCAATTATTTTCAAAAATTCTAATAAGTAAAATAAATAAAAAGTAGAAACTTAAATAAAAATTTAAATCACTTCCTTTGGGGAACAATTGTCGAAATAAATATATCTTCTTTGTGATGATTAAGCTTCGAGAAACCTGCAATAGCTTTTAAATAATCAATTTTTATTGTCTTTTTAAAAATATAAATAAATAAAACATATTTTTTTATTGTCAGTGTATGATGAACTTAAATGTTTCGAGTGAATTTTTAAAGAATAAAATGTAAATTTAATTATTAACATAATTCTTAACTAAATTTAGAGATTTTTCTTTGTTATTTATTTACTATTCTATTACTATTCTACTACTAATTTTACTGCTATTTTACTACCATTTCACTACTATATAGCAATATATTATTGCTATTTATTTAAATTTTCTCAACTATGATATTTTTTAAATTCTCAATTTGAAATATACATTTTGTCATAAAGCGATTTATTTTTCCATATAATTATAAAAAGTATTTTTTCAGAGATATTTCTCATTCAAATTTTAACACTTTTATTATCTTCATTGTTTTTTTTATCTATATTTTGAAAGAATAGTAATTTTCGTTAAATATAGAAATTTATATACTTTCATTAATTTTTAATCATTCTCCGAGTTTTTCATTGTCTTCCAAATGTTTTCTTGGCTTTTTTTAGCTAATTGGTTAAATTAATTGTTAATTCTACAAATTTATTGATAATTTTTCAAACTAATTGTTAATTTTTCAAACTAATTGTTAATTTTTTAAACTAATTGTTAACTTTTTAAACTAATTTGACTGACAATTGTCAGTATTCTAAAAACATTTTTTTTAATTTCAAAAACTATTCAAATTAATTAATTTTTTAAAGCAATTGTAATTTTCTAACTAATTTTCAACTTTTTTAAAACTAATTGTCAATTGTTTAAATTAATTGCCAGTGCTCTATTACATTTTCATTAATTCCGAAAAATTCACTTGACTTTAAGCGAATCATCACATTTGGAATATACCATATATATTGAATACACACAAAAAAATTGAGATTTTTGAATATACTTTAACACGCCTTTTATCTTATTTATAATTCTATTTGTTACATTGATACGATACTTCGTCTTTAACGCCCGATATAAATTTTGCCTTCGTCAATTTTTATATTTCACAAATGGAACTCTTGTACATTTTTTTTTCATTTATATATATATTTATAATCCTATATAATTTAAATAGATCAGTACAATCAATCTCAAACCATTTTTTTGCAAACACAATAGCGGAAAACCAAGCCTTTTTGTTTTTCTAAATTATCGTATAGAATAGATTCAACATTTTACATTAATTTGCAACATATATTATATATAGCTAGGTACATCTCTCTATAACTTATTTTTTTCTCATTAAACTCATTACTTTATTATACGCACTTATATTCTTCATTTTTTGTTTCTTCTCGCTAAAACAAAAAAAGGGGAAAATAAAAAGAAAAGGAAAAATAATTTTACATTTTATTGCACTATTCTGAGGAATCAGAGTCAGAATCAGCTGGTGTTGGTTCATGTGTTTCTGGTGTTGATTCGGGAATTGGTTTAGCTATCGTTGCAGTTAGATAAGCGCCCGGACCTTCACCTTTTGTGTGTTCAATACCGACCCTTTAAAATCAATAATATTAGACCGAGTTGAATATATTGACGGCGATGTTATTTGCTATTTTCATTCCATTGCTTTTGGTGGAGACATTTTCTTTAAATTCTTTCAATTTAAATAAAATTTGGAAATTTATTTAAATTGTCTGAATTTTAATAAAATTAAAAACTTATTTAAATTACTTCAATTTAAGTGAAAAATAAAATTAGAAATTTATTTAAATGAAATTACAAGATTTATTTAAATTATTTAAATTTGAATAAAATTGAAAATTTATTTAAATTATCTGAATTTAAATTTAAAAAAATGATCTAAATTTGAATAAAATTATAAATTTATTTATAAATTACTTCAATTTAAATAAATTTGTATTTCTTCTGAATTATTTTATTTTGTGAATCTGAATTATTTGTTATAATAATAATAATAATAATTTACCTGTATTCGTGTCGTGATAAATTTCGTACATATTTTTCCGGTGGATCATCACTATCATGATTTCTGAAACTAACACTTCTAGCTGTCGTGTGTGATACTTGTGTTGCTGGCATTGTAAATTCAACATAACAATACTGTGCTAAATTTGGAGGAATTTGGTCATATGACGTTAATGCTAAACGGCAAACTAATTGATGCGTTGTATAAGCTCCTGTAAAAAAAAGAAATATTTTTTGTTTTAGATTTTCTTCAATTATTCCCAAGTTCAGCATTTGTTTTCTAAATTTATCACTCATTTTTGCTCGATTAATTATTAAAATTCAGATTTGTCACAGGTCAGGAAAAATTGCAGGGAAATTGGGAAGAAGTCAAGAAAAATGAAATTGCGGTCAGGAAGTAAGGAGAATGTCCGGGAAATTTATCGAAAGTAGTGAAAAAATATCAAACATCTAGAATTACTTCGAAATTCCTGGTTTTTGGTGTTCAAACATATTTTTGAAATCCTATAGAATTTCGAATTCTTCATGAATTTTTATTAAGCAAGAAACTTTTAAATCAGAATGATTTTTAGAAGAATTTTGATTTTTCTTATTTCAGATAGGTAAATAATTAAATATATTTAAAATAATTAAATTATAAAATAACTTTCTCAATGTAATTAATAAATTATAATTAACTTAGAAAAGATTTTAGAATTAATAGCAATTTTTTAAAGATTTAATTTTCTTACAAAATGTTATTTATTACCTTTAGGAAATTAATTCTAGATTAAGTAAATGTTAATAATTGAATTTTCCAAAAGGATTTTATTGAAATTGATATTCTTAGAAATAATTGAAATTTTCCTGAAATTCTATTAAAATTAATTTTATTTTTAAAAGAATTTAATTAAAATTGACATTTTTATAAATAATTGGAATTGTTCTAAAATTCTATTAAAAATAATTGAATTTTTCAAAAGGATTTTATTGAAATTGATATTTTTAGAAAAAATGGAAATTTTCCTAAAATTCTATTTAAATTAATTGCATTTTTTAAAATAATTTAATTGAAATTGACATTTTTAGAAATAATTGAAATTTTACTAAAATTCTTTTAAAAATAATTGAATTCCTTAAAACGATTTCATTGAAATTGACATTTTTTTTAGAAATAAATGAATTTTTTAAACGAAATTTATTGAAATTGACATTTTTAGAAATAATTGGAATTGTCCTAAAATTCTATTAAAAGTCATTGAATTTTTTAAAAGTGTTTCATTAAAATTGACATTTTTTTTAGAAATAATTGAATTTTTTAAAAGAATTTAATTGAAATTGACATTTTTAGAAATAATTGAATTTTTTTAAAAGAATTTAATTGAAATTGACATTTTTAGAAATAATTGAAATTTCACTAAAATTCTTTTAAAAATAATTGAATTTCTTAATAGGATTTCATTGAAATTGACATTTTTTAGAAATAATTGAATTTTTTAAACGAATTTTATTGAAATTTTTGAAAATAATCGAGGGAAGTTAATCACAGTAATTAAATTATTTAGTAAATTTTAAGAAGATTTAAGTTTACAATTGTTTTCTAATAGAGTGAAGTTTGGAAAAATTTTATTTAAATTCTGAAGAATTAGGTTTTTGAAATTTTAAAAAAATTTTAAATTCTACGTTTTATAAAAATATAATTTAATTTTTCTGAAAAGTAATTGAAAATTTTCCAAATAATTTAAATTTTGATCCTAAATGTTTTGAATGTTTAATTAAACGAAATTTATTTATTTTTTTTGTAAATTGAATTGTTATTACAATAATTTTGCGTCACTATCAAAACAAAATTAATTTTAGTCTCTAAATGCATAATTTAAGATTCAAATATTTAATATTGCAATCGCAGTAATTGATGAAAATAATTTTCATAGAAAATTTTTCATTCATTTGAACGTTTAAAACTTATGTTGATCATGAAATTTCCTAAAATTCTATTAAAAATAATTAAAGGGTTTCAAAAGAATATTTTATTTAAATTTTTGAAAAGAATCGAGGGAAGTTCTTCACAGTAGTTTATGTAAAATTAATTATTTTTTAAATTCTTAGACACTTTTAAGATTTTAAATTAAATTTTTACTCTCCTAAAATCGTTCTGTTTTAATAATTCAACTCCCCTTTAATTTAATATATATTTTTATTTACTTTTTTTTTGAAATTAGGAAAAATCAATCTGTCGTCTGAAATCGGAAAAAGAATTCAGGGAAAAAGAGAATTAAACTTTTTTTGCAACCCTGATATTGAATTGATTATATTATTAAAAAAAATAATATTAGAAAAAAAATTTGACATGATATTAATTCACAAAATCTTACCCTGTCCTTCCTTAGGCAATCGTGGCATTCTCCATACAATAGCCTTGTGTTGATGTTCATACTTCGCTTGTCCGGAAGTAGCTTCCATAAGTTGTGGTTCAAGATTATCACAGCGCCGAGGAATCTTTCGATGCCCTTAATTTTTCCCGTTCGCCGATGAGCGGATTTACTGAACCATATCTAAAGTGTTTCTCAACTCTAAAGAGATATATCCAACATTCAGGAATGGTATTCTCACCATGACATCTTCACAGGGGGAATTTGACCCAATTTTCTCGATGTGAAACCCGGAACGAGTATATCCGCTCTTATTTCCACCTAGTTAGGAAAATTATATTCATATTTAATGGTCGTTTAAAATTTTTCCATGATCAACGAAAAATGGATTTCGATATTTTACCTTATTTCCCGTGACGCAAAAGACGCATTTTAGTTGAAGGGGTAATTCACGATTTTTTCGGTGGCCTCACTCGAAATCTTAACAGTTCAATGTAACACCCATCTGGGGGTTTGAATCTAGAAGAAAAAATTGTTAATTTTCTCCTTATTTTATTTTTAAAAATTATTTGAACATTTTTTTCTTTTTACGGAATGAAAAAAAATATTTCCTGTAGCTTGTAATTTTTTATCTAAAGGAGAATTTTTCTTTATATTTCTTTGAGGTATTTTAAAAATTTTCTCTTTTGATTTTATTATGAAAATTTAAGTTTTTTCTTTTATGCTTCGAAAGTAAAAGAAATGTTTCCTGTACATAATTTGTTATCTAAAGAAATTTTTCTTTATATTTCTTTGAGGTATTTTTAAATTTTCTCTTTTTTCTCTTATTTTGATTTTATTTCGAAAATTTAATTTTTTTCCCTTTATTCTTCGAGAATAAAAGAAAATTTGCAGTACCTTATAATTTTCGAATCTTCAAATTCATCTTGTTGACTGCAAGAGTGAAATTCGACTTTTCTAATCTTATCCATTCTTCAGTGACAACTGGAATAATATCGTGGCGACCACCACTTCTTTTCCCTGTCTTCTCATGTCATTGACACCAATTCAACGTCAGGCATTCCTGAGGAAAGAGAATTTCAATAAAAATATCTCATTTTATTCGTCAATTAAAATTAGAATTTTATTAGCAATTTAGAAATTTAAAATTTTGAATTTTTATTGTTTGCAGGCTTCGCATTCGTTAAAAAATTTTGAAAAAATAGCAAACGGGAGCTTTAAGAGTAAAAAGAAGGAGTAAAAAAGTATTTACAAAAATTAAATTTGACGACAAAAAAAAATTCATTTTAGATTTTAGATTTTACTACCTAGATAAGTGATGTTCGATTTATTTTATTATGCAAATTACAAAATTTTTTTTTTTAATTTGAATTTTTGAATATTTCAGATTCCAACATTAAAAAATTCAATTATTAACTAATTTACTAATTAATTATTCTCGTTTATTAATTTCAAAATTTTAATAAAAATTCTTCGTAAGAATTCAATTATTTTCATAAATATAAAATTTTCGGAAGAATTCAATTATTTTTATAAATATAGTAAAATTCTTCACAAGAATTGAATTATTTTCATATAATTTTAATAAAATTTCATGAAAGAATTCAATTATTTTCTAAAATTTGAATAAATCCATTGAAACAATTCAATTATTTTTTTAAATAGTAAGTCTTTGCAAACATTCAATTATTTTCAATTATTTCAAATTTTTTTTTTTCCTTCTTGGTTCCTTTGAGTTATTTAAAATCTTTTCTTCTGTAAAATTCCTTAAAAAATTCCTGAATTTTTAACAAATGTTTAATAAATTTCTTGAAAATGTTCAAATATCTTCTTTAAAACTTAAGAAATTTCAATTATAATTCCAAAATTTAATTTTTTGAAATAATTAAAAGTAATTCTGAAATTGAGTTAATCAAAAAATTCAATTATTTCTAAATTTGACTGTAAAATTTCTTTTAAAATCAATTTTTTTCAAAATTTTTAAGAAATTTCGTGTAAATATTATTATTTTCTATAAAAATTAAAAATGTTACAATTTGTTTTTATAAAAATTTAATTATGGCAATTTTTTTAATTAAAATTTTTGAAAAATTAATTACTTTCATATAATTTAAAAACTAATTTTTCAGAATTTAATTATATTTCTTTAAAGAATTCAACTATATTCAACTTTTGATTAAATTCTTCGCAAAATTTCAATTTTTTCATAAATATATAATAAATTCTTCAAAGAAATTCATTATTTTCATTAATAATAAAATTCTTCGGAGGAATTCAATTAATTTTAATTGAATTTTAATACAATTTCTGAAAGAATACAATTATTTTTAAAAATATTAATTAAATTCAATTATTTTCAAAAATATTGAAAAATTTTTCGAAATGGTTCAATTATTTTATAAATAATAAAATTTTTCAAAGGAATTCAATGATTTGGCAATACAATATTTTAAAATTGAAATATTTTAAAAAAAATGATTAAAAAAGTTAGGAAACAAAAAGTAATCAACTAACTTCAACTGCGAACAGATTACCAGAATACAACGATTATTAATATAGATAATTAAATTTTTCGAATATATATCCATTCTAAAAATATTTTTAATTAAAATTTTGTAAAATTTAATTGAAAATATTTATTATTTTCAAGTATTTTGTTACAATTTTTTGAAATCAACTTTTGAAGAATTTTAATTACAAATTCTGAAAATAATTTGAATTATATTAAAAATTTTAATAAAAAATCTTTAAATGTAAATTCAAAATGAAAATTAGTTTCTAATTTTTTTCAAATTAATATTTTTCCGTAATTTCAATTACAATATAATTCAAATACATACAGTTCCCATTATTATAAAAATTGAGTTTTGTATTAAAATTCTTAAAATTTCTAGAAGAACTTTCTGAAAATTATTTGAAATAATTGATTTAAAGATGAAGTTTAGGTTTAAAATTATGTAAAAATAATTTAATTCAGAAAGGGTTATAATTGTAATTTTTAGAAATTTTTAAAATTCATAATTTTACTCATTTTCCGTAAACTTTCTATTTTCCTGTAAAAAGAATTTTGTCAGGGAAAATAATTTTAATGTCAGTAATTGTTAGGGAAATTGATAAACTGAAAACTTATGACCACCCTGCTGTTATTGTTATTTATTTTTTTTTTGTTGCAATTTTCCTAAATACCTGAGAGAAAGCCTAAGAAAAATAGTCGAACTCGAGCTATTTGTTTTCTCTATATGGCCTTCTGAACTTTGTTCCACATAAAGTTCATCGATACTGATATTTGAACCTCTTCCATTTTATACTGCCAAGCGCGTCCCTATGTGCTGATAATCTAAAAAGAGCTTCTTTCAATTGCCGAAGAAAATTCCTTCATATCCTCATAATTATGAGATGCTATTTTAAAAAGTTGTGATATCTGTAAGGAAAATAATTTACTATTTTAATTTAATAATTTTCCTTTTTTTTTAATTTTTAATTTCAATTATTGTTGAAGAAAAAGTCGAATTTTTAAGTTTCAAAGAAAAACATTGATGTTTAGTAATCGAAAAAGAAAATATTAATGTTTAATGTTCAAAAAGGATATGTTCGGAAAAGAAAATATTGAAAATTTAATGTTCGAAAAGAAAATATTGAATATTTAATGTTCGGAAAAGAAAATTTGACGATTTTGTTTTTTTTTTTTCTTATACCTGAGGTGCATGTTCGACGGGAAGACCTAATTCTCTTCTTCAAATCACTACCAATTCCTGACGCCCTGATAATCGCCCTGAATTGCTAAGCTGCGAATTGGCTTAATTTGTTTGTTAATCTTTCAGCTTTCGTCACTTGACCGGGACGAACGCCAGGCCCTCTCCTTATAGACGATTATTGCAATTTGACAGTAAATATTTTGCCATAGTGATCAAATTGCTGGGCTCCAATTTCCGATACTGAATAGCACGGTAGTAGGGGCAATTCTTGAAATGGTCCTATCGTCCTTAGTCGGAATAGTTGAACAGCCGGATTGTCGTCCCTGATAGACGAGTCGAACGAAGATTTTCTTCCAAAATCTCTGTCCTGTTATTTTCTTCTTGTTCGGCTGACGGAGTTGCATTTTCCCAACCATCGCCTGTGTATGTCACTCTTGGAAAATCTTCCAATGGTTGACTGACGGACGTCCTCGTCAAACAGAGGCGTTGGCGGTGTCTCCTAATTTGGAAAATTTATCGTTTATTTATTATCTTCTGATTTTGCTAAAAAGGTTCCTCGCTTCTTTGTAAATTGAATTGAATTCTCAATTTGATTTTAGATTTCTTTGAATTTTAGGCACAATTATCAATTGTGATTGTGACACAGAATCAATTATTTATTAATTTGAGAGTTGAAATCTTACCTGAGAATCGGTACGTTTAATTTCAGCCTGTTCAATATTAGAACGGCGCGTAAGCTTCTTGAGCAAAACCATCAGACTTGTCGCGAAGGATTGGAAGCGCAAAGTAGCTCAGAGTACGCGGAATTTTGCGACTTTTAGGTGGAGGTGCGAGTATTGGAACTGGACCCTCTTCACCTTGTCTCAGTTCTCTCCTTCTTTAGGTCTGTTGCGAAATTTCAATTTTCAACTTCGACTACATACTTTCAAGGTTTCTATTTTTTTTTTTTCCTATTTTACTATTTTTTTAGTTTCTTCTTTCCCTCTTTTCTATTTTTCTATATTCTTTTTTTTTCTATTCCACTTTTAATTTTTTTTTACTATTTAATTAGCATCAAACGCGAGCGTGAAATTTTATAGCCCATTGTTAGGAACAAAGACTTCTTTTTTGAAATTTAATAAATTTATTATTTTTTAAAAATATATTCTTCAAAAAAACGATTATATTTTAAAACAATCTTTAAAAATGTAATAAATTAAATTTCATTTCAATATAAAATTTATTTTTAATTAAAATTTTAAAACAACCAAACTCAACTTTTTATTACCTTTTTTTTTAATTTTTTAAAAAATTATTAATTTCGGTAATTGGAATTATCTTAAAAAAATTTTAATTAATTTTTTAAAACCGCACCTAATTTTTTTTAGAACTATCTATATTAAATTAACTCAAAATTCATATTTTTTTTGTTTAAAATACAGATTTTTTAGACCCTTATGAGTTGCTCTATTTAAATTGAATTCTCACTCAAATAAAACATATTTCATATGTAAGAAACTTTTTGAAATTTAATATATTAAAAAATAATTAATATATAATAGATATTTACAATTATCGCTTTTTTTTCCAAATTTTGTTTAAATAATTAAATAAATTCTGTTATATTCCGCTTCGCTTCTAATATCACTGATTTTTTTTCCCAAATTTGAACTGAATTTCTCTTCAATTCAATTCTATATTAATTCATAAAAACGTAAATTTGATTTCGTAAATACAGTCAAATTTTTTTGTACAATTACATTACTTATTTTAAAAATTTTTACTTTGAAAATAGTTTAAATGTTCCTGAAAAATAATTTTAGAAATTAGAACGAAAATAGGAAATTTTTTCCTAAAAATTTCGTTAAATAAATATTTAATACTTCAACATTTAGTTTCCCCTCATTTTAACAAATTATTTTTTTAATGAAATTTGAGAAAATTTCCTATTTATTCATTTTTTTAAAAATTATTTCGGAAATTCAACTATTTTTAAAATAATTTAATTGATATTTTTTAAAAACCTCATTTTTCGGAATTTCTAAATATATTTTTCAAATTTCATTAATTTTTGTTTAAATTAATATTTGAATACTTATTTTTATTTAATTTGTCCACCAGGAATTAAAATTTCAAAATACTTTCAATGTAAATCCTTTTGAAATTTAATTATTTCGAAAAATTAGAACTGCAATTTTCAATTCTTCAAATATTTTTAAAATTTTAACTGAAATTCTTTTTCAAATCAATTCTATTAATACGTTGTGCGAGAATTCAATTATTTAATTATACAAAAATAAGTGATAAAATAAATGATTATTTATAAAAATTGCAACTGTAATTCTACTTAAATGGATTTTTTTAATTGAGAAAGAAAGTTCGTGGACTATTTAAGATTTTGAATAATTTTTTTAATACTTTTGAAAAATTTCCGCATTTTAGTTATTTCTCTGTTCTGTGAAAATCATGTTATTGTAAAAATTCTAATTATATTAATTTCACTAAAACAATAATTCTTTATTTACAAATTATAATTGTCTAACTTTGACATGAGAGTTTTAGCTATAAAATAATTTCGAATCAAAAAAGTCCTAACTTCTCCTGAGGGCAGAATATCTCGATTTTTATTATATTTAAATAAATAATTTTCTTTTTTTCTATTTACTTTTCTATTTTTTTCTATTTTCTTTGTTTTCTATTTTACTATTTAAATTTCTTTTCTTCATTTACTGCTTTACTATTTTTCTATTTCTTTTTTTTCTATTTTACTATTTAATTTTTTTTCTCGATTTTACTATTTTACTATTTTCTAATATTTTTTTTTTCTCTATTTTTCTGTTTTTCTATTTCCCTTTTTTACTATTTAATTTGTTCCCCTATTTTCTATTTTTTCTTTTTAGAAGACAAAAATAAATTCGGGGAGAGGCAATACATACTTGATATATACACTAAAATCGGGAGCATCGTCAGAATCTCCAGATTCGGTTCGTTTCATTGCAGCTTCTTGCGGTGGTGCTGTCATACTCAGGAAGGAATCGAATCCCCCGATTCATCAAATCCAGTGAAAGCAGCGTCTGAACTCGCAACTGTTGAATCTCCCCATACTAAAAAGTTTCCATCAAGAAGAATATTATTTTATTAGCAAAATATAAAAAATAGAAGGAGAGAAAAATAGAAAAAATAGAAGAAGAAAAAATATAAAAAAAATATCATTTTTCTTCTTCTTCTTAAATGACTTGTGACTACGTCGAGAATGGAAATAAATAGAACAGAAGAAGAAGAAGAAGAAAATAGAAAAAAGAATAGAAAGAAGAAAAAATAGAAATTACAAACCCGTCGGAAGTATCCATTCCCATTGAACACCAGAGAAAGGATCGTAAAATTGTTTCCACTTGGTTCGGCAGCTTATCAAAATTCGATGCAAACGCATCGAATGAATCGGCAGTCTCCTCCATTACATTGGGGAAATTATTTATTTCATTTGTAAAGTAACCATCATTTTTGGCGAAATCCGTTGGCGTTGTTTTAAAATCCAAATCATTTATTGCTGTTGAATCAACAGCGGGGGTAATTATTACTGGAATATCGTTTGCATTGTCACGTGTGTAAACACTTTCTATAGATGTAAAGAAAGATCCATCGCTTGTATTTGTTGGTGAAATTGCTGTAAACATTGTTGATCCCATTTCGGGAGCTCCGAAATTTGTTTTTTCAGTCACGGAAGACAAATTTGCATCTGACGATAATATATCAGATCCTGGTGACATAGATTTTTCGGTAATTACCGTTGGTAACACCTCGTTTGCGTTTAATGGTAATATCGTTTCTGATGCTAGATAATCGGGCATTGTTGATTCTGTTCCTGTCGAAAAAGAAAATGGTAATTCATTTTTATCCATTACTTGTTGATAATGTTAATTTGTAATTAGTATGATTAAATTAAACTTTTTAGGAAGTATGATTGTTCGGTTAAGTGACAGTTTCGATTAGGGGTAATTCAGTTTAATTTCAATTCGGATTTATGTCAATTCAGGATATTTGACAGTTAGAAAAATTCTCCAGCTTCTGGAAAAGTCGTAGGAATTTTCTTTAATCTTCTGGAATTTTAGAAATAATAATCTAACTTTAGTTATACTTTCTGTATTCAGGGTTTCCGCCGTTCAGGAAAATTAGGAAAAATTCAGGGAATTATGTTAATACTGGAAAATTAATTAGTATTTAATTAATTTCATTTCTTAGAAATGATTTTTGAAATTATTAAATGTCAGATTTAATTTAGTTCTATAACTCCTCCAGAAATACAATTAATTGAAACCAGAATATTAAAAATGTAATAAAATCCTATAGAATATTTTTAATATTCTGATTTCAAAAAAAATGAATTTTTGAAAGTCTTACAGAATTAAACAGAAGGTTTTAAAATTGCAATTTTGAAAATTTGAATTATTATAGAAAAACATGTACAATATGACTTTTTCACAATAATTTTAGTTTTTAATCATTTTTATTCAAAAAACGAAGGAAAATTAAGTTTTTGAAAAATTTCTATTTTGTTTAAACTTTACTTTTTAAATATATTTAATTAAATAGAAACTTTTAATTATTTGAAATTTTGGAAAATTTTAACGAAAGTAAACGAATTTTATTATTTTTAGAAAATAAATGAATTTTTCAAGAATTTTAATTTAAAAAATTGTTAAATAAGTGAATTTATGAAAGTCTCAATTAAGGAGATTCTCCGATTTTTTTAATTAAAAGAGCAACATTAAACTCTTCTAATTGTATCTAGAAACAAATAAACTTTGAACGAGTTTCGATTACAATTTTCTTACGTCAGTTCTATTGAGAAGATAAAATTTTTAATTTCAAATATATTCAATAATAATTCAAGTTTCGATGAATTTTGTCGAAATACCTACTAAAAGAAATTATATTTTTCAAAATTGCAACTTAATTATATAATTAACACAAATTTAATTAATTTTAAAGATCTCTGAATTCTCGACAATAATTACTTGAAAAATTTGCGAATTGAAATTTCGTTAAATTTTATGTAAAAGAATTTTATATTTTGAAAGTTTAAATTAAATTATTTAAAATAGTCAAGTTTTGGAAAAATTAGGAAATAATTGAATTTTTGGGAGAATTATAATTGAAATTATGTTGGGGACTAAGGAAAAAAAAAATTCAAAGCATTTTCTTAATTATAATGATCCGAAAGTTTTGAACGTTCAAATGAACGAAATATTTTTTATTAAAAATATTTTCATAAATTACTGATTGCAATAAAAATTATAAACTTAAATTTTATTTTATAAACTTTAGAATATTTTTTTTTATAGTGACGCAAAATGCAATTTATTGTTGCAATAAAATGTAATTTCCTTTATTTCAACCTTCAGAACTTTAAGATCATTAATTATGATTAAAGTTCTCGGGATTAAGAAATAGAGGAATTTTGTTTAAAAATCAGGAAAGAGAATTAAATTTTTGATAATCGTTGGTAAAAACCAGTTTTGGAATTAAAATTATAATTTTAATTCCAAAAAACTGGTTTTACAACGATTATCAAAATTTTAATTTCTCTTTCCTGATTTTTAAACAAATTCCTCTATTCTTAAATCCCGAGAAACTTTAATCATAATTAATGATCTTAAAGTTCTGAAGGTGAAATAAAGAATTAAATTTTGTTTGCAACAATAAATTGCATTTTGCGTCACTATAAAAAAAAAATAATTCTAAAGTTTATAAATATAATTTAAGTTTATAATTTTTATTGCAATCAGTAATTTCTGAAAATATTTTGAATAAAAAATATTTCGTTCATTGAACGTTCAAAACTTTCGGATCATTATAATTAAGAAAATGCTTTGAATTTTTTTTCCTTAGTCCCAACAATAATTTCAATTATAATTCTCCCAAAAATTCAATTATTTCCTAATTTTCCAAAACTTGACTATTTTAATAAATTTAATTAAAACTTTTCAAAATATAAAATTCTTTTACATAAAATTTAACGAAATTTCAATTCGCAAATTTTTCAAGTAATTATATTGTCGAGAATTCAGAGATCTTTAAAAATTAATTAAATTTGTGTTAATTATATAATTAAGTTGCAATTTTGAAAAAATATAATTTCTTTTAGTAGGTATTTCGACAAAAATTCATCGAAACTTGAATTATTATTGAATATATTTGAAATTAAAAAATTTTAATCTTCTCAAATAGAACTGACGTAAGAAAATTGTAATCGAAAACTGTTCAAAGTTTATTGTTTCTAGATACAATAGAAGAGTTTAATGTTGCTCTTTTAATTAAAAAAATCGGAGAATCTCCTTAATTGAGACTTTTCATAAATTCACTATTTAACAATTTTTTAAATTAAAATTCTTGAAAAATTCATTTATTTTCTAAAAATAATAAAATCGTTACTTTCGTTAAAATTTTCCAAAATTTCAAATAATTAAAAGTTTCTATTTAATTAAATATATTAAAAAGTAAAGTTTAAACAAAATAGAAATTTTCAAAAAACTTATTTTCCTTCGTTTTGAAAATAAAATGATTAAAAACTAAAATTATTGTGAAAAAGTCAATATTGTACATGTTTTTCTATAATATTCAAATTTTCAAAAATTGCAATTTTAAAACCTTCTGTTTAATTCTGTAAGACTTTCAAAAATTCATTTATTTTGAAATCAGAATATTAAAAATATTATAGGATTTTATTACATTTTAATATTCTGGTTTCAAATTAATTGTATTTCTGGAGGAGTTATAGAACTAAATTAAATCTGACATTTAATAATTTCAAAAATCATTTCTAAGAAATGAAATAATTAAATACTAATTAATTTCCAGTATTAACATAATTCCCTGAATTTTTCCTAATTTTCCTGAACGGCGGAAACCCTGAATACAGAAAGTATAACTAAAGTTAGATTATTATTTCTAAAAATTCCAGAAGATTAAAGAAAATTCCTACGACTTTTCCAGAAGCTGGAGAATTTTTCTAACTGTCAAATATCCTGAATTGACATAAATCCGAATTGAAATTAAACTGAATTACCCTAATCGAAACTGTCACTTAACCGAACAATCATACTCCTAAAAAGTTTATTTAATCATACTAATTACAAATTAACATTATCAACAAGTAATGGATAAAAATGAATTACCATTTTCTTTTTCGACAGGAACAGAATCAACAATGCCCGATTATCTAGCATCAGAAACGATATTACCATTAAACGCAAACGAGGTGTTACCAACGGTAATTACCGAAAAATCTATGTCACCAGGATCTGATATTATCGTCAGATGCAAATTTGTCTTCCGTGACTGAAAAAACAAATTTCGGAGCTCCCGAAATGGGATCAACAATGTTTACAGCAATTTCACCAACAAATACAAGCGATGGATCTTTCTTTACATCTATAGAAAGTGTTTACACACGTGACAATGCAAACGATATTCCAAGTAGTAATAATATTACCCCCGCTGTTGATTCAACAGCAATAAATGATTTGGATTTTAAAACAACGCCAACGGATTTCGCCAAAAATGATGGTTACTTTACAAATGAAATAAATAATTTCCCCAATGTAATGGAGGAGACTGCCGATTCATTCGATGCGTTTGCATCGAAATTTGATAAGGCTGCCGAACAAGTGGAAACAATATTTACGATCCTTTCTCTGGTGGTTCAATGGGAAGGATACTTCCGACGATGGTTTGTAATTTCTATTTTTCTTCTATTCTATTCTTTTTCTATTTCTTCTTCTTCTTCTTCTGTTCTATTTTATTCCATTCTCGACGTAGTCACAAGTCATTTAAGAAGAAGAAGAAAAATGATATTTTTTTATATATTTTCTTCTTCTATTTTTTCTATTTCTTCTCCTTCTATTTTTATATTTTGCTAATAAAATAATATTCTTCTGATGGAAACTTTTTAGTATGGGGAGATTCAACAGTTGCGAGTCAGACGCTGCTTTCACTGGATTTGATGAATCGGAGGGATTCGATTCCTTCCTGAGTATGACAGCACCACCGCAAGAAGCTGCAATGAAACGAACCGAATCTGGAGATTCTGACGATGCTCCCGATTTTAGTGTATATATCAAGTATGTATTGCTCTCCCGAATTTTTTTTGTCTTCTAAAAAAGAAAAATAGAAAAATAGGGGAACAAATTAAATAGTAAAAAAGGGAAATAGAAAAACAGAAAAATAGAGAAAAAAAAAAAAATATTAGAAAAATAGTAAAATAGTAAAATCGAGAAAAAGAAAATTAAATAGTAAAATAGAAAAAAAAGAAATAGAAAAATAGTAAAGCAGTAAAATGAAGAAAAAGAAATTTAAATAGTAAAATAGAAAACAAAGAAAATAGAAAAAAATAGAAAAGTAGTAAATAGAAAAAAAGAAAATTATTTATTTAAATATATAAAAATCGAGATATTCTGCCCTCAGGAGAAGTTAGGACTTTTTGATTCGAAATTATTTATAGCTAAAACTCTCATGTCAAAAGTTAGACAATTATAATTTGTAAATAAAAGAAATTATTGTTTTAGTGAAATTAATATAATTAGAATTTTTACAATAACATGATTTTCACAGAACAGAGAAATAACTAAAATGCGGAAATTTATCAAAAGTATTAAAAAAATTATTCAAAATCTTAAATAGCCACGAACTTCTTTCTCAAATTAAAAAAAATCCATTTAAGTAGAATTACAGTTGCAATTTTATAAATAATCAATTATTTATCACTTATTTTTGTATAATTAAATAATTGAATTCTCGCACAACGTATTAATAAGAATTGATTTGAAAAAGAATTTCAGTTAAAATTTTAAAAAATATTTGAAGAATTGAAAAATTGCAGTTCTAATTTTTCGAAATAATTAAATTTCAAAAGGATTTACATTGAAAGTATTTTGAAATTTAATTCCTGGTGGACAAATTAAATAAAAATAAGTATTCAAATATTAATTTAAACAAAAATTAATGAAATTTGAAAAATATTATTTAGAAATTCCGAAAAATGAGGTTTTTAAAAAATATCAATTAAATTATTTTAAAAATAGTTGAATTGAATTTTAAAAAAATAATTTTTAAAAAATGAATAAATAGGAAATTTTCTCAAATTTCATTAAAAAAATAATTTTTTAAAATGAGAAAATAAAATTGTTTGAAGTATAAAATTTTTTTTAACGAAATTTTTAGAAAATTTCCTATTTTTTCTATTTTTAAAATTATTTTCAGGAATTTAACTATTTTCAAAGTAAAAATTTTAAAAATAATTAAATTTTACAAAAAAATTTTGTATTTAAAAAATTCAATTATCGTTGAATTCTAATAAGAATTGAATTGAAAGAGAATTTCAGTTAAATTTGGAAAAATAGTTGAATATTAGAAGCGATATAACAGAATTTATTTAATTATTTAAAAAATTTGAAAAGTAATAATATTGAAATATTATTATATATTTAATTTTTAATAATTAAATTTCAAAGTTTCTACATTGAAATTATTTGAAATTTCAATTTAAATAGATAACAATAAGTTTCTAAATATTTATTTAACAAAAAATATTGAATTTTTGAATAATTTAATATAGATATTCTAAAAAAAATTAGGTTTTAAAAAACTAATTAAAATTTTTTCAAGATAATTCAATTCCCGAAAATAATTTTAAAAATTAAAACAAAATAAAAGTTTTTTAAAATTTTATTAAAATAAATTTATATTTGAATGAATTTAATTTTATTACATTTTAAAGATTGTTTTAAAATATAATCGTTTTTTGAAGAATTATATTTTTAAAAAAATAATAAATTTCATTAAATCAAAAAAGAAGTCTTTGTTCCTAACAATGGGCTATAAATTTCACGCTCGCGTTTTGTATTGCTAATTAAATAGTAAAAAAAAATTAAATAGTGGAATAGAAAAAAAAAGAAATAGAAAAATAGAAAAAGAGGGAAAGAAGAAACTAAAAAAAATAGTAAATAGGAAAAAAATAGAAAATCCTTGAAATATGTATTCGAAGTTGAAAAAATTGAAATTTTCGCAACAGACCTAAAGAAGGAGAGCAACTGAGACAAGGTGAAGAGGGTCCAGTTCCAATACTCGCACCTCCACCTAAAAGTCCGCAAAATTCCGCTTACTCTGATGCTACTTTGCGCTTCAATCCTTTCGACAAAGTCTGCTGGTTTTGCTCAAGAAGCTTACGCGCCGTCTAATATTGAACAGGCTGAAATTAAACGTACCGATTCTCAGGTAAGATTCTCAACTCTCAAATTTAAAAATAATGATTCTGTGTCACAATCACAATTGATAATTGTGCCTAAAATTCAAATAAATCTAAAATCAAATTAGAATCAATTCAAATTTACAAAGAAGCGAGGAAAACTTTTTAGCAAAATCAGAAGATAATAAAATAACGATAAATTTTCCAAATTAGGAGACACCGCCAACGCCTCTGTTTGACGAGGACGTCAGTCAACCATTGGAAGATTTTCAAGAGTGACATACACAGGCGATGGTTGGGAAATGCAACTCCGTCAGCCGAACAAGAAGAAAATAAACAGGACAGAGATTTTGGAAGAAAATCTTCGTTCGACTCGTCTATCAGGGCGACAATCCGGCTGTTCAACTATTCCAGACTAAGGACGATAAGGATCCATTTCAAGAATTGCCCCTACTACCGTGCTATTCAGTATCGGAAATTGGAGCCCAGCAATTTGATCACTATGGCAAATATTTTACTGTCAAATTGCAATATATCGTCTATAAGGAGAGGCCTGGCGTTCGTCCGGTCAAGTGACGAAAGCTGAAAGATTAACAAACAAATTAAGCCAATTCGCAGCTTATGCAATTCAGGGCGATTATCAGGGCGTCAAGGAATTTGGTAGTGATTTGAAGAAATTAGGTCTTCCCGTCGAACATGCACCTCAGGTATAAAGAAAAAAAAACAAAATCGTCAAATATTTCTTTTCCGAACATTAAATATCAATATTTTCTTTTTCGAACATTAAATTTTCAATATTTCTTTTCCGAACATATCCTTTTGAACATTAAACATTTAATATTTTCTTTTCGATTACTAAACATCAATGTTTTTCTTTGAAACTTTAAAAATTCGACTTTTTCTTCAACAATAATGAAATTAAAAATTAAAATAAAAGGAAAATTATAAATTAAAATAGTAATTATTTTCCTACAGATATCACAACTTTTAAAATAGCATCTCATAATTATGAGGATATGAAGGAATTTTCTTCGGCAATTGAAGAAGCTCTTTTTAGATTATCAGCACATAGGGATCGAGCTTTGCAGTATAAAATGGAAGAGGTTCAAATATCAGTAGTCGATGAACTTTATGTGGAACAAAGTTCAGAAGGCCATATAGAGAAACAAATAGCTCGAGTTCGACTATTTTTCTTAGGCTTCTCTCAGGTATTTAGGAAAATTTGCAACAAAAAAAAAATAAATACCAATAACAGCAGGGTGGTCATAAGTTTCAGTTTATCAATTTCCCTAACAATTTACTGACATTAAAATTATTTTCCCTGACAAAATTCTTTTTACAGGAAATATGAAAGTTTACGGAAAATGAGTAAAATTTATGAATTTTAAAAATTTCTAAAAATTACAAATATAACCCTTTCTGAATTAAATTATTTTTACATAATTTTTAACTAAACTTCATCTTTAAATCAATTATTTCAAATAATTTTCAGAAAGTTCTTCTAGAAAATTAAGATTTAAATACAAAACTCAATTTTTATAATAATTGGAACTGTATGTATTTGAATTATTATGTAATGAAATACGGAAAATATTTAATTTTAAAAAATTAGAAACTAATTTTCATTTTTGAATTTACATTTAAAGATTTTTTATAAAAATTTTAATATAATTCAATTATTTTCAGAATTTGTAATTAAAATTCTTCAAAAGTTGATTTTCAAAAAATATTGTAACAAAATACTTGAAAATAATAAATTATTTTCAATTAAATTTTACAAAATTTTAATTAAAAATATTTTTAGAATGGATATATATTCGAAAAATTTAATTATCTATATTAATAATCGTGTATTCTGGTAATCTGTTCGCAGTTTGAAGTTAGTTGATTACTTTTTGTTTCCTAACTTTTTTAATCATTTTTCTTTAAAATATTTTCAATTTTAAAATTATTGTATTGCCAAATCATTGAATTCCTTTGAAAAATTTTATTATTTATAAAAAATAATTGAACCATTTCGAAAAATTATCAATATTTTGAAAATAATTGAATTTAATTAATATTTTAAAAATAATTGTATTCTTTCCAGAAATTGTATGTAAAATTCAATTAAAATTAATTGAATTCCTCCGAAGATTTTATTATTAATGAAAATAATTGAATTCTTTGAAAGAATCTTAATTTATGAAAAAATTGAAATTTTGCGAAGAATTTAATCAAAATGGTGAATATAGTTGAATTCTTTAAAGAATTATAATTAAAATTCTGAAAAATTAGTTTTTAAATTATATGAAAAGTAATTAATTTTTCAAAATTTTAATTAAAAAAATTGCCATAATTAAATTTTTATAAACAAATTGTAACATTTTTTAATTTTTATAGAAAATAATTAATATTTTACAAGAATTTCTTAAAAATTTTGAAAAAATTGATTTTTAAAAAGAAATTTTACAGTCAATTTTAGAAATAATTGAATTTTTGAGATTAACTCATTTCAGAATTACTTTAATTATTTTCAAAAATTAAATTTTGGAATTATAATTGAAATTTCTTAAGTTTTAAAGAAGATATTTGAACATTTTTCAAGAAAATTTATTAAACATTGAAATTCAGGAATTTTAAGGAATTTTACAGAAGAAAAGATTTAAATAACTCAAAGGAACCAAGAAGGAAAAAAATTTGAATAATTGAAATAATTGAATGTTTGCAAAGACTTTACTATTTAAAAAAATAATTGAATTGTTTCAATGGATTTATTCAAATTTTAGAAAATAATTGAATCTTTCATGAAATTTTATTAAAATTATATGAAAATAATTCAATTCTTGTGAAGAATTTTACTATATTTATAAAAATATTGAATTCTTCCGAAAAATTTTTTATTTATGAAAATAATTGAATTCTTACGAAGAATTTTATTAAAATTTTTGAAATTAATAAACGAGAATAATTAATTAGTAAATTAGTTAATAATTGAATTTTTTAATGTTGGAATCTGAAATTATTCAAAAAATTCAAATTAAAAATAAAAAATTTTGTAATTTGCATAATAATAATAAATCGAACATCACTTATCTAGGTAGTAAAATCTAAAATCTAAAATGAATTTTTTTTTTGTCGTCAAATTTAATTTTTTGTAAACTACTTTTTTACTCCTTCTTTTTACTCTTAAAGCTCCGTTTGCTATTTTTTCAAAATTTTTAACGAATGCGAAGCCTGCAACAAATAAAATTCAAAATTTTAAATTTCTAAATTGCTAATAAAATTCTAATTTTATTGACGAATAAAATGAGATATTTATTGAAATTCTCTTTCCTCAGGAATGCCTGACGTTGAATTGGGTGTCAATGACATGAGAAGACAGGGAAAAGAAGTGGTTGGTCGCCACGATATTATTCCAGTTGTCACTGAAGAATGAATGGATAAGATTAGAAAACGTCGAATTTCACTCTTGCATCAACAAGATGAATTTGAAGATTCGAAAATTATAAGGTACTGCAAATATTTTCTTTTATTCTCGAAGAATAAAGGGAAAAAAAAAAAAAATTAAATTTCGAAAAAAAATCAAAATAAGAGAAAAAAAGAGAAAATTTAAAAATACCTCAAAGAAATATAAAGAAAAATTTCTTTTAGATAACAAATATGTACAGGAAACATTTCTTTTACTTTCGAAGCATAAAAGAAAAAACTTAAATTTTCATAATAAAAATCAAAAGAGAAAATTTTTAAAATACCTCAAAGAAATATAAAGAAAAATTCTCCTTTAGATAAAAAATTACAAGCTACAGGAAATATTTTTTTCATTCCGTAAAAAGAAAAAAATGTTCAATAATTTTTAAAAATAAATAAGGAGAAAATTAACAATTTTTCTTCTAGATTCAAACCCCCAGATGGGTGTTACATGAACTGTTAAGATTTCGAGTGAGGCCACCGAAAAATCGTGAATTACCCCTTCAACTAAAATGCGTCTTTTGCGTCACGGGAAATAAGGTAAAATATCGAAATCCATTTTATCGTTGATCATGGAAAATTTTAAACGACCATTAAATATGAATATAATTTTCTAACTAGGTGGAAATAAGAGCGGATATACTCGTTCCGGGTTTCACATCGAGAAAATTGGGTCAAATTCCCTGTGAAGATGTCATGGTGAGAATACCAATTCCGAATGTTGGATATATCTCTTAGAGTTGAGAAACACTTTAGATATGGTTCAGTTAAATCCGCTCATCGGCGAACGGGAAAAATTAAGGGCATCGAAAGATTCCTCGGCGCTGTTGATAATCTTGAACCACAACTTATGGAAGCTACTTCCGGACAAGCGAAGTATGAACATCAACACAAGGCTATTGTATGGAGAATGCCACGATTGCCTAAGGAAGGACAGGGTAAGATTTTGTGAATTAATATCATGTCAAATTTTTTTCTAATATTATTTTTTTTAATAATAATAATCAATTCAATATCAGGGTTGCAAAAAAAGTTTAATTCTCTTTTTCCCTGAATTCTTTTTCGATTTCCAGACAGACTTTTGATTTTCCCTAATTTCAAAAAAAAAGTAAATAAAATATATATTTAAATTAAAGGGGAGTTGAATTATTAAAACAGGACGATTTTTAGGAGTTAAAAATTAATTTAAAATCTTAAAAGGTCTAAGAATTTAAAAAAATAATTAATTTACATAAACTACTGTGAAGAACTTCCCTCGATTCTTTTCAAAAATTTAAATAAAATATTCTTTTGAAACCCTTAATTATTTTTAATAGAATTTTAGGAAAATTTCATGATCAACATAAGTTTTAAACGTTCAAATGAATGAAAAATTTTCTATGAAAATTATTTCATCAATTACTGCGATTGCAATATTAAATATTTTGAATCTTAAATTATGCATTTAGAGACTAAAATTAATTTTTGTTTGATAGTGACGCAAAAATATTGTAATAACAATTCAATTTACAAAAAAAATAAATAAATTCGTTTAATTAAACATTCAAAACATTAGGATCAAAATTTAAATTATTTGGAAAATTTTCAATACTTTTTCAGAAAAATTAAATTATATTTTTATAAAACGTAGAATTTAAAATTTTTTTAAATTTCAAAAACCTAATTCTTCAGAATTTTAAATAAAAATTTTCCAAACTTCACTCTATAGAAAACAATTGTAAACTTAAATCTTCTTAAAATTTACTAAATAATTTAATTACTGTGATTAACTTCCTCGATTATTTTCAAAAATTTCAATAAAATTCGTTTAAAAATTCAATTATTTCTAAAAAATGTCATTTCAATGAAATCCTATTAAGAAATTCAATATTTTAAAAGAATTTAGTGAAATTTCAATTATTTCTAAAAATGTCAATTCAATTAATTCTTTTAAAAATTCAATTATTTCTAAAAATGTCAATTCAATTAAATTCTTTTAAAAATTCAATTATTTCTAAAAAAATGTCAATTTTAATGAAACACTTTAAAAAAATTCAATGACTTTTAATAGAATTTTAGGACAATTCCAATTATTCTAAAATGTCAATTTCAATAAATTTCGTTTAAAAAATTCATTTATTTCTAAAAAAAATGTCAATTTCAATGAAATCGTTTTAAGGAATTCAATATTTTTAAAAGAATTTTAGTAAAATTTCAATTATTTCTAAAAATGTCAATTTCAATTAAATTATTTTAAAAAATGCAATTAATTTAAATAGAATTTTAGGAAAATTTCCATTTTTTCTAAAAAATATCAATTTCAATAAAATCCTTTTGAAAAATTCAATTATTTTTAATAGAATTTTAGAACAATTCCAATTTTTATAAAAATGTCAATTTTAATTAAATTCTTTTAAAAAATAAAATTAATTTTAATAGAATTTCAGGAAAATTTCAATTATTTCTAAGAATATCAAATTTCAATAAAAATCCTTTTGGAAAATTCAATTATTAACATTTACTTAATCTAGAATTAATTTCCTAAAGGTAATAAATAACATTTTGTAAGAAAATTAAATCTTAAAAAAATTGCTATTAATTCTAAAATCTTTTCTAAGTTAATTATAATTATTAATTACATTGAGAAAGTTATTTATAATTTAATTATTTTAAATATATTTAATTATTTACCTATCTGAAATAAGAAAAATCAAAATTCTTCTAAAAATCATCTGATTTAAAAGTTTCTTGCTTAATAAAAATTCATGAAGAATTCGAAATTCTATAGGATTTCAAAAATATGTTTGAACACCAAAAACCAGGAATTTCGAAGTAATTCTAGATGTTTGATATTTTTTCACTACTTTCGATAAATTTCCGGACATTCTCCTTACTTCCTGACCGCAATTTCATTTTTCTTGACTTCTTCCCAATTTCCCTGCAATTTTCCTGACCTGTGACAAATCTGAAATTTAATAATTAATCGAGCAAAAATGAGTGATAAATTTAGAAAACAAATGCTGAACTGGGAATAATTGAAGAAAATCTAAAACAAAAATATTCTTTTTTTACAGGAGCTTATACAACGCATCAATTAGTTTGCCGTTTAGCATTAACGTCATATGACCAAATTCCTCCAAATTTAGCACAGTATTGTTATGTTGAATTTACAATGCCAGCAACACAAGTATCACACACGACAGCTAGAAGTGTTAGTTTCAGAAAATGATAGTGATGATCCACCGGAAAAATATGTACGAAATTTATCACGACACGAATACAGGTAAATTATTATTATTATTATTATAACAAATAATTCAGATTCACAAAATAAATAATTCAGAAGAAATACAAATTTATTTAAATTGAAGTAATTATAAATAAATTTATAATTTTATTCAAATTTAGATCATTTTTTAAATTTAAATTCAGATAATTTAAATAAATTTCAATTTATTCAAATTTAAATAATTTAAATAAATCTTGTAATTTCATTTAAATAAATTTCTAATTTTTTTTCACTTAAATTGAAGTAATTAAATAAGTTTTTAATTTTATTAAAATTCAGACAATTTAAAAATTTCCAAATTTTATTTAATTGAAAGAATTTAAAGAAAATGTCTCCACCAAAAGCAATGGAATGAAAATAGCAAATAACATCGCCGTCAATATATTCAACTCGGTCTAATATTATTGATTTTAAAGGTCGGTATTGAACACACAAAGTGTGAGGTCCGGGCGCTTATCTAACTGCAACGATAGCTAAACCAATTCCCGAATCAACACCAGAAACACATGAACCAACACCAGCTGATTCTGACTCTGATTCCTCAGAATAGTGCAATAAAATGTAAAATTTATTTTCCTTTTCTTTTTATTTTCCCCTTTTTTGTTTTAGCGAGAAGAAACAAAAAAATGAAGAATATAAGTGCGTATAATAATAAAGTAATGAGTTTAATGAGAAAAAAAAATAAGTTATAGAGAGATGTACCTAGCTATATAATATATGTTGCAAATTAATGTAAAATGTTGAATCTATTCTATACGATAATTTAGAAAACAAAAAGGCTTGGTTTTCCGCTATTGTGTTTGCAAAAAAATGGTTTGAGATTGAGTGTACTGATCTATTTAAATATATAGGATTATAAATATATATATAAAAAAAAAAAAAAATGTAACAAGAGTTCCATTTGTGAAATTATAAAAAATTGACGAAGGCAAAATTTATATGCGGGCGTGTAAAGACGAAGTATCGTATCAAGGTAACAAATAGAATTATAAATAAGATAAAAGGCGTGTTAAAGTATATTCAAAAATCTCAATTTTTTTGTGTTGTATTCAATATATATGGTATTATTCCAAATGTGATGATTCGCTTAAGTCAAGTGAATTTTTCGGAATTAATGAAAATGTTAATAGAGCACTGGAATTAATTTAAACAATGACAATAGTTTAAAAAAGTTGAAAATTAGTTAGAAAATTAACAATTGCTTTAAAAAATTAATTAATTTGAAAAGTTTTTGAAATTAAAAAAATGTTTTTAGAATACTGACAATTGTCAGTCAAATTAGTTTAAAAAGTTAACAATTAGTTTAAAAAATTAACAATTGTTTGAAAAATTAACAATTAGTTTGAAAAATTATCAATAAATTTGTAGAATTAACAATTAATTTAACCAATTAGCTAAAAAAAGCCAAAGAAAACATTTTGGAAGACAATGAAAAACTCGGAGAATGATTTTAAAAATTAATGAAAGTATATAAATTCTATATTTAACGAAAATTACTATTCTTCAAAAATATAGATAAAAAAAACAATGAAGATAATAAAAGTGTTAAAATTTGAATGAGAAAATCTCTGAAAAAAATTTTTATAATTATATGGAAAAATAAATCGCTTTATGACAAAAGTATATTTCAAATTGAGAATTTAAAAAATATCATAGTTGAGAAAATTTAAATAAATAGCAATAATATTATTGCTATATAGTAGTGAAATGGTAGTAAAATAGCAGTAAAATTAGTAGTAGAATAGTAATAGAATAGTAAATAAATAACAAAGAAAAATCTCTAAATTTAGTTAAGAATTATGTTAATAATAAATTTACATTTATTCTTTAAAAATTCACTCGAAACATTAAGTTCATCATACACTGACAATAAAAAAATATGTTTTATTTATTTATATTTTTAAAAAGACAATAAAATGATTATTTAAAAGCTATTGCAGGTTTCTCGAAGCTTAATCATCACAAAGAAGATATATTTATTTCGACAATTGTTCCCAAAGGAAGTGATTTAAATTTTTATTTAAGTTTCTACTTTTATTTATTTTACTTATTAGAATTTTGAAAATAATTGAATTCTTCCAAAAATTTTATTAAAAATTTTGAAATTCTATTCAAAATTCTATTTTATTTCTATTTCTAATTCTATTTCAATTCTATTTTTTAGAAATTTTATAAAAATTGTACTCAAAATTATTTTATAAAATTATTTTATAAATAATTAATTGAATTGATTTAAAAAATTTATCGGAAACTGTTGAGAATAATTGACTTCATTGAAAAATTTGTGAGTTTTTTAAAAATAATTTAATCTTTTTGAGAAATTTTATTAAAAATGTATTTAAAATAATAGAATTTCTATGAAGAATTTTATTATTTACAAAAAAATAATTATTCTAGAGAAGAATTTTAGTAAAATTTTAAAATAAATTGAATTAGTGTGAAGAATTTATTACTTACAAAACAAATAATTGAATTCTTGCCAAGAATTTTATCTTATAAAAAAATAATTCAATTCTAGAGAAGAATTTATTAAATAGTTTGAAAATAATGAATTCTTGCGAAGAATTTGATAAAAACTTTTGTAAATAATTGAATTCTTATAATAAAATTTTATCAAAACTTATTAAAATAATTCATTCTTTTAAAAAATTTTGTGTAAATTTAAAAAAAATAATTGAATCTTTTCGAGAAATTTCTTTAAAATGTATTAAAAATAATTGATTCTTATGAAGAATATCATTTAATTTTTGAAAATAACTAAATTCTTATACAAAATGTTATCAAAACTTTTGAAAATAATTAAATGTTATTAATAATAAACGTAATTAAAAAAGCCGTACTTTGCGAAATTAGTTAAAGGGAATATTTAACACAATTAATATATCGAAAGCTTTTTATTATTTATGAATTAATCTTTAGAGAAAATACGCGAATTATATTGTTTCACTAATGTAATCAATCGAAATTATAAATTCAATCGAAATTTATAAATCTAATATTAATCCAAATCTTTCAATTATGAATTAGTCATTAAAATTTACTTTATTTCAAATTTATCCAAATTTATAATACTCAAATATTAAATTCCATTTAATTAATTAAATTACTTCTGCTGCTATAAGAAAGAATAGAAAATTTGTATTTAATTACCCAATTTGTATAGAATTTTTCAGCTGACTTTTAATTTAATTTCCGGAAATTAAATTCTAGATAAAAATATTTAATAAAAATATTTTTATGAGTATTTTGGAATTTTCTGATGTTTTTTAACATTTTTTGTGTGTTTTGTCCTTTTTTTTTTGTCTTTTTTAGCGTTTTTTGTTTTTGTGTGTTTCTTTTTGTGTAGTAAAACTTTTTTCATTATATAAAATATAAAAAAAAAAAATTCCATCTCATCCCCTTCCGATACAGTGATTAATTAATCCACTTTTTTATCGAGTACCTTCGTCAAGCAGAAAAAAGAAAAAGAAAAGAAAAATAAGAAATCTTAATCTTGCTGGAAGAGAATTTCGAAAAGTGAAATCTAAGATGTAAGATTCGAACTAATTTTCAAGGATTCTCACGAAAGCCCAAAAAAAGAGGGAAATTCGTGTACGCAATTTTTTGTGTGTGCGATAGACCTACATCCTCTCTTCTGTTTATCGACCCCATGTACCAAGTATTTCCACCCTTTTACTGAGATGTGAGATTGTGTAAAATGACGCATGCTCATAGCTTTGTGCGGATCTTTTTGCTTATACGCTAGTTTATCGGGGGTCAAAGTAAGGGTATAACATTTTGATAAGTCAAAATTCAAGAATCCCATTTTTTCCTTTTTAAATGGAAGAAACTTGAAAAAGGTACCCACTCTCTCGATTTCTCACATTCACCTGAAAACAATCTTATTAAAAAATGAGTTTTAAATTCAAAATTCGCCAAAAATGTCATCTGGTGCTAGTTCTATGTTAGTGATTAATAAACAATTAAACGAAATGACAGAACGCTTCATCTTCCTTGTATACGTTCGGTGAATATAAAATATCAAAATGTGAATTTTCCCCAATAATTATTAATTTAAAAAAAAAATAGACTCTATAAACTATAAGAAAAGAGCATTTTTCCTTTTTCAGAAACGAGGAATTGTTTTAAAAAATTATGTGATAAATATTCAATTAAAAAAAAGTAAAATATTTCAACATTCGTGATTTAGTGGATTTAACAGTTAATAATTATTATAAAAATAAATAATAGAAATGAGTTCTAAATTAATAACCAAATAGTTGAAAAAATATAAAATATATATTAAAATTAATAAATATATCCAAATTTTAGAAACAATATTTAGATGAGTTAAACATAAAGAAAAAAAAAATAAATTATGAACGTTAATTACTTCAAAGAAATATAATAATATCGTAGAAGAAGTGCTATAATAGATTTTAAAGAAGAAAATAAATTATCTCCCCAAATAAAACAAAAGGCAACGCCCGAGGATTGTGAAGCTTCATCAATTTTCAATAGAGAAATGAAAAATATATAATTGCTAAATTTTCTCTAAATTTCCATTCTACATATTTAAATATAGAGAATAAGAAAAAAAAAAACTAGACGTCAACAAAGGATGTAACGAAAGTTTACAATATACGATTCTTAGGGAAAATTATTTTTCAAAAATAAAATTAAACAATGTATTAACATGAAAATTATTTCTAACGATATAAAGGAATAAAAAAATGAGGAAAAAATTGTCACTATTGGAAAAGAATCGAAATGACTCGTTTCATTATATTTAGGATATTCATCGTTTATGGACTTGTAAATGCAAAATTTAAGTTCACGAATTGTTAATAAAACAAACAATGGGAATATCGGGTTGTTTTATTTCACTTGGACCGTAATATGGAAAGTGTTGAAGTGTTTCGCGGGGTTCCCTATGCATCGCTCCCGTGGTTCACTTCGATTTATGCCACCTGTCAGCGGTGCAATTTGGCAAGGCGTTAAAGTTGCGAGGAATTGGACCAGTTTGCCCACAAAAATTCCATCATTAACGGATAAAATCCAAAAGGAAGACTCGAATCTTCGACGTATCTTACCTATTTGAAAAATCAAGAGCGAAGAGATTGTCTTTATCTAAATATTTACGCTCCAGTGAAAGGTAAGAAAAAATTTTATTTCTTAATGAGAATGTAAATGTGAATGAGAAAAGAAAAAAAAGAACTGTTTGAAAATATTATTTCGAAACAAAATGAAATTTTGAACTTTTTTTAGTGGTCGAGAGATATTGCTAGCAAAGATATCCAGTAATTGTATTTATTCATGGAGAGAGCTACGAATGGAGCAGTGGTCATCCTTATGATGGAAGTGTATAGCCAGCTATGGCGGTGTAGTTGTGGTCAATAAACTACAGATTGGAGTGTTAGGTAAAACGTTTTGATAAAAATAAACGATGAAAGGAAAAGCTTGGAAAAAACAATTGCTACGTTTTTTTGAATTTCCGGATTTTAAAATTGTTATTTTTTTCCTCTTTAATACTAACAATATTATTTCTTTAATGGAAGAAATAAACATTCATTAATGAAAGTA